ATTCCAAAGACTTTGCCTTATGTTGATTTAATAATTTAAGGATCAGGAGCGTATCCCAGATTATTATTTGATAAAAAGGAGGTCATTTTACCAGTGGTTCCTCTGAATGTAGTTTCAAAATGTTCATTCAAAATAATAAATGATGGATATGAAAATTTGAATTTAAAACACAATTGGTCAAGTGAAACAAGTAACTTTTACTTAGAACTAAAATTTCCAGAAGGGCAAACATTGGGAGTTGCTAAAAGTAAGTTAAGAGTTGATGTGTATTTTTCTCATAAAAAGCCAATATCATTTACAACTAGGGCAGAATTTTAAGATGAAGGCAGAGTGTACTCAATATATGTATCAGGGACAACAGATAATTGTTTATTGACAAATTAGATATACTTGTAGAGAATACAGAAGTATCAAATGGTAGCTGATGAAAAAAAGCCAGTGATGTTCTAAGAAGATGATGGAGCTGACAGTGATAATGAAAAAATGAAACGAAACCATACTATGTCTGTAAAGAGTACAACAAGTTCAAAAGGAACTTCTCACTTAGGATATAGACCTTTAGATGCAGAAACCTAGAATGAAGCTTGTGATTATATTATGAGATGGATGAATTATCATGTTCTTACTTAACCAATGAATAAGTTCCCGGAAGATATTGTAACAAGTTTTGGATAGCAGATATTTGAGTTGTTAACCTTTCTAACAGGCAAGGCCAATTTCCAATATAAGGCTTAGATTGACCAAAATTGGAAACGTTAACAAAAGGCAGAGGCGTAATTTAAACAATACGATGAACTTGTAAGACAACTAAAAATAGAAGGTGCTCTACTGAATCACATAAGATCAGAATATTTATTGGGACATACTGATTATAATGCATGGTTAAAGACTGTGCCTAAAGAGAAATATGAGTTCGTACCTGATAATAGGTTATAACTAAGTCAAGCTAAATACAACTATTTACACTACGATGCATGGATTTCAACATTCTACCAAATCATTAAAATATACTATTTAAATAGAATCACAGCAAAATCATTTAAACAATTGCCAGGAATTCCAACCGAAAGATTGAACATCCCAGATTATTACTTGGATGGATCTAATGTAATATCTCATGCAGAAGGTGTTATTCTTTGGTTCTATGAGGTTTGTTATGAACAACAACATACAGGTTAGATTAGGAGGTTAAGTAATTTTGCATCAGAATTCAGGGATAGCTTACTTGTTGCAGATGCAGTGACTTAATTCATCGGTCCTAGTATGTAGAAGTTCTTTAGCAATTTAAGGACTAATTTGCAGAGTGAAGATGATTATCGACATAATGCTGATAAATTAATGCCTGCTTTAAGTGATTATGGTTTACAATCACATGTCCAAGCCAGAGATATCTATTATAAACCTTATCCAAGGGAAATGTTAATGATGTTGGTGCAATTGTTTTTCTCTCTTCCTCACTATGTCCCCTAGAAGGAACCCATTATTTTCTAATGCATATTGGGAGAGGAAGTAATAAAATCAATTGAATTAAGAAATCCGACTCCAAAGCCAATTAGTTATTTTGTTAAATATGAGGGTCATCCTGATTTTTAATTGGAGGGCGATGAGAGCATTAAAATTGAGCCTGATATACCTTATAATTACAAAGTGAAATTCACTTCTCGTATATCTCTGCCTGTCACAGGTAGAGTGATTTTCACAAACAAAAAAGAAACGAATGTTTAGGCAGCAGCATTAGTATTTGATTTGAAAAGTAATATCACAGGAAGGAAGTCAGAAAAGCAATGGAATGTCAGTTCAATTTTATATGAAATCTTTGACTTCCAGATTTAAATAACCAATAAATTTCCATAGGATGGTGAGTTCTAGATATAAGTGATACATGAGAAGAAGTAGTTAGAACAAAGAGGCAAAAAGAAGAAGGCTCCTCCAGCAAAGGATGCTCCTCCTGAAGAGGAATTCCCTTCATTCTTTTGCACAATTGACAGACAAAGAATCAGGAAGAATTAAACTATCAATCTATCATTGACTTATATTCCATTAACAATAGACACACACAAATGTTCTCTGATATTTACAGATCCAAATGTGGGTGAATTCTAACACGATTTATAAGGAACAGTTGAACAGCCTAATATAATTGGTGAATTTAAACCAGACAAATCGTTATATGTCGATAGCACTTAAACAATATCGTATACGATTCCATTTAGAAATGAATAGTTAGCTCGTGCTCGTAGTTAGATTCAATAATTGGTCTAGATGAAATAGAAAGATAGATATTTAAAAGGTGACAAATAGGCCTCAAGTTTAACAGCCTCTAAAATCAATTTCCCAGGTTCTAATTTAGATATCATCACTTTTGAAGTAGAGATATATCCACCAACACAATACTTGAATCTACCTCCTATACTTTAAATAACAGACCTAAATAAATAAACAAAAAAGCCAGGCACTGAGAATATTGATTGTAAATTACCGATTCTGTATGCTTTCAAGAATGCAACTAAAGACTTTAGTGTCATTTTAACCCTAAGAAATAAATTCGATATCAGAAGATACAAATTATCGGCAATAGTGTTACCCAAGATTGTTAAAGCCATGTTAGAATTCAGAGTTCCTGCAAGATAATCTGTGACTTAAGAAATTCCTATTGTAAATCAAACAGATAGGGATTGGTAAATAAAAGTTCAACTTTCAGAATCAAAAGGGTTATTCTAATGTCCTTAGAGAGACTTTTTTGTCAAAAGAAAAGGCACTAGTAATTTTCCGATTACTTTTAGTCCATCTTGGCTCTAAGAGTGTGAAGCTAAATTAGTTTTAACCAATCCAATAACAAATGATGTGTTTGAATATGATCTAAAAGGCTATGGGGAAGAACCAGTAGCAGAAGAACACATCATTCTTAATTGTTAGGCAAGGAAGGTAACAAAGAAGGAAATTGAATTGAAGAACCCAACAGATAAAGCAATAACTTATGCTGTTGAAACAGATTTGATCTATGCAACAGGACCGTCATAAATAGTTGTTTAGCCATAAAAGAAAGCTACTTATGTATTGTAAGTATAGCCGGTCTTAAGTGGCCAATATACAGGATCAATAACATTTACAGATGAACAAGGACATTTTTTATGGTACACTGTGTTCATGAACACTGAATCTCCTAAATCCGTCCAAACGCTTGAGGTTTCTTGTTTGATTAGATAAGCTACAGTCATTCAATTAACACTGGCTAATCCTCTCACAGAAACTGCAATTTATGAAGTTATGATAAATGGGGAAGGGTTAATAGGAGAAGAACAATTTGCTATTGGAGCTAGAAAAGAGGCGGGATATGAATTGACTTTTGCTCCATTAAAAATTGGTAGGTGGAGAGGCAGCGTTGCATTTGTAAATAGATTATTAGGCGAAGTGTGGTACGAATTCATTCTCACCTGCGAAGATCAGCCAATTGTGAGATTGAATGTGTTAAAAGCCTCTTTGGGCAAGGTTGAATAATAGGTTGTTGTACTTGAAAACCCATCTGAGTAAAAGATACAAGTCCAATGCAGAATTACTAATCCTACTAATTTTGATATATATCCAGATGAACTTTACATACAACCCTATGATTCTTTGAAGGTTGCACTCAGATATACTCCATCTTCATTAGATATCATAGAACAATCAGATATCATTTTTACTTCCCCCATAGGCAAATGGCACTATTTGGTCTTTGGAAGTGGATTACCTCCCACCAAATTCCCAGCTACTACTGTTAGTATTGGATTAAACAAAGATTATAGTTCAGTTATTCACTTTAAAAACCCATTCAAAGAACCTATTTAAGTTTCTATTTCTTTAGATGCAGAAGGTCACAATCAAGAAGTCTTTAAGCTATTACTTGTCAGAAATCAAAAAAACGATAAAACTCTTGTTCCAGGAATGAATGTCCTACAAGTTCCTTTCTCATTTGTACCCAGAGAAATAACAAGTTATTATTGTGAGGTTGTCATCTCAATGAATGAGAAAATTTAATGGCATTTCCCTGTTAAAGGAGTCACTGAATCTGTCTCTACTTAGACTCTATTCCATTTCAAAGCCAAATGCAGGGAGAAATGGGAAGATGAAATTAAAGTAGGTTTGTAAGGAATTGCATAGAGTTTGTAAGCAGATGACAAATTTGACTATGAGTTGGGTGGAATGCCTTTAGATTTATAGACCATGATTTAGAAATGCTTTACTATTAAGTGTCTCAAAAATCACCTTGATAGTCCTCATGATAACTTGCTTTATTTTGTAAGGTTTCAACCAATGAAACCCTTCAAGACTTCAATGGAGTTTATAGTACTCAGACAATCAGGAGGAAGATGGAAATATAAAATTCAATTGGAAGCCACAGAACCAGAGGAAGACGATACTATTTTAATTAGTTCTCCTCTTAATAAAACAACAAGTGTCTCATTTAAATTAACAAATAAAACAAAAAACTATAGTAAATTTACTGCTGCCTTTTCTCCTGAGTCAGATGCTGAATTTTCAGTCATACCTAAAATTGGAGATCTAGAACCTTATGGTAGGGAAGGGACTACCTTCATAATTAGTTTCACACCAGTTGAATATGGTAAAATTAGAAAGGGTAAATTGATAATTTAGACTGAAGATATGTATTGGTAATAAATTCAAATTAAATTTAGGTCTTATTCTATTAGAGGAGTTCTACCAAGATATGTTCCTCCTTAGATTAAATAATCTTTAGTTGATAATAAATAATAATAATAATCTTAAATTCAAATGTCAATGACTTTGAGTAGAAACTTTGTTGTGGATAATATAAAGAAAGCAAGGCAATTATCGCCAAAAAGTGCTCGTAATTAATTGAGTTTACCATTAATTGAAAAAAAATGATAGATTATGTAGTTTATTATAAATTATTTATGTTGATTTTATGAGAATAAACAACAATTAAATAGTAAATTTTAAATAATCTCTATTGAATAGATAATTCATTTAGGATTTATTCATTTTGGGGGAAAATGTCTAATTTAATTAATAATAATTTTACACAAATATTCCCAACTTAATTTTATTATATTTGTTATACAAGCAAGAGTCTGTCTCATAATTTTCACAGACATCAACACTTTCTAAATTATATTATTGATCTTCTTCTTAAAAAGGTTCTTCACATATTGATTTTTTGTATTTTGGATTGAGAGATTTGCAATAATTTTAGCTACTTTGTTGACTCATATTGGAATTTCTTCGGATATCTTCCTTTTGGAAGGTCCCTATAGTAGAACCTAAAGGAGGAGGTGGCAACAAATTATTAGAACTCATATGAAATCATTATATGTACTAGGGTTAAATAGGAACTGAAAGTTGATTCTCTAAAGATTTTTTCATTTCTGGTAGTCTGTTTCTGCTGTTATTTTAATTAGAATCTGTCTAATAACGAGTCAATTATTTTATCTCTGCCCAATCAAAATTACCATCAAGTGTAATATTTGAAGATCTAGCTGCCCTTCTAAATTCTTAGACTATTATTTTGTAATTTGGCTCTTATTTAAATTATAGTCTTCTTATGTAACTTAAATTAGAAATTTAATTAATACTCAAAAATGTGTTAAAATTCTACACTTTAATCTTTAAATACTACATTTTCCATAGACAATTTCATTTCTCCGACTTTCTTTGTTCGTTCTTCATCTGTATATTCAATCATATTTTACCAAGGTAACTATCTTATTTACTAAATTTTTAATTACCCACGCAAAAATTACAAAAGGACATACATCAAAGATTCCAAATCATCTTTACGCCCTAATTCATGTCCCATATGAGCTGCTATCGAGGCATATCGAGTTGTACTTAAGAATGATTTTTTATCTTTGAATGATCTAAAATTAGATATTAAATATGATTTCTTTATACATATGCCTTCCATTTGAATCTCTGTAAATTTTGCTGATTCCAAAATCAATTAAAAATAGTTTCAAATTCTCTTTACCCATTCCTAATAAGATATTTTCTGGTTTCAGATCCCTATGAACTACACCTTTTTAATGAAATCTCTCTAAAATTTAAATTGCTAGAATCCCCAAAGTAAGGACAGTTTTGAGAGAGAATTTTTTTAATTACTTAAAATAATAGGACAAATCCTTGCCCAATAATTAAATAACGAGAACTTTATATTTTTGATCTTCACCGGACCATAAATATTTTGGGAACCCTTCAGCTCCATCTAATTTCTTCAGAATCTCAACTTCCCTCTCTAATGATCTCACTTCTTCATTTTCTTCTTTTTCAACCTTAATTGCTACCTCTTATTTATCAAGAAGATCAAATCCTAAAAAAACTACTCCAAAGGAACCTGAGGATAGCTTTTTGATTATTTAATATTTGTTGTTAAAGATCTTTTAGTTTGATTACGCTTTTTAAAACATTTTATTGTCCTCAAATTATTAATATTTTATTAATTTTTCACTTTCTATATTTTGAAACATGTAAATATAAAATACCCTACTTTAAACTAAATATTTCAAATTTACTGCATCATTCAACATAGTTAAACAAATGATGAAATTGAACCTTAAATTAAAGAACGATTGTAATATCAACTAAGAAATATATAAAATTTGTAATTAGTGTTCAAGAAAAGGTTAAGCTAATAAATTTTATATATTTCACCGCTAATTCAATTTATTATTTAATATAGAGATTAATATTAGAAGTCAAAATTTTATAGTAGCAATATCTTTTTAAAATTTGGTATTTTATTAAGATTTTTGATACTTTACCCTCTCATTTATTGTAGTCTATATGAATATGGAAGTACGATAATATAAGCAATCTTAATATTTTTTGTTTATTGCCATATCAATAATTATTTTTACTATTGTATTCTAATTAACGTATATTAAAATTAGTAGCTGATATTAAAAAATATAATTATTATTTATTTAAGTTAATTATTGATTTATTTATTTCATCAAAATGAGCTACATTATATTATGATATTACTATACTTCAAAACAGGAGGCACATATTGATATTGATAATATAGCGAAAGTGATATATTTTTTATAAATAACCTTTAGAAGACAGGATAAGATCTCATTTTTAATTGAAATTGAATAACTTAACTTCTATATACTGAGAGGTTGATTTGTTTCAAGGCTAAAATCAATTCTCTTATGGGAGTGCTATAAATGTCTAAAATCTTAGTGGCAAAAGTTTTTGCAAAGAAACGAATCCACTATTTCAGTCTATGCAAGCTAAGTTGCTCAATTTCAAATGAAAATATCTTCTTTAAGCAAATTGTTAAAACAACCACATTTGGTTAAATATTAAAAGGAAACTTGATGAAAAAAATTATTGCAAAGTATAAGTGAAACTATATTCAAAAATTTTCAATGGTTTTGAGATAATATCATTTAGGTAGGATCATAGAAATTTATGAGAGTTCACTCAACAACTATAAACCCATTTCAGGAAGGGTTCAAAAAGGAAAAAGACTGTACGGTTATTCTAAGGACTAAATTTTGAAAGTACTATAATTTTTGTGGCATCAGCATGAAAGATGACATCTTTCTTGTTGATATAATATATAATTTTTAAAAAATTAGAATGACGCAAAAACTTACAAAATCAGATGCTAAAATGCATAAAAGAGAAATTAATTTAATGTATAGATATCGATGTATAGAATTACTTGATAGCAATTAATCAGAAGATAATCAAAGGAGAAAAATTAATCATTGCAACCTGCTGATCAAGTGATTAGTCTATCTTAGAACTTTCTCTTAATTTTCTAGCTTTTCATAAATTTAATATCCATAGTGAAAATTAAAAAAAAGGAAGATCAAATATAAGTAATTGAGGAATACCAACATTTAAGAAAGGATTTTGTATAGAGCAGATCCTTTCACCCAAAATAAAGATAAAAAAAGGCAAAAATGAAATGGAAGTGTAGGTTGTATATGTTAACGATTTTTTGGTTTAATTACTGAATTATTGAGAAATTCTATATGGCATTGCTTTTTTAGCTAGGGAGATTCGGTAGACCATTCTATATATTTTACGGCATTTCAAGCTAGAACAAGCATAGTTGAAAAATTGAGTTTTTATGAAAATCATCTATGGTTCTTCTCTTCTAAACTTTTTTTTCTATTTATTATTTCTTCTGTTATATTCTTTACTATTTAATTTCTTTTATAATAATTATAAAAGTGGGTTTAATAAGCAAATTTCACCCACTTTTTATAATAAATAATTTAAAGACATTCAAGAATTAGTTTTGAGTAACAGAAGTGATCAAGAGTGATATAATCTGAGGCCCTTAGCCTTGACAACAATTTTTTCAAATTATATTTAACATATTATATTAAATCAAAATAATGTCTTGGTTTTTTATTATTTCTAAGTCATTAAAATATCTATATTGCACGTAAGGTTCACATTTTTATTTTATTATGATTCAATTGCCAATTTCTAGTAGAATTAATTGTTTATGCAAATGCTATATTTAGTAACCGCTCTGTTCTTTGAATAAGAAGATCTCAGAACTTACGAAAAAAGAGAACACATTTAAACGGGAAAATAGAAATCTACATATAACAATATAGTTTAAAAAGAAATGAGATATTTATTATTTTTGATGAATATAAAAAATTGACTTTCAGAATAATTAAAGGGAAAGTTCTCATTTTTATTTTTTCATCTCATAAATCTTAATTTTCTATTAAAATATTGTAGAAATAGATGGATTAAAGTGTCTATATTTTGATTTCATGTAAATTCTTTCTTAAGCATCAATTATATCACTAAGCACGTATTAGTATTGGCTTTCAATTTCATTTTTCCTTTACTGATATAAATATTATGTTGTTACTTTTTAAAAGTTAGATTCGCTTGAAATGAAACTCCTTATTCTTTACAGTAATTCATATTAAGGTGAATGTGGGATCAGATTATTAGATAACAAAATAAAATAAAACTCTATCATAGAATCAAATATGTTACTTGTTTAACTATCATATTATATCAAATATTAAGCAAATGAGGTAGACATAGATAGAATTGTAGTTTATTATCTTTGTCTACACAAAATAAATTTTTCAATTCTGCTTCTTTCTTCAACCCAAGCTTTATCACTGTTAAATCCTTTCCTTATTAGCATCAAAAAGTATTATTTTTTTAAATCATACATTAAAAATCCTTTAAAAGCTTTTTAATCACCATCCTAAGTATATTGTTTGCATCTAGACAGTGTTTCAATATTTTCTTCCGTCACACACGTAAGCGATTTTAGTTTTGAAATTTGTTCCTGATCCATATCCGCATAATGTATTATTGGTAAACTAAGAGTAACAATGTTTGATATGTTCAATCTTTCCTCATATTTATTGATGATTCTATTTATTTCATACTTCTAATATATTTCAAGTTCAGTTGTATTGATCTATGAAATAACTAAAACTAATACAGTCTAATAATGAATAATTTCATATAGATGAGAGTAAATTGAGAGTAAGAGTTCATTTTAATATATTTCTTGGACTTGTTGGTTGGAAATTAAAATTAATACCCGATCTAATATGAATAGTACTTGTATTACTTCTGAAAATATCAAATTTACCTCTAATTGCGCCAAAGTTTGATTTCATTTACAGTAATTTATCTTCAAGNAATCTGAGGCCCTTAGCCTTGACAACAATTTTTTCAAATTATATTTAACATATTATATTAAATCAAAATAATGTCTTGGTTTTTTATTATTTCTAAGTCATTAAAATATCTATATTGCACGTAAGGTTCACATTTTTATTTTATTATGATTCAATTGCCAATTTCTAGTAGAATTAATTGTTTATGCAAATGCTATATTTAGTAACCGCTCTGTTCTTTGAATAAGAAGATCTCAGAACTTACGAAAAAAGAGAACACATTTAAACGGGAAAATAGAAATCTACATATAACAATATAGTTTAAAAAGAAATGAGATATTTATTATTTTTGATGAATATAAAAAATTGACTTTCAGAATAATTAAAGGGAAAGTTCTCATTTTTATTTTTTCATCTCATAAATCTTAATTTTCTATTAAAATATTGTAGAAATAGATGGATTAAAGTGTCTATATTTTGATTTCATGTAAATTCTTTCTTAAGCATCAATTATATCACTAAGCACGTATTAGTATTGGCTTTCAATTTCATTTTTCCTTTACTGATATAAATATTATGTTGTTACTTTTTAAAAGTTAGATTCGCTTGAAATGAAACTCCTTATTCTTTACAGTAATTCATATTAAGGTGAATGTGGGATCAGATTATTAGATAACAAAATAAAATAAAACTCTATCATAGAATCAAATATGTTACTTGTTTAACTATCATATTATATCAAATATTAAGCAAATGAGGTAGACATAGATAGAATTGTAGTTTATTATCTTTGTCTACACAAAATAAATTTTTCAATTCTGCTTCTTTCTTCAACCCAAGCTTTATCACTGTTAAATCCTTTCCTTATTAGCATCAAAAAGTATTATTTTTTTAAATCATACATTAAAAATCCTTTAAAAGCTTTTTAATCACCATCCTAAGTATATTGTTTGCATCTAGACAGTGTTTCAATATTTTCTTCCGTCACACACGTAAGCGATTTTAGTTTTGAAATTTGTTCCTGATCCATATCCGCATAATGTATTATTGGTAAACTAAGAGTAACAATGTTTGATATGTTCAATCTTTCCTCATATTTATTGATGATTCTATTTATTTCATACTTCTAATATATTTCAAGTTCAGTTGTATTGATCTATGAAATAACTAAAACTAATACAGTCTAATAATGAATAATTTCATATAGATGAGAGTAAATTGAGAGTAAGAGTTCATTTTAATATATTTCTTGGACTTGTTGGTTGGAAATTAAAATTAATACCCGATCTAATATGAATAGTACTTGTATTACTTCTGAAAATATCAAATTTACCTCTAATTGCGCCAAAGTTTGATTTCATTTACAGTAATTTATCTTCAAGAACATTCTATTTATGCAGTTATAGCTTTATTTCTTTGAGGAGAGCCTACCATTCATTATCAAATTCAATATCTCTACTTGTTTACAAGTAAAATGATGAAATATTAAAATCGTAGATCAAAAATGCACGAAACCAATTCATCATTACTAATATTTTAATTTTTATCAAAAGGAGTTTATTTACCAAAAAATTTAGATTTGGATAATGGTAATTATTCTGATTATTAATTAATTACTTTATATTCAATTATTATAATGATTAAATTGTTCCTTAATTAATCAGGATCAATTTTACCTTTACCCTAAAATACCTTGAACATCTCATTAATAGAAGTGCATAATTAAAAAAGGGTGTAATTATGATTCGAACGTAATATTATAAATTAATACTAACATTATTAAACCTATCTATATGCATGGTTATCTAATCAAATTTGATTAATGAATGAGATTATTATTATAAATTATAAGATCTCTTTAATTTAGTTTATGGAAAAACAAATTTAGAAAATAATTAATAAGTGCAAATCTACAGAGATCATATTATATAAATCATCAAAACAAATTTAATAATGCTTAATTATGAATGAGTTATCAATCAGATGTTGATAACCTTAGGAGATACTTGAAAAATAAAGAAGTTAATTATATTTTGAAATGTGAATAAATTTATATATAAATATACATGTAATAACTGAATAGCAACGACGAAACTTCTTCAATTGATGAGAACATATCTAAATATTATCAGATAATAGAGTTTAAAGGCAAAGGAGCGTATGGGATAATTTGGAAGGCAATCGATAAATAAACAAAGAAAATTGTTGCTTTGAAAAAGGTTTTTGTGATTAATATCATAAAAGGTTTTTGACGCATTTTCAAATGATACAGATGCACAGAGAACATATAGGGAAGTGATGTATCTCTAGCAATTGACATAACATGAGAATATTGTGAAATTGCTGCGTGTACATAGAGCTATGAATATGAAAGATCTTTACATGACATTTGAATATGTAGAATCAGATCTTCATAAAGTATAATATCTTTTAAATAAAGGTAATCCGAGCAAATCTCCTCTAAACATAGCATGTTATTTATATACTCTNTAAGCGATTTTAGTTTTGAAATTTGTTCCTGATCCATATCCGCATAATGTATTATTGGTAAACTAAGAGTAACAATGTTTGATATGTTCAATCTTTCCTCATATTTATTGATGATTCTATTTATTTCATACTTCTAATATATTTCAAGTTCAGTTGTATTGATCTATGAAATAACTAAAACTAATACAGTCTAATAATGAATAATTTCATATAGATGAGAGTAAATTGAGAGTAAGAGTTCATTTTAATATATTTCTTGGACTTGTTGGTTGGAAATTAAAATTAATACCCGATCTAATATGAATAGTACTTGTATTACTTCTGAAAATATCAAATTTACCTCTAATTGCGCCAAAGTTTGATTTCATTTACAGTAATTTATCTTCAAGAACATTCTATTTATGCAGTTATAGCTTTATTTCTTTGAGGAGAGCCTACCATTCATTATCAAATTCAATATCTCTACTTGTTTACAAGTAAAATGATGAAATATTAAAATCGTAGATCAAAAATGCACGAAACCAATTCATCATTACTAATATTTTAATTTTTATCAAAAGGAGTTTATTTACCAAAAAATTTAGATTTGGATAATGGTAATTATTCTGATTATTAATTAATTACTTTATATTCAATTATTATAATGATTAAATTGTTCCTTAATTAATCAGGATCAATTTTACCTTTACCCTAAAATACCTTGAACATCTCATTAATAGAAGTGCATAATTAAAAAAGGGTGTAATTATGATTCGAACGTAATATTATAAATTAATACTAACATTATTAAACCTATCTATATGCATGGTTATCTAATCAAATTTGATTAATGAATGAGATTATTATTATAAATTATAAGATCTCTTTAATTTAGTTTATGGAAAAACAAATTTAGAAAATAATTAATAAGTGCAAATCTACAGAGATCATATTATATAAATCATCAAAACAAATTTAATAATGCTTAATTATGAATGAGTTATCAATCAGATGTTGATAACCTTAGGAGATACTTGAAAAATAAAGAAGTTAATTATATTTTGAAATGTGAATAAATTTATATATAAATATACATGTAATAACTGAATAGCAACGACGAAACTTCTTCAATTGATGAGAACATATCTAAATATTATCAGATAATAGAGTTTAAAGGCAAAGGAGCGTATGGGATAATTTGGAAGGCAATCGATAAATAAACAAAGAAAATTGTTGCTTTGAAAAAGGTTTTTGTGATTAATATCATAAAAGGTTTTTGACGCATTTTCAAATGATACAGATGCACAGAGAACATATAGGGAAGTGATGTATCTCTAGCAATTGACATAACATGAGAATATTGTGAAATTGCTGCGTGTACATAGAGCTATGAATATGAAAGATCTTTACATGACATTTGAATATGTAGAATCAGATCTTCATAAAGTATAATATCTTTTAAATAAAGGTAATCCGAGCAAATCTCCTCTAAACATAGCATGTTATTTATATACTCTACTAATTACTCAAATGTCTAAAATATATTCATTCAGGAGGGTTGATTCATAGGGATTTGAAGCCTTCTAATATATTGATTGATTAAGAATGCAGAATAAAGTTAGCTGATTTTGGATTGGCAAGGCTGGCAAATGAGATGGATGAAACTGCTGTAATGACGGAATATGTAGCTACACGATGGTACAGAGCACCTGAAATTCTGTTGGGGTCTCCTCTTTATTCAAAGGCTGTGGATATGTGGAGTGTGGGATGCATTCTGGCTGAAATGATAATGTGCAAATCCCTTTTTGCAGGATAATCAACTTTAAATTAATTGGAAAAAATTGTAGAAGTAATTGGTAGACCTTCACAAGATGATCTAAATTAAATAAATGCCCCTTTGGCTGATAAGATATTCAGAGAAATTTAGAACTCGAGAAGGAGACCCTTAACATAGTTTATCAAAACACAAGATGATATCATAGACTTCATTTAAAAGTGTCTAACCTGGAATCCCTAAAAAAGAATTACAATTGAAGAAGCCTTTTGCCACTCTTTGTTGAATGAATTTAGAGGATCAGAACCTGAGTTAAACTATCCAGGTTAAATCAAAATTGATTTGCCTGAGAATGTCAAATTTGATAGAAAGAAATATAGAGAAATACTATATAAATTGGATATCAATTATCAAAAATAGCAATATATAAGATCATTAATTTAGGAAGATCATATCCCTTCGACTCTGAAAAACAACACAAGATTTCCTCATTAATATTAAACATAATTCAAACCTGTAAATCATGGAATCGAAATGAGATAAGTAAGGAAATCGAGATCTTCTATAAAATAACACACTCAACCATAACAGTACCATTCATAAGTAGATATCTAAAATCAAATACTGATTAGTCAATCATTACAATAGTAGAATTAGTATCCTACTAAGCAAAAATAATGGCAAAATCGAGTTAAAACTCTACCTGAAAATCATGTTGAGAAAATAGTTCCTATAGAACCCAAAAGTCCTGTTAGAGGCAGATATTTTTCACAAAATAAAATACCTTAACAAGCTCAGATGATTACATCAACTACTCCAACAAGAAGCAAATCAATGAAAAATAGAAAGTATAATGATTCTTTGGATTTCAATTAATATCTTAATAATAGTTCCACAATGTAAAAGTTATTGACTACTTATTTGAATCCGAAAAGACCTACTAAATACAATTTCAAAAAAGTTGCCATCCGAAACAAAACCAATATGGATAAGACTTTCATAAAAAAGCATATTGCATCAATACACAATATAGATGCTGCAAGTGTGATCTCCCTCTTAAAATGAATTAATCATATTTTTAATCATTAAATTAACTTTCTCTTACTTAGTGCCAATTGATAATTAAACTATATAAATAATTACTTATCATGGAAGCAAGAAATCATCACAACCAAAAAACAATGCACCTATCCATACACACAAAACACTCTAGCAAATAATATTCTATCAAATCCGAAAACAGAATCAAAACATCTCACACTGATCTTCCTAAATCAATTGACACTTAAAAAATAATGAGTGATTTTTATGATTAATGCAAAAAAAGACAAAGTAAGTTATTATATCCATATGAAGGAACCCGAAATTTCATACACCAAAGAAATAAGTCTTAATAATTACAAAATGATTCTTTGTTGCAATCCATTGATAGCTGTCCCTCCTTCAGAAATTAAATAAGGACAACCCACAATTCCCCACCCAATAAGTACCTCTTATTCAACACTTGCGAGAAGATTTTAAATCAAAAAAGCAATGGATCTAAGCGCACCTAAACCAAATAGGCAGAAAAACTGTTTATGCAATAAATAAATTAAAATAATAGAGCAGAATTATTATTAAAAATAGAGCAATATATAAGAGATTTTTTCACTGAAGAGTGTAGAGAAATGGCTAATTTATTTGATACTTTTATGAGAGAACTAAATTATTAAATATAAGATTAAAAATATTAATTAACCTTACAAGAAAAACAATTAGAAATTTAGAAAATCGATGAAATCATTAGAATGAACAATAATCATGTATGGGCACATGAAGATATGGAAAAATAATTGGTTTCCTTAAAGTCCTAAAATATGGATCAATCAACATTAATTAAAAAAAATGAAAACGATGTCAAAGACTTGCAAACAAAAATAAGCCAATAAAAACACTTACTTGAATAAAAACAAAATGAAATCCTGATAAAAAACAGAAAAATCAAAGAATTGGGATACGAAGTTCTACAATTACAAAGAAAACTTGATTACTTAGAAAATAAGGCACTAAAAGATAATAGATAATCAATCTAATAAGTCAGATATTCCATGTTCTAAAGCTAATAAATTGGATCCAATTCCAATTTAAGTCAGCAAGGCAACACAACTTCTAATAAAGAAAACAAGTTCACTCCGTTAATCGAAGAGCAACAAGAGGACTCCTCTGTTTCAATCACGGATTAAGAAGATGAAGAAGAAAAAGAACTAAATTAAATAGAATTTAATACTGAAAGAATTGTTGAAACCAGAGAAAAAGAATCATAAGTAGGACCTGATCTAATTATTAATTACACACCTATGAAAGAAGTTTAAACCCAATTAAATTTGACGGATAAAAAATTTGATGATTTGACCTAAGATATTTGCGAATAAGCCATCAATTTTATAGATTTTTTAAACATTTCAAAGGATAAAACAGAAACTGATTTATCTTAAGTAAATATTTCATATTTGAACATGAACACTTTTGATAAATTAAGTGAGGAGGATATCATCAAATTTGTTGATCAACAGGTTTCTCAATGTGGAATTCCATAAAGCACATCCTCTCTTGTGAGGTAGCCTTCCATGAGGACAAATATGAAACGAGCTTCCATCATTTTAGATAAATAACCTCCTTAAACCTAATAAGCATCCATCAATAATTCTAAAGTTAAGTCTATGATCACCTTTATCAAATTTTAAGGAATTAAATTATTATAATTAGATAATAATCTTAAAGAAAGTAATTCTGCAACAGAGGAATTAAAAAAGATTAATCATAATTTGTTAGTATAAAATAAGGAACTTAAAGATCAGAATTCTAAATTGATTGAGTAAATATCTGGTCTACATGTTAAAGTATCAGATTTGGAAAATTAAATTATGTCAGATGCAATGGATCTCAATTAAGTACTTTCATAATAAGAAAAGAAACCATTGAACTAAAAAGTTAATACATTAGCTTAAAGGAAAAACAAAAAGGCAGCACCTTAATTGGGATAAAAGGTATATAAACATCATTCTATCTCTAGGTGACAATCAGCTATGACTTTTAGAAAAATTAATCAAAATTGCTTATTGAAAAAATAAAATCTAAGTCGATGGGAAAATTTAGTAATTTCTTACCTCTTAAACTTGTACTCAAAATGATTAGTACTTTCTACTTTGAAAAAATAACGAATTAAAAAGAAAATAAACTACTTAGAGATTAAGATATGTCAGCATACATTTATAATTACTATTTATAACAATTTGGATATACCAAAGTTACCGAACAGAGATTCATGATTCTTGTTTTATCAGTGAAGAAATATATACAAATTGTAAGAGTTAATATGTTCGCTAAATTTATGAATTTATTAGAGGAGAAATCAAACTATAGAGTTGAAGAACTATAAAGATATTTAGAGGCCCTAGAATACGTTTAGAATATTTAAAATCTTGGGATTACTATTAAAGACAATGAGTAGGAATAAAAGCATTATATTCCATATGTGAGAGCGCTAGCATATTTGGGATAATTATAAAATTTCAATTTCACTTAGGAAGAGTTAAATTATTTAAAATAAGATTTGGAAAATTAAAAAGAAAATGATCCAAAGAATATCAATAAAGCAGGAATTGTTGATTTTGATTTACTAATGATTAGAGTATTAACCATATTTAGAAATAATGTTGAAAAAACTAAATTGTATGTAATTAATGCATTTGCTGCATGTGATCTTGATGGCAATGGAATGTGTAATTTGGATGAATGGCTGCTTTTGATAAGACATATTGAACCAGACAAATTTGAAGAAGATAAATTTGTAGACATTTTTGAGGAATATGCTGACTTATTAGAGGATGATGAAAAAAATCTTTCTTTTGACAGATTCTCTATATTATGTATGGAACATGAATTATTTAGTGATGCCTAATAAAATAAGTTTCTTAAAGTTAAAAGTATAATTAATTACTTAAATAATAAGATAATCCTGATGCTGACTAAAAGTTTGAGTAGTTAAAAGAGAATTGGATATAAGTGTATACTGAATAGATAAAGAGATTAAATGAGCTCAAAATGGAAGAAGTTGACAAACAAAAGTGGCAAAAAATCCTCAGTGTCTTGGATAGAAAGATAGCTTAAGAACACAGTAGTAAAAAGCCACTTCTTATAGCCTTTAAAATCTTTCTAGAGGAGTCTAAATGAAAACTATCCTGTAATTAAAAGAAAGTATATGATTTGTGATAATTTCATCAAATATATTTTAAATTAGTTGCATTTGAAACATCTATATATATAACATATTTAATTTCTAATGTTTAATAATTTAAGTCACATATGAAAAATTGACACTCAATTAAATTATTAATCTATTAGAAATGTCATTTTCAAAATATTTTAAATATTAAATGATATAAGTCACAAAATTAAATTTTTGGACCAAATACTAGAAATAACTTTGTTTCCTGATTTAAATGTACCAGGCCCATTGATCATATTGTCCTTAAACTATCCTTCAAATCTACAATAAATTATATTGATATACCTATCTCCATTTGTAAAAATTAATACACCTTTTCCTTATTTTTTATCAAAAACAAAGTCACCTGAATAACTAATCCAGCATTCACCAATTGAGGTTAAATCTTCATAATTGATATCTTAACAATCTTTTGGATTTTCATTAAACAGCATTCCCTTACCTTAAAACTTCCCATTGACCCAACATCCTTAATATGCAAGTTTCCCTGAAGGGTAATATAAGGATCCATATCCATTCATAACATCATTTTGCCACTGTCCAATATAGAAACCTCCGTCACTGTAATAAAGACTTCCTTGCCCATTTTTTTTTTGATTCCTCTTAAATCCTTCATATATTGAGCCATCTAAATAAGTCTCACAAATATATTCTTCATTTTAGAAATTAAATTATTTGGATAAAGTATTTACATCCGATTCTTATTCTCTATAAAACGGATCAGATTATAAATCTATTTATAAGCCGTTAGAAAAGGATTTCAAATCTTCTGATCCAGTCGATGAGGTTTCTGATTATTTTTCTGGACTTTTACGATACAAATACACTTGAGAAGGTTACTATTAGTATTTGTGATTGAAATATGTGGCTCTGATTTATTCTATTTTCTCTTGTAAAACACTTTAATTGTTAGATCTAGTAGTAGAAATGGGAGTGATGTTCTCCTTTTTTTGGGAAATGGCATTTGAATTGATAATTAAATTAGATTGAGCTAATGGAATGAGTGGTAGCGGCTAACTCTATTAAGTCTTAGTAATTTATTGTTATGAGGAAATGGCTTCATAATATTTTGATTATTCTTAAATAGAGAAATTAGTAGGATGCTGCATGTTTTCTGGTTACATTTGGAAGGCTGGCACTAACCTAATAATTTATCCATTTAAATCATCTCTTAATTGAATGAAAGTTGGTCTTTGGATTCCACCAAAGATACATAGCAAGCATTGCTTTAGAAATGGTTCATAGACTTACTCCAGTAATTGATTAAAAAGGTGAGTATTTAAAGATCCATCTATGTTAACTAGGTTGGTCATTAAATTGAGTGTAATCATTTCTAATAGTATAATTCCTATTGGCCATGATGAATATACAGAGCCAGATTGGTCTTTGTAATGTGGTAATTGGGGTGATTTAAGATTGAATATATAAGGGTCCATGATCTTGACGATTTTATCAAAAAGCAATGTGTTGGAAGATAAATTATATTGAATGTTCAATGTTTAATAAATTGCCATGGCTTCAATTAGTTGTTTTAAGTTGTAGACAAGTTCTTGGTTAGTAAAGGTTTAAGAGATTATACGTCTTCTTCTAATTTCATTAGATAAGTCAATCTCACTAAATTCTGTATAGATTTTTATTGTATTATTGGAATTGCAAAAGATTCCAGAGTCATCCTTTTGGACAGCATGAATTTTAAGGAAAATTGGTTCTCTCATATTCTGTTCTTTAAGTCTAATAAAATTAGTCAGTGTGCTGACTTGTTCATCTGTTAACTATATTTTTCTCTCTAATATGCCACAAGGGTAATGAGTTCCCATTTTTGTTTACTTGAGAGGTTAACCCAACATCAATGATGATTGTGAGGTTCCCATAATTAATATGTTTCTGTTAAATTTAATAAATGAACAAAGTTCATCCAATCTCCCTCAATGAAAGAGATGATACAAAATTTGAGTAATAAAATACTCAATATTTGAATACTTTTGTAAAATACTCTTCTTGGACAAGGTAAGTGAGCATATAAAAAATAGAATGACTTGATGTTATTGATTTAAATTTTAATTTTTGAAATATTTGAAATAGCCTGAATAACACTATAACATTTGTCTATTTGAAATAGCAATAAATCAATTTAAAACCTTGTTAAGAAATTTTAAATTGCACATTTAAATATTGGAGTTTTGAGACCTTCATAAAAATGCCTTAATTAGAAAAGGGATTATATTAATATTAGGGAGTAAAGTAAATCGTAAAATTAGAATGCAAAGATGATACATTATTACCATAACTATTTGAATTCATAATTTTGTTAAACTTTTCAATTTCTATTAGAATATTTTAGATAAATTAATCCCTAAAATTAATAAATAATTTTTTGCAAAAAAGTGAATAAAAAAAATTAATAAAATTATCATTTGATGTTAAATTTAAGAGTATGAGTATAATAACTACTCACTGAAAAGATTCATAATTCATTAGAATTTGAATTAAATGAGAACTATAATCAAATTTATTATTATTGTTTTATAATTTTTAATTTGAAAATAATTATTATTAAAAACCAATATAGAAATGGATTTTATTGATTAAGAAGACTATGATTTACCTTTAGATTACGAAGACCTTTTCTTCAATTCCAATATTTTTAATAACCCTCCAACTCCAGATCATAGTAAATCTACAGAAGATTTGGAATAAAAGATTAAGGATGATCGAAAGCAAAGGATTTTAAAAAAAAGGATTGAAAAAAAATAAAAGGTTAAAACAGAAGTAGTTTAAATTATGTCCAAAGAAGAAATGAGGAAATTAAGAAACAGAAATTCTGCTCAGTTATCAAGAGATAAGAAAAAAATTATATTTGACAATCTAATTCAAGAAAACAAGGCTTATTCTAATTTGTTACAATAGAAGGATGAATAGATTGAGCTTTTGCAACAAGAAAATACTAATTTAAGATTAAGAGTTCAATATTTGGAGGAAATCACGTAAATTATAAAACCTAATACTAGTTAATAATATAAATGTATTCATATGGTATAAGATGATGGTGTTTAGATATAAAGGGTAAATGCAGAAACAAAATCAAAAATGATGAATTATGGAGTGATTTCTCTGTTAGCCATAGCATGCATATTTTCAGTAATGAATAATGATTATGAATTCAATCCAAAACCAATTGCTTTATCATAATTATCAAATTAGAAATATGATTTTTTGGCTTCAAAACAATCACAAAAGAATTAAACCTCTTTATTAAGTTAAGAATCTAACTTCACTATTCCAACAAATACATTTTAGAATTAAACGCTATTTTACAATTGCACAGGAAGGGATAAGGAATGCCAAAACTTTGTAAACATTGCAAAGGCAGAAAATGCAGAGAATATTTATTTTGGAAATGATGAAACTTATCATACACCAGCAGATCGGATTCATAATTTCGAAATGGGAGAGAATGTTTACCTAATGAAGATAAAACAGGGTGATGAGGATAATTTTATCATCTTGAGGGCAAGATGCCAAATAACAGAGAATAACTCTCTTGTTTTAGAGAGGAATACTTATGAAGAATATAATAATAATTAACAGCATTGAATTACTTTTTAATTTTTAAATATATGACTCTAATTCTATTAGCATTATTAAAAATAAGATAATAATTAGTATGGAAGCCTTTGAACATAGGTATGAACCACAAGAAAGAAAACAAGTTATGATCTAATGTGAAGACTTGAGTCATAAAGATGAAATAGTCCAATATATATTGTTAAAGCCTAAAACAGATGCTAGATCAAGACTTCTTTGCAGAAAGTGCATTGAGGGGAAGTTTAATTAGTAAACCAATGAAATTTGTCTTATATCTGAAGTAAGCCTACTTAATATTTTAGGTTCTGGATGACCCTTACAAAGTGTTAAAGTATACAAATTATTAAGGGAATGTTATTTAAATATTGAGTGATTTTATTCATTCTTACGATTTCTCGTTTGACGCTGACGCAATTCGCTATGTAATTTATAGTTTAACATTGATAGAAAATTGATGAAATCAGATAAAGATTTTTATACCATCTTTCTGAATTAGAAAGTAAATTGATAGAAAAAAATGAAGTATTTTTAGGCACTAAGGATTTTATGGATAAACTTAAAGCCAGATTTAATTAAGTATGAAGTTGCAAAAATAATAATAGTACTTTGACATTAGTAAGCTTGAAGAAAGTTTGACTTAGGCAGGAATGAAGTATGGCAATATTACAACAAAAGATAAGTAGAAATTGAGAAAGGATGTTAATGACTATGTGGCTTAAATACAGAAGTTGAATTAGGATTCAGCTGACTAGGAAATATATAAGACTTTATTCAATGCAATAGATGATAGCAAAAAGAAGTTAGCTGAAAAGGAATCATAATTAAAGTATGATGTATTGATAAAATTAAGACTCTAAAAAGAAAAATTGGATAAAGGAGTGGAGAAAATACTAAAGGAACTTTAGAATATGGAATAGACGTATAGCACACTCAATTTGAGATAGTCTGAATTAAGTACTACTTATATGGATGAATTTTTGGCAAGGAAGAATCCTGTTTTCCAGTAACGAAACAACTTTATGGACAAGATCAAAAGGATCTACTAATCGAAATATGACGGATTGGATGCTAATAAAGTGCATGAGAAAATCATTTAATTGGGCTAGTGGAATAACTAGACCCTGCTGTTTTTATTCTAGACTTCTTCTTAATAAGTATTTGGAGTATACGTTTCTTAAAACTCTTCAGAAATATTTCATTAAAATAAGAGATAGGAATTCCCAATAAAGGCAGGAGTCAGTCCTATTACTTTGAATTACAGCAACAATTAGAATGAAGTATTGATGACGTTTGGTAACGGTGATATAATAATTAAACCTTAATTTAATGGATGCATTTCTGAATTGGGAGAAGGGTTTTCAGCAAGTCCAGAATATAGAATTGGGGACTTGAAGAGTTATCTGGCCAATTAACACTGTTTCGACATTGTTGAGATGGAAATCTTTTAAATATTGAAATGAAAACAATATTCATTTTTAAAACATATATATATATAATTGGCTTTTCATTCTTCAGCTACTACTGAATAAACTGATGGTGCTCTAGAATTAATATTTTTTTCGTTTTTTCTGAAATAAATGATGAACCCAATGAATGCAAGACTGAAGATGAGTCCAAATGTCAATGTGACATAGAAGATGACATCCTTGTGTTTTTCAAGATCTTTGACATCTTAGAAATGCTCATTCATCTGATCTTCTGTATACTCGTAAGTGATGGATCTTTGGACTAGGGGAACGAATAATTCAGCATTTAGAGGTTCTTATTATAATGGACTAGTATTATCTACTTTTAGCCAATAGATGTATGTTTTAGTAAATGAGACCACTTTACCAGTGATTGCTTCGATGGTGTAGAATGATTCAGGAACATTCACTAAGTATTAATTACATGATTTTCCATTAATGGAAGCACAACCATCAAGTGACACTTCACCAATAGTCAAAATGATCGGTAGATCTGTGTATGGTTCCAGAGAGATGACTTGATCTTCGACTTTGTATTTAATGACATCATAACCCTTGTAAGTGGTGGTTTCATGGTAATGTAATTTAAGGTCCTTATGAATATCGAAATCAAAGAAGGTTAATTCCTTCTAGAATTTAACAATCAAATCAGGCTTGAATGCATAGCCATAACTGCCAGAAACATTGACATCCTTTCCATAAGGATAGTTGTAGGATTGAGTAGAGTATTCAGTTTATGGATTATAATAGATAGTACTCTTTCTTTTGATTTTCGATTCATCCAATGTTCTCTTGATTTATCCAACATTTTCTATATCTTTGATACCGGTATCCATTTAGTAATAGTCATACATGGTAGCAAACTTTAAGAACTCCTAATTATTTGGTTCTAGAAGGTGGGCACCATTATCTCTAAAATTGCTGCCCTCATAGATTGGTTCGAATTCAGCTATTCTGTCAGTGAAAGCATTGTCATAGTCGAATAAATATTTGGATGGCTAGGTTGTAATCAGATGACCACCATACCAATAATTTGTGAGGCAGTGTTTCAAATACTTGATCAGCAACTTCAATTGTTCACCTTTCAAAGGGAACTTAGGATTCAATTCTTTTGTACTATTGAAATGATGTTCATATAGGTTTCTTAAGGAATAATATCCAAATATTCCTCCCATATCAAAATTGAATAGCTGTTATTGAACCTTCTCAGTTATTTTTTCACCACAAAATGCGAAAAACTCATAATAAACAAAAGGCTTATCTGAATAGATATCCCATTTTGCTATTGTATTTGTTTTATCACTATCCCAAAAAGCTAGTTCCTTTGGATAGCTTTGAGTGACTGAACCATATCCCCATTGCTTAAACCATAATTCTTCTGCCTAACAGACTTAGTAAGTGCATTTGTAATGTTTTGAGATTGCCAAATGAAATTCGTTCATGGCTTTTGAAAAATCTGACATGCCATCAGTTAAGTAATCCCATAACACTTGCTCGTTGGCTTTTAGCTCTTTCATCAAGGTCTTAAATGAATCTGATTGTTTCTTTTCAAAAGCAGCGTTGACCCAAATCAATGCATTCTTTGCATTCAATGTGAAATCATACTTGCCACCACAAGCATCTTGGAATGGAATGAAATAATCATCTTCACATTTGATGTTCTCAAATCTATAATACAAGGCTTTGGCATATAACCCATCTCTCAACATAACACCTGCCTCATATATCATTTTGCTCATGAATCTCCAAGTTTAAAAGGCATATGTGTCTTCAATATTGTTAATATATTCATAATGAGTATTTAGATACTTGATCAAACTCTTAGACTTTGTGAAATTAGTTTCATTATCAGTTTACCAAACTAGTTTATTTGAGACTCTTTCAAGGAAATCTCTATTCTCCCAAATGTACTACATAGTATTGAATCCTAAAAGATTAGGCATCTATTCAAAATATTGACTGATGATATTCTTAACGTCATCATATTGATATTCAGATCCACCTAAATAGAATTCGTAACTAGGAGGAATTGAATCATTAAATTTGGAATAACTTCCACCTGAGAATGTAACTGGTGGAACAAAGTCTTTTGCTGTTAAACCACCAAATGCCCATTGAATGATTCCTAATTCCCACAATGTGCACTCATTTTTCTTTAAACAAGATCCTTTTTATTATCCTTACACTCCTGTAGAAACTGAATTGATGATGAGTTTTCTGAGTTTGTTGATTGTTGATCCTTTTCCAATGAGTTAATTCATCTGTTCATCAGAGAGGGAAAAATAAAGTTGTAGATTGCCATCTCCTCCATTGAAATATGCTCTAATCCATTTGGAGAAACTAATCTCAGAACTCCATCCATATTATTCATCATTCCACATCTTGTTCTGTGTTTCCTCACTACACATATTGTGATTATTTATACTTAATTTTGGCTGGTGTGAATATGGTATCAAAAACCAATTGTTAATCGGATGTGTAGAAATCAAAGATTGTGTGAGTAAAATAGTAATTCATGAAGTCCTCAGACAACCCTCGAAAGATCATATTCAAGTATCTGGGCAACTTAGCGAAGGCAGGTTGATTGAAACTCTTGTAAAAGTATTAGATCGCTGCAATGTTCAGGTTCGTGATAGGACTAGTTGGATCTGATATTTTCTCAAACTTAAATTTGGGCAAAAATTTAATGAATCCCAGAGACTAGGTTTATAGACAAAAGTATTACTGAAGGAACATAAGTTCTATTTGACAATTCAGATACATAGGAATAATTCAATGATTCATTCGCACTAGCAAACATTATTCCTGACTGATGAGTAAAAAATTAAAAGGTATTTATTTCCTTCACATCCTTATAACCTGGAGTAGCTCCCCAATTCATCGCATTAGCACTAATTATCGATTAAATACTTACTCTGTCAATATCGACTTTTTGTGTATCAGAGCATCCTTGTCCTAGTCATATTTGGTTAAGAAAATTCCCATTGAAGAGAACGATAATATGATTCCCATTGTCAGAAATCCGAAAATAGCCCAAAAGGTTGGCTTTTCCATATTTAAAATAATATTATTAAATTATGGATACGAAGACATTTGCTCATAAATACTACTTTTAGATAATATTCTTAAATTCTTATAATAAAATTCCATATCCTTAGAAGTTATTTAATAATAATATTAGAACACCTATCTTATTGTTCATTTTGTGCATATTTCACAAAAATCAATATTAAATATAATTTATCTGTTAATAAAATGAAATTACGATCAATAAGCACTATCGATCATCCAAAAGAATTCTTGTTTCCAATTGAACCAGATCTTTCAGCCTCTATGACTGTGCAAAATTCAAAGATTTATCAAATGTATTAGAAGAACAAGTAAGCAACTCCAAATAAGAATCCATTACAAGCTCAATTTAATTTCACCAACACTTCCAAATTAGAAAATAATAATTCAATCTCTCCATTAAGATTGTATCCAGAAAAAACAGAACTGGTTAATTTATCATCTAAACGATCTTTAACTCCGACTTCTTAACCATAACAAATTAAAATTAAAGGACTCACTGAAAAATTTAATGAAACTCAACTTAAAAGGACTATGAGACACCAAGGAGTTGGAATCGTGTATTGTAGATAGAATTACAACAAGATCAATAACAAATTAGATGGGACTGGAGAAATCATGCTTGAAGGCATTCACAATATCCACGATGTCAAAAAGCGACTCAAGACCTTCGGACTGGAATTGGAAAACGAAGGAATACAACATGGTGTTAAACATATGATCTCTGAAAAATTTGCAAAGATATTATAAACTGAAAGAAATAAAACATCCAGAAATCAACACAATTACTTTAGAGCATGATTATTATATATATATAATTCTAAAATCATCCTCTTCTACTAATAGTTCCATATTATGATTTTGCTCCCACTTACGACTTAGCTCCAATTGGTGACTTTCCCACATCAATTGCAGATTTATTTAAGATTTCGTCCTAATTTTATTAGACCTAAGCCTTGGGGACATCTTATTATATTGGTAACTGTGCTTTAAGTGGTTTCATTCGAGCTTGAATTAGGAGCTATCTTATTTCATCATGATCCTAAACTGGCATTGAAAACAATAAACTTAAAGCACTTAAGATTGTTATTGGAATTATGTATAAATAAGACCTGAATAGGAGATGAGTTGGACTGCATTCCGATCTTACATCCACGTCAGCCTAATAAATGAGAGCTAATTATCATAAATATTTTAAACCTATTAAACCACTCTAACCTATTATCGTCAACATTAATAAAAATCGGAACAAATTTGGTATTGTAACCTTCTTTGTCAAAAACAATCCAATATTTAGAGGCAAACCAATAAAACAGGATATTAAGGCTATAAATAACAGTCCAAATTCAATATTAGGTATGTCTCTTGAACACAATGATTATGGTGCATTTGCTGTCAATATCAAATAAATTGCAAAGAACGAATTCGGTAAATTTGTTATTCTGAAGGCAAACAATACTGGAGAAAATAGAGTTAGTAGAACCTAGTTATCATGTGTTTAGCCTTACTTCTAAATGAGTTTTCAAATGAAAAAAGAGTATCAACTTCTATGATAAGATAACTCCTTCACATTCATTTGGCTGTGTAGTAACATCTAAATATGTCTAACCTATCATGATTCCGCTCCAACAAATGTTAATTGCATACATCACAAAAAATTCAAGTCTGATTCAATAACAAAATATTGTACCTTGCAAATGGTTCTTTGAGCCATATAAATAGTAGTGAGATTATATTTAGAATTAACAGTACTATATCACCTTTGTAGCTTAAAGAGATTAATTTTATTCCCTCATCTTATGAATGACATATTTGACTTACTTGAACAAACTTAATTTGTATAGCTTATTATAATAGGTAACAAATTAGAAAAGACAGTTAAGTAGAATTGCATTCTAGCAAACTAAAAGAAAACATTAACAGCTTTTGTTTTAGGGATGTTTATGTCAGTTTCCATTATTAATATTCAAAAAAAATTATACAATTTATTTATTTAATCAATAACAACTAAAAACATATCATCATTATCATAGCTTAATTATTCTTTCAAGTAACTCTTAGCTAATCTCTATTTGAAATCCCACAATGGCCAGGTTTTATAGGATTAACTGTCTATATTTGGTCACAATTTATTAATAATAATCATAGGGTTAGTTTTGATAAGTGTAGAGTAAAGATAGCAATGTAAAGATTCCGCAATCGAAACTATCAGTGATATTACTTAATTATACAATTGTTTTACTTATTAAAATGGGTTGGTATGGCATATTCAGAAATAATAGCAACTCCAATGAATTTGAGTATCTCTTTAGCTGCTTTTATTATATTTTCCATTCACATACGATTTATAAGAACCAAAGAACCTAATCTTCTTTTCTTTGAGACTAATAATCAAACAAATTCAATGTTGATTTTGCTAATTAATGGGAAGGTATAGAGATGATCTTAATTTTTCAGAGACTAAACATCTTTTAGATCATTCTGATGAACCATTTATGTGAGCAAACTCTCTAATTTGTTAATAATGTGTTTCTCTTTATTTTTCAAGGAGAGCGTTTTGAACAAATTCTATATTTTTATTTGAAAGGTCCATTTTCAATTGTTGCTGGTTAAGTTCTTTATAATTAAATTCTACTATTGTTAAGGATTAGTAATTTGACTCTATAATTCTTAATTAGGAATTTAATACTATGAATTTTAGTATTTCACTAAACTCTGAGTTCTTGTTCTTAGGTAATAATGAAGTATCAAAAATTGAGGTATCAACTTACTTAGTAGATGCTTCCATGTATTCAGCCAAAAAATAACTTTGAGCAATTGCGATATAGGATCAAATTTTTGTTACTTTTGTATGTTAATAGGCATGTCTAAATAAGTTACAATAGAACAACAAGTGTGAACTTGTTAAATATTAATTTGTCAATATTTGTTATAAAAATCTAAAGTCTACGATAACTCCGTATAAGCTGTTTCTCTCTTCAATCATGCTATATTGTCTATAATTTTAAGGGTGAACATAAATTATTTTATGTGTTTCCTATAAATCTTCTATTTTCATAGGCATCAATTAAATAATTAAAATATAAGTATATGAGTAAAGCTTTGCAATACAATACCATATCAAAGGGAGACTATCTTACTTAAAAGAGCATCCCCAATTCAGCTCCTATGTTAAGACCATAATCTGAAATGGTTAAACAATCTCAAGTATCGCCTCCAGTTCAAGCTCCGACAGATGTCATAGCAAGTTAACCAATTTATAAAGAGAAGTAAGAAAAACCGTAAAAGGATGCTCCATTTGAAAGAAGTATCTTTCCATAGAGTGAAATTCCATAACAAAATGCACCCATGAAAAGTGCAATGATAAATACTTAACAGCAAATTGCAAGTTAAACTAATATTCCTCAATAGCAATCCAATGTATCAAATTAAAACTAGATTCAAATTTTACAATAGTTAAAAGGGTTACAATTGGAGAATTAAGAATTGAGAGCTTAATTGATAAATCAAACAAGAGAAATAATGAATGCTGGGGCTTTGAAGAGTGAAAATGCAGCTCTTAGAGAGAGAGCTGATGAATTGAAGGTTATTGCAGATCATGTTAAAGAAGCTGATGCTTAAAATTAGGCTATGAAGAAATAAGTGACTGAATTATAAACTTAATTGAGTTAGCTTAAAGCATAAAATGGAGAATTATAGAAAGTAGCTGATGAAGTGGAGTAAGTTAGAAAAGAGATAGCCACTTATAAAGCCTTTGAAATGCAGTATAAAGAATTATTAAGATAAACTTTATAATTAAAATCAGATCATGATGCTTTAAATAAACAGTTTAATAAGTTATTGAGTGTTCAAGATGAAAATAAAAGAGTAAGTTAATAATATGATTAATAAGTAACCGAAAATGAGCAACTTAAAAAACAATTAGCATAACAAGAAAAAGACAATTAATTATTGCTTAATGATAATATTAGTATGAAATAATTACTAGATTAATTAAACTTTGATCATAGAAGTCTTAGATCTTAATTTGCTAAATTGCAATAATAATAACAATCTTAATATGAAGAAAACTAAAAGTTGAAAGATAAGATATCATAATTGGAATTAGAAATAGTGTAATTAAGATCTAGGAATGATGGATTGTAAAAGTTTGTTACTGCAGTTGACACACGAGAATAAGAAATTGGAACTCTCAAATACCATTTAGGAATGTGTGAAAATAATATGAAAATTGTCTAATAAAATTATGATGCCTCTCTTAAAAAATTAGAAATCTAAAGAAAAGATATTGAACAATTAGTAAGCGATAACAATTTGTTGAAAGGATAGTTGGAACATTTAACCCTATAGAATAGATAATTAAATGAATGTAATCTTATATTCCCTAAAAATAGTACAATGGAAAAATAAAGAACAAGATCACCAGACAAAATAAATGGCTGAGGAGATTAAAAGATTAAACAGTCTTATCTTAGTCAAAAATAATGAGTGTAACCAATATAAAAATGATGCCTCCAGGTTTCATTCTCAACTTATGAGTTTGCAGAATACTGAAAATTTGAATAAAAGAATGAATGACTAAATTCAACAAATGGACCAAGACATATAGTTTTTAAGGAAGATGAATTAGGATTAATAAATGCAAATTAAACAATTAGAGGAATTCAGATATAATACTATCTATAATATAAAATAACAAGACTTTAGCAGTAAATAAAATCCTTATTGAATATTATAACCTATTTATTTAAAAATCATATATCAATAAATAAACCATTAAGATTATAAATAATTTTTTTGCTTCCAAATTCACACAATCCTGAAATTAAGGAGACTTTGATAATAGTTAATTTCATGATAATTCTTATTGATGAATCAGTGCTTGATTATTGGGAAATCCATAATATTCTTCGTGTTATAAATGGATTATGAAGAATCTGACCATAAATATCCTGTATCGAAGACTGATATTGGAGTCTTATAATAGTTAAATAATGTTGAACTGGGAATTATTATTGTGAATAAATTTACTGTTTATAATATTCTTAGACCTTATGAATTTAATTACTTAGAAATCCAGAGTTTTAATTAGATACCCTAATTGATTAGATATTATAGATCTTATATGTTGAATAAATATAATTTAATTGATAGTCAATTAAATCTCAAACTAAAACTCTGTCTAAGTGCTAAGATATAAATCGATTTTATAGCAATGGTTCCAATAATGAATTTATATAAGCAGTGGGGATCACTGATAAAAGCAAATTACTTATGCTTTCACATTCATATTGATATAACTAATTTCATCAACTCTAATATGGAAGATGTAAAATTATTTGATCAACATTCCCTACTTTCTTCGACAAAAATACTCTAGGAACTATATTGATTATCTTCTCATCATGTGATTTAATATACTATAATAATATGTAATATCATTATCCATTATATTTCAAATGAATGATCTTTAGGGTGAATTATTGTCTATAGTAATCATTAGTACTTGAATCAATTAGTTAATTATTTATGATTACCATCGTATATTTCTATTTTAGTCTCAAACTATTGATATTAGAATTTTCTAAATAATATTTTAGATAATCTATTAATTTTAATTTATGTGATTTTGTAGAAATTGTTAAGAGTCATAGGCTATCAAATCAACATCTTTAAATAATTATTATTATATAAATTTCTGATTTCTGTGTTAATATTGAGTGATATTTTAAATCAAAATTTGCCTCCGCTTTTCCTTTTAATATGAACTCTCTTTTTTAAATAAATAATTGAAATCCATTTTTGTTATGTGATTTTAATATTAATTTTTGAATTTCAAATGTCAGGTATCACTATATATCTATAATAGAGGAATCACAATATTCTGAGCATCCAGGAGGGTGGATTGAATGGTTTTGTCAATTGCCTTAAAATTAATATCTGACTGAAGTGGATTCCGAATTCATTCAAGATCCAAATAATTATGGCCACCTCATTAAATAATTCAATCTCTTTTAATAAGCTTTACAAATGATATTGTCATCAGAATAGCCAGACACTTTGGATCTAGAAAACGAGAAGTATTTTATTTTATCATACCTAGATTCCTTGAATTATACACAGAAGCCAGTGATATTTACGGATTACTTCACCAGGCATTCATCTAAACTCCAAAAGGCTTAGCAATAATGAGAGAAAGATTTTTGAATGGCAGATTTGGTCACTGTCCAAGAGTCCTTTGTGAAAAACAGAATACCATACCTATTGGATTGAGTGAGAGCCTCAAAACTAGCAGAATTAAAGTGTATTGCCCAAGATGTAAGGAAGCATATGCCCCACGTAAGAGTTAGGCAGACTTTGATGGAGCATATTTTGGTCGCAGTTTCCCCATGTTGCTTCTGTTGGTATAGACTAATATCTTATCACAAGACTTACCCTGATGTGCATCCTAAATTCACTATTCAATTAGGCACTGAGTTATTTACCCCTTTCTAACCAACTCTTTATGGATTTAAAGTTAGAGATGAAAAATAAGTCTCACAATCTTCTACATAGTTACAATCATAATTACCATAACAACAACAGTAACAATAATAAATTATTACTGAACATACAAATGGAATTGTTGAAAAAGAAAATCACCATTAATAAGAGAAATAAAATGCTGAATAAGAATCAAAATAGTAAAAAAAGAAAAAGAAAAATAAAAAACAANGATTATCTTCTCATCATGTGATTTAATATACTATAATAATATGTAATATCATTATCCATTATATTTCAAATGAATGATCTTTAGGGTGAATTATTGTCTATAGTAATCATTAGTACTTGAATCAATTAGTTAATTATTTATGATTACCATCGTATATTTCTATTTTAGTCTCAAACTATTGATATTAGAATTTTCTAAATAATATTTTAGATAATCTATTAATTTTAATTTATGTGATTTTGTAGAAATTGTTAAGAGTCATAGGCTATCAAATCAACATCTTTAAATAATTATTATTATATAAATTTCTGATTTCTGTGTTAATATTGAGTGATATTTTAAATCAAAATTTGCCTCCGCTTTTCCTTTTAATATGAACTCTCTTTTTTAAATAAATAATTGAAATCCATTTTTGTTATGTGATTTTAATATTAATTTTTGAATTTCAAATGTCAGGTATCACTATATATCTATAATAGAGGAATCACAATATTCTGAGCATCCAGGAGGGTGGATTGAATGGTTTTGTCAATTGCCTTAAAATTAATATCTGACTGAAGTGGATTCCGAATTCATTCAAGATCCAAATAATTATGGCCACCTCATTAAATAATTCAATCTCTTTTAATAAGCTTTACAAATGATATTGTCATCAGAATAGCCAGACACTTTGGATCTAGAAAACGAGAAGTATTTTATTTTATCATACCTAGATTCCTTGAATTATACACAGAAGCCAGTGATATTTACGGATTACTTCACCAGGCATTCATCTAAACTCCAAAAGGCTTAGCAATAATGAGAGAAAGATTTTTGAATGGCAGATTTGGTCACTGTCCAAGAGTCCTTTGTGAAAAACAGAATACCATACCTATTGGATTGAGTGAGAGCCTCAAAACTAGCAGAATTAAAGTGTATTGCCCAAGATGTAAGGAAGCATATGCCCCACGTAAGAGTTAGGCAGACTTTGATGGAGCATATTTTGGTCGCAGTTTCCCCATGTTGCTTCTGTTGGTATAGACTAATATCTTATCACAAGACTTACCCTGATGTGCATCCTAAATTCACTATTCAATTAGGCACTGAGTTATTTACCCCTTTCTAACCAACTCTTTATGGATTTAAAGTTAGAGATGAAAAATAAGTCTCACAATCTTCTACATAGTTACAATCATAATTACCATAACAACAACAGTAACAATAATAAATTATTACTGAACATACAAATGGAATTGTTGAAAAAGAAAATCACCATTAATAAGAGAAATAAAATGCTGAATAAGAATCAAAATAGTAAAAAAAGAAAAAGAAAAATAAAAAACAATGAATATATGAATTTATTTCATTATCGATCTAATAATATAAATATTTCCTTTTATTTTTTTGTTTAAGCAGCCTATAAGATATATATTCAATGACTTTATTATAGTGAATGAGCTTAATAAAAATCGAGATTTAATTATGATAAAAGAATATCAATAAATGTTGAAAATCATCTATTTTTATTTATAATATATGATTGTAGTGCAAAATTAATTGATGATACGGAGATGATATCATATATTGATAATCGATTCATAACTATAATTATAAATCTGATATTGAAAATTAATTCTTATTATTAAACACAAGATCACCCTAATTAAAAAATAGTCTTAATAAAATAAGTTGTAAGAAATAATAACAAGATAACAAAAGTTAAGAAATAGTTTACATTCATCAAGCAATATATAATAATTTTATCAAGCTAATATAATAATAAAATTATATAGATAAATGATTCTAAATAATCGATGATATATATTTAATTATCAAGGTTTATCTCCCAATTTGTTATGAGCCAATTTATCCCAACACTAAAATTAATATTGATAAATAGTTTACGTGGTAATAGTCATGATCCAAGTTTACTTAGTCATCCATTACAAATGAACAAGTCTTAAACATATATGTACTTTCAAACATAAATGCCAAATTTTCATAAGGATATCTTATTGGCTAAAAGATAATGCACAAAAGATACTTGCAAATCGATATTAGACCATTTGGTAAATGATTCATGATCAGGACCATGTCCTTACAATAGACTATGTAATGAACCATATCCAGGTTAGAAGCCACCTTCCTTGGCATCATATTAACCAGAAATATTTCCCATGTATTCACTCATAACATTTCTGTGATAATAGGGTGGTCTGAAAGTATGCTCTGCAACCATCCATCTTGGGGGGAATATGGCAAAGTCACATACTGCAACTCTTTGGGAAAATAGATATATTCATACCCTGGTTCATCAGTTTAACATGTAATTACAGTGAATATGGATGGATCAGGATGATCGAATGTAACAGTTCCCATGGCATTGAAAAGATCCAAATTATATTTGAATGGATAATAGTTTCCATGCCATCCAACAACGTCATAAGGTGATCCTTTCTTTGTACATTTATAGAATTTTCCCAAATATTTATTGATTATTTAGAATTCTTCTTCTGTATTCTCATAAAAGGCAACTGGAACCAAGAAATCTCTTGGGTTGGCTAGGCCATTGGCTCCAATAGGTCCCAAATCTGGGATTCTGAAGTGACCTTTAAAGACTTCACATATGTATCCTCTTATTGGCTTAGTCATTTCTACACTAAACTTGATTCCACGAGGAATAACACAAATTTCTCTTGGTTTGACTGTCATTTTACCCATTTCTGTAGTAATTAACATCTCTCCTTCCCAGGGCACTATGTTTAATGAGAATAAATACCTATTAGGAAGTCTCCGTCACTATTAAACATACTAGAGTTGGTCATACTTTTATTTGCAGCATATAAATATATTGCAATTCCTTGTTTAATGGATGGATCACCTGCTCCACAGACGGTGACCAAACCTTCAGCAAAAGTAGTAGGTTTTTCAGGTATGGGTAATCGTTTCCATCTGATAATAATATTTCTGGAATTTACCTTAATTGATTAGGTGTAATGGTGAGTCCATGATCATTCAAAAAATCGTTTTTAACATATTTTCCAAACTCTGGGGCTTCTACAAATGGAGTGTGAGCAGCACTTGGTCTAATTTTATAGAGCCATGTCTTTTGATTGCTTGCTCTAGGTAAAGTGAAGGCTGTTCCTGAAAATTATTCAGCTATCAAATTGTAAGCACATTTTTGAGGACTATTTTATCCTTTTGGCACTGCTCCCTTGAGTGCTTCTGTTTCCACATAATTACCAAATCCAATGGCATAATCAAGGTTTTCGTAATTGCGATGTGTATCCATTATAAGATATTTAATTAAATTTATCAAATAATTACGTATTATCAATTTGCTTATATTTCACATGACACACTATTTATAGTTTTTTAATTTAATTATAACATTGATTATCAATATCAAAAACAACATCTCAATTATAAGTGAAAAACCAAGTTCATTTTGTAATCTCTATATATTAATAAATATGTAAATAATATAAATATAAATTAATTTTACTTCATTTTATTTAAATGTTTGATGATTGAATTTGAGATTTAATTAAAAATGATCTGTAAGTATACTTAATATTATTACTTGATAGATTTACAAATGTTCCTTATATCCTATCCTTACAGCAATTTGAATATCTCTTATCTTTTAGACAAAGTCAAAATGAAATGCTTATCATCTTTAACTTGAAGATCAGTAATTTCATTCGCCTTATAGATGAATCTTTTTGCTGGTGTTTCCAATTCTAAAATATAGTCATTGTAAATATTTTATCGAAGAATAAAAGCACAATTAATCTCAAGCAATTAATTTTTTAAAATCAATCTATGTTATAGAAATTTCCCTCTAATATCTTCCAATTCTAAGATGTTTACCTTTTATTATTCAATGATATTTTCTAAATTCTGCACTTCACTCTCCTTCTGCAATAAGCCTTATTCAAGATTCTGGATTTTAATCTTCAACTCCGTATTGATTTATGATTGTTCAATTATTTTATTGTATAAATCTTCTTCAATATCATGAATGTTTTTTTTTAGTTGTCTATTCAGAATGTTTGCCTCTTCCAACTCTTTGCTGAGTTTACCCAAAATAGATTCTTTATTGCTCAATTCTTTTTATAAATTGTTTTATTCATGTTATAAAATACATGATTATGCTTAGAAGTTATTTTACATTATTTTTATTTCTCTATTATATGCCACAACACTTACTATTATAATTGCTTATTCAATTTTATCATGCTTTGTAATTGCTAATCTGTTGTTCCTTCTGCCGTAACTATTTAAGCAGAAAAATTGCTCTAAGATTATATTCTAACAGGAGTTGTTTCTATATTTCCTTCCAAAATAGTAATTCTTTGCTTTAATTCCTCTACTAGTTCAATGTAAGATTGTTCCTTATCAATTTCAAATTATTCTTACATTTTAATCCTTTTCCTTAAGTACCTTAGCCAATTCAATCGATAAGGATTGATTGGATATTTCTAATTATTCCTTTTGCTCCCTTAATTCCAACACTGCCTTCTTTAATACTTGAATTTTTGCCTTGTCACTTCCATTATTACATGAATCAGAAGCACCATCTGACTTTTGAGACTTGAGCATATTTTGATATTTTATATTTATAATAATTCAACAATAACATCCAACAATATAAATGTCTAATGCTGGTAGTGTTTTGCATACGCAGTCCTCCCCTGCACATTCATCTCTCCCAATCTAAATTAAGAAGTCCGATACGCACTCTGTAGTAGCGTAAGTCTTTGGTGTACTACATGCTTCATTTCCCAATTTCGCTGGTTCCTAACAACTATTTGGACATGTGATATCCTTATGGCTTTAAAAAGAATTAGTGCACTTATTATTCAATGAACAACGTGCTAATTATTATACAAGCAGTGAATTTGAACTAAAAATACATCCTTCAAAGCAATTATCCTCTCTAGATTCACATTCTAAAACCTTTAATAAACTATTGTTAATATAAGATAATTGTTATTTAAAAAAATGATCTTATTATATTTTATAATGGGGATTTAGATAATAAACTTCAACTTACATTGTTTTTTTAATTACAATACATACATTCTTCACAAGTTTTAAATGTTTGCTAACAGGCAAGATTATTTTAGCAAGTTTAATAAGGAACAGCGCAAACAGCTTTTTAACATGCACGATAATAGTTCAGGCTATATGCAATACTACATGCTGTCATCAATGACAAAATAATAATCTTGCTCATTTCAATTTATTTAGTAATTATTATTAATAATATGCATCTTTCAGAGAAAAGTAGCCTTTATCTAATAAAAAAATTAAGATTATTCTAATTTCACTTAATTGTAAAAAGGTTCTTAGATTTATTTAAAAATTCAATTGATTTTATCAATTTATCAATTTTAACATTTGATGCATTTATTACATATGTTTAATGAATTTTATGTTTTTATAATGAGATCTGCTAATTTAGTTTTAGAAATTGCTGATAATTATGAAGAGCTAAAAAAATAAGTAATTAGAACTAATTAACTTTATTTTATATCTAATATAAATTTATCAAATAAAAATGGACCCAAAATCGACAGCATTCCATCTTTACAAATAGACATTAATTAGAAAGAACACTAAGCCTATTGGACAAATCTATAGTTACGAATAAAAGGATGTAATTATTCAGTTTTAATATGTGTAGAAAATTGGGCAAGGAGCATACGGCAGTGTGTACAAAGCCATACATAAAGTAAGCAAATAGGTTAGAGCAGTTAAAGTTATAAACAAACTTAATATCAAATATAAAGAACGACTATTAAGCGAGATAACAATTATGGAGTTATTAGTAAATAATATATATCATCAATTAGGATCACCCTAGCATTTTGAGATTATATGAAACATTCGAGGATGAAGAATACTTATACATGGTTTTGGAGTAAATATATTTGTTATATAAAGAATATGCCAAGGAGGAGATGTGTTTGATAAGGTTCTAGAAAAGGGATGTCTACCAGTAGAAGATGCTTTTAAAATATTTATTTAATATATGCGAGCTGTTAACTATTATTAAGGGTTTAAAATTGTGCATAGGTATTATAAACCATAATTAAATAGAGATTTAAAACCTGAAAATTTTTTATTTTAGAAAAAAAATGATTTATCATCTTTAACCTTGATTGATTTTGGTATTGCAAAAAGGTGTGTTGACAAATTAAAAACAAAAAGTGGCACAGTAAATTTTATTAAGAAGCTAGGCATATTACGTTGCTCCTGAAGTTTTGGATGGTTTATACGATCATAAATGTGATGTATGGTCAGCTGGAGTTGTGCTATATGTTATTTTGTGTGGTTATCCTCCATTCTATGGGGAAAATGAAAAGGAAATACTTACAGAAATTAAAACTGGTTCATTATAATTTGATGGTAATAATTTAATTAATTTTTAAATTAGGCGATGAATGGTAAGGCATTTCCCAAGAAATTAAAGACTTTATTAGATCTTAAGTCTGTCCAGCTGAAAAGAGAATGTTACCAAAGGATTTATTAAGTCATAAGGTTATTACTCAATACAATCAAAAATTTGTTTAAGATAATAAATTAATATCTATGCTAACACTCAATTAATGGGTCAAATATAATCCAATTAGAAGATTAGCTCTCTTTTATTTAGCAACATAACTTGATTCAAGTGAGTTAGTCAATTAGAAAAATTGCTTTTTCTTCATAAATACTTCTCAAACTGGTTTAATAACTTAATAAGAGTTATCAACTTATTTAAAAGTTAATAAATAAGATGTACAAAAATTATGGCCTTTAATTGATTGTAACAGCAATGGCTTCTTGGATTATTTTGAATTTGTTGCTATAACACTCACCTAGTAAGAATTTGTAAAATAATTACAATTTATGTTCGACTTCTTGAGTTAGCAAGATAAGGTCATTTCATAAAAGAGCATCAAATCTATTTTCGATTAAAATGCTAACTTTAATAATAAATGGGACAGCATCTCAGACACAAAAAACCATTTGGCTATAGTGAACTAACACGAATAATAAATAAATGTTAAAAATATAATAGACAAAGACATGGATTTCAATGCCTTTAAAGCCATAATGTAGTGAAATATACATTCATATATCAATATAAATATATTTAATAATTTTAGATGCTTTCATAAGTATTATATCTTTTTACTTTTAATAAAATAGTTCAATTTATATTAAATAATTTTGGAAGTGTTGAAGTCTCAAAAAATTAAGGGGTTCTTTATTCTTGATAATTGTCAAAATACCTTAATATATCGGGATTGAAAAATAATTAGATTTCTAATTTTAATCATCTTCTCTGTCATAATATATTTATATATAAATTTATAAATGAAATCAAATAAATATTAGCGTTAGAGCAATAAATCTAAGCAATAATTAGTTGTAATTTTTCTAAACCATTTCTGACATAATCATACAATAATTTGTACATATTAGCAAGCATTTAAATTCTTAAAGAAACTTTGCTTGCTATTTGGAATAACATAAATAATATTGTTAGTTATTACTACTATTCATAAGGTCATCAACAACATATCATATAAAATATATTTATCTTAATTATTTGTAATGAGGAAATCTTAGTATGCTGACTTATTAGAATCAGACGATGGATAGAACTATGGATCGGAATCATCTGAATACTAAGTAGAATTGATAAATTAGAGGGGATGTTAGACAGCAAGTGCTTGTGCCAAGCGTTACCATAAAATCCCTTTAAAAACGTAAATTTTGTTATTTTAGATGGTATATGTTAATGGAAAGCGAATAAAGCAAGTACATGCATATAAATAATATTTAGGTTGCCAGGTCTTTGGGTATAAATTACTCAAGTGCAAAATCATTGATTCATTATTATAAAAATAATAAAAGACCGATCCCATCTGCAATTTCAAGTATTTTGAATTAGGCCAAGCCTTGTGGGATAAAAAAGACTAAGCATGGCAATAAGAATATGTTTGTTGTGGTTCAAATTCAAAAGAACACCATTAAATAATACAATTTTTATTAATTACTTTAATAATAACAAAACCCTTGAGAATATTTGGAGAATGAACACATGATTCCAATATATATCTTATATAATTGATGATACTCCCAAATTATAATATAAACTTAAATATATATATTTTATAAGTATCTATTAAGGAATATTAAATGCAATCCTTGCAATAAGGAGTCGTTTAAGTGTTTTTATAGATTTAAAAGGTTTATTCTTTATTTTCAATTATTAGGAATAACGCTTTTCTTTAAGAGATTAACAATTCTGTTTTATGAAAATAAAAATTAAATCTTAAATTTAATTTAAATCAAAAAATGTGTTATAAAATGGAAAATAATTCAATATGTCGTTATTAGACCTTCCAAAAATTGCAAATAATTGATAACTAAAAAATGCACAAATCGTGAATATTGTAACAAATATAAATATAATTGCTACAAATAATAACTTAATTTGATAATAATTATTTTTAGTTATTTTAAAATTTCCCTTCTTAAGACTTTCTTCCATATGTAAAACACTGATTAGGAATCTTCTATTAATAATTCGATTGCAAAAGAATAAGAATAACAAAATTTTGTTAAAAATAATAAGAATACAAAAAAGTCATCTAGACGAATCCACAAAATACCAATACGAACCCAATAATTATTGTTCGTATAGGTTTTCTAAGAAGGAAAATCAATCAAATAAGTAAAAGTAGCAAAATATCACCTTAGGTTGCTGATGATTTAAAACTAAACTATTCTAGCGCTAAATCCTTGATACATTACTATAAAAACCATAAAAGGCCTGCTCCTAATTAAGTAGTTGATGTATTAAACGGAAAGAAGCCATGCCTTTATAAAAACATGCAGAATAACTAGAATGCTTATAATAATCTAAAAATAGAAGTTTGGCTAAAACATTCATTTATTAAAGCCTATAACTTCTATGAGAGATTAAGAAAGCAAGAGTAACGTTTTGCAAGTCAATGTCTTTCATGATATTCATTAATTTAGAAATTATTGTTTGGAAATTGCTGATTCTTGTTTTTAAATAATTCCATCTTTACTTTGTAAATTGTTCTTTAACCATCAACCTAAAACTTTCAATGAATTATCAATTAAAATCTATTAATTTCCTAAAAAAGCACGAGAAAATATATAAAATAAGTTTGAATATCAACAGGAATTAGGTGTATCTAATTTCTACTATTTTTAGTATCAATGTCAGAATATGATTAAATTCGTTTAAATTTTGTGATTTATTTATTTATATGATTCTAAAATAGGTGTGATATAGCTGAGATTAGTTTGGGTATCAAATAAGAGTTTGTAATAATTGAATTCTGATGATAAATAAAGTTTGCTTTAGTCTTGAAATACAAATTAATCAATAGGTAACTCTTTCTCTAATTTGAATGTATAATCTACTATTTCACTAATAGTAATGATTTTCTATGTAAAAAGTTAGCATCATAGTGTACAAACATGAAAATGTTTACATTTCTAAAAAATTGTTAGTTCATATTAAATAACATTTTTAAAGAAAAATTCTTTTTTCATCTTAATCGCATCAAGTTAGATCATAGAACAATAGATCAGAAAGCACTCTGTTCTAGTTCAGATTGAAAATATAAATGAAATCGATAATTTAAGTTTCCATTTTTCATTTTACTCCCAAGATCCTACAAAATAGCAAATTATTTATAAATATTATTTAATATATAGCATTTGATATTATCAAATCCTTTCAATTTCTAATTAAAGGATGTGCTAACAACTATAAATTCAGGAATATGTTATTTGACCTTATTCTTTTTGAGTAAATTCATAATTATAATATAATAAGTTTTGTAAGCAAATATTAGAAAAGGGAAGTAAAAATTAAGATAAAGCCTCATTTGAATCGATTTTATGAAAATTTTGAGTACATTAATTGAAATAAAAAATATGACATATTTATTATTAATTACAACTTTAATAGTATTAGGTTCGTCATTGTCGACGTAGCTTTCATAATAGCCAACATGCTTTATAGTGAATTCACCTGAAGAAAATTCAAATCTGACTGTAAATTATATTGTTTCTGGTTTGGATGAAAACTAGACTGATGTTTTTATTAAAAAGAAAGATGGAGAAGTATTAATTAAAGTCCAAAATACAAAAGACGGAAAAATTAGAGAAATTTTGAAAGACAAGGGCAACTATTATGTTTGTTTCTAAAGTAGAGATAAGAGCTACAAAATGGTTAGTTTTGACTTTGATCTCGAAGGGGTTGAGAAGGAATATGCTTAGACCGAACAATTTGAATAAATGTCAAAAGAGTTACAAAAAACACAAAAGAATTTCTAAAGCATTTACAGAAATCAACATTGGATATCAGACAGAGAGAGTGCCCATGCATTGATCTTAGATTAAACAGAAAAGTCTGTCTAATGGTGCACAGTTATTAAAGTGGGGATACTTATTGTAATCAGTTTATCATAAATCTATATTGTTTATAATTATTTCAAGGACAAGGATTTCAATGGATAAGTGTGAGAAATTAGAGAATATATATTATAATTAAATTTATAGATATAAATTTTTAGTTTATAAGATGATCACAAAAATGAGTCTATGAAACACTCATAATCCAATGGATTAAGTGCTGTACTATTGTAATCGACATAGGGGTTGGGAGATCCAATTTTAGATTCCTGAAATTGGTCTTCTTTAATTGGTTTGTATTCCCCTAAATATTTGTTGGTTTGTGTTTCACTTTTATCTAAAGATATATTAAATAATGATACTTTCTTATCTTAATTCTTCATTTATTGCATGAAGCATTTAGCCGACTTATTTAAATTTTACTTCAATGTCGACGCTTTAATTGTAAACAAACTGATTATATTCATAATTTCTTACATGATTTAAGTTCTGCATCTAATCAATTAGATACGAAGATGTTTCTTATAATAGTTTCATATCTTCCTTCAACTTATTATTCGTCTCCTTGATATCAATGGCACATTCTTTAAATAAGTTCTGTTCTTCCTTAACTTAAATTGCTATCAAAATAACGATAAATTGCATACTTGGTTCTTCCTGAATGGCAGGAGCAATTAGATCCTCCTGATTTCTCCTTTTTATAAATTATAACATCGATCTTTTAAAGTTAAGAAAATAGAAATACTTCATTCCTTTTCTAAAGCATTTATGCTTAAATATTTATCCTTCATTTGATCGAACTTTCTTGAAATTATATAGATTTAGCTATCTATAAAGCATATACAACAACGGAATACCTGACAAAACTTGAATAATTGCTGTGTTTGAAGAAATTTTGTAAAACCTATTTCTCCATTTACTATTGATTATATACTATGAAGGCAGTGCCTTGAGCAGTCCAACTGACGATGTTGGCATGCTTTTGTTCCTTAAAAGATATTCAATAGGGTTTACTTCAAGCATTTAATAGGTTTTCAGTATGAATGTTGGAATGGGAGTTCTAGTGCTCATAAATTGTTAAAATATAATATATTTTTTAGTAAAAATGAATTAATCGATATTTAAATCCTATCAATTTGATAAAATCTATGTTTTCCACCAGAAATAAATCTCTCCACCAGAATCGGATATTTGCTTATATTTATATATATTTTATAATTTAATGAAGCCTTTGCTCATATTCATTCTAATCCTCTACATATTATTTATTGTGGCTCTTGAAAGTAATAATAACCAAATTAATTTTATTTTAAAGCCAACGATAAAGCGAAACCAAAGAAGTCAAAAAAGAATAAAAGCATAAGTGAAATGAAATCGCCAATAACTGTCAGTGGAAGAGCTTGGGCTAGAAAGAATTGTATGTTTGGTGAAATTTTGAGTAAAGGAGGAATAGAAGTATTTCATGATCAAGAAATAGGCTAAAAATTTAAAAACGAAAAAATTGGAAGCATAGGTTTTGAAAACTAAATTGTTAAAAGTTGGAACTCTAAAATCAAAAAAAGAAGGTAGACCTTTGGTTATCAATGGTTCGATATCTGTGTATAAGATGAAAACATAAGAGAAAAAACAGAAAGTCTTATTATAAGAAAGTTTATAATTTAACTATTCTAGTTTAGTGGGAATTGTTGCATCATCTGGATTTCAATGATTAATCTAATAGTAAATGTGAAAATTTGAGAGATGGTCATTTCTTTGGGGGCTATTGCGAAAACACAAATTAAACCTTAAGCAAAAAGTTTAACAGTTTACCTTAACATACTCAAATAAAAGTTGAATTAGCATTACACGTATTTGATTAATGGGAATCAGAATAAATCATCATGAAAGCAGATGAATAAATTAGTATTTAAAATTACAAAACTATTAGTTTGGAAGAATAAATTTGAAAATACTGCTCATCATAACAATTTCTGTGGAAGTTCTAGGTTTGGAGATCAAATCAACATGTATTGCTAATTTAATATATAGATTAGTCCTATTATGAAGATATTTGATCACACTCACAATGAACTGAATTTGTAATTATAAGGCTTAACATCAAAAAGCACTTGTGAAGCCAGTTTTGGAATTGATAATCTAGTTATTTATTATAGATGAATGTTGATTTATTATTAATTTTAAATTCAAAATGTCTTAAAGCAGTAAATGTTTCATTTTCATAAACATTAGATATTTCCGTAAATGAGAATGGGTGGATTAAATGGTATTGCAATTTAGAAGACCATCACTTTTTTTGTGAGATTGATGAATTTTTTATAGCAGACTAATTTAATCTTTATGGATTGAAATAGTTGTTTGATCATTTTGAGTAACATCAATTTAAAATACTATATTAGAGAAGCATTATAAATGATTTTATCTCCAAATACCCCAACAGATGAAGATTTAGAGGATGATTAGTATTAAATGAAAAATTATAATTAAGATTTTTGGAACTCTATAATGAAGCATCAGAATTATATGGTTTATTACATGCTAGATTTATTATTACTCCCTAGGGATTAACATTAATGAAATCCAAATATTTATAAGGCAGATTCGGAGTATGTCCCAGAGTATTGTGTGAGAGATAGAATGTGTTGCCAATAGGTTTAAGTCACGACCTAAGAACTTCTCGAGTTAAGGTAATCAACTATTACATAAATAATCAAGATCTTCTGTCCAAGATGTTAGGATGTTTATTCTCCTAAAAAGTAAATGAGTGATGTGGATGGTTCATTTTTTGGTTCTGTGTTTCCTCACATATTTTTATCTGTATTTTCAGAATTAAATCCAACTTAACCAGCAAATGAATATGTATCCAAAATATTTGGGTTTAAAGTTCATAAAAAGAAAGGTTCAAAATTTCAAATTCAATAAAATTAAACTGAGATGTATTATTATGCTGAGGATCACATTAAAAGACTTTCACAAATATCAAATTCGTAATAATAATAATCTTAATAACAAATATAATAATAATCTCAGAAAAATGACGAGGAAGCAGAAAAAAAATAAAAAGAGGCATTAAATGCCATATAGAAGTTATAGAAATAAAAGTAAAAAAAATGATTCTGGTATAATTAATTATTTTCATTGTCCTCTCATTATTATTCTAAAGCTGCTTATTCTATTTCTACAAATCGGACATTTCGAACTTCTTTCCTTCAACCCTTAGCAACAAGCCTAACATAAACTCATATGTTTGCATGGTAAAATCAATGTATTAACTTTGTTACTCAAACAAATAACACAATCTTTATCTTAATCCTTTTAACCCCCATAAACATCTCTAACACTAAAGGCTTTCCCATTCTTTTGCATCTTAATATCGAGTGTCTATAATTATATTTCATTCTAATTCAACTTGAAAAAACAGTATTAAAATAATGCTTTCTCTTAAGTTTCCTAAATAATTATGCAATTTATACCATTTCAATGATCAATGGATACTATCGTTTTTCTTAGTTTGTGTATTCTAAATCTTCTAGTTTGATCTATCGTATATCAAACTGAAACTAATCAAATTTATATCCTGAAACAGGTTCAAAATAGTAGGTCTTTGATTAATAGGAAGTAATTTTTTAAGTAATAAATTCATTATTAATAGTTTCAACAGCTAACAAATGAATTTTAAGTGTCACAGGCTCTAAACATTCGAAGACAAATTCTATTTAATAAGTGCTAGCATCTATTTGAGTCTGAAATGATATGTATTTTATATATACTAATTTAAAAGAATCCTTTTTGATGTAAGTATTATTTTGTTTTGGAACAACTTTCTTGACTTCGACATTGTGTTTAAATCTTGCTGGATGTTAATCTTGATTTTGTAGATATTATGGGAAATCCTATACAATTTGTTATGGATTGTTTTAATATAAATCTCGAAGCACTTATTGATAATTGGGATCATTGGTAAGATGTTGTACACTTTAATGATTAGCAGCATTATTATTATTTTAATTGTTTCCCATTTTAATTATAATATTTAATACATATTTATGATATCAATCAATAAATCTTTAGCATTCTGGCATCCTTTCTAATTAATGTTTAATATTGTAGAACCCTATCAAATTGCCTAAAAATTGATCATCTATTTTTTCTCCTTATCTCAAGCAATACAAACTTTTAAAAATGTTGTCACTTATAGTTAAATGCCAATCTGAACTTACTCTAGAACTTCCAATTTAATCAAAATTCGAATAATGATTCTCAATCTTAATATTATCTTGAGGATCTAGTTTCTAATTTAAGTAAGGTTGAAATCTCTCAATAAATTAATCCTCATTTCTTTTCTATTCTAATTTGATTCTTTTCTTTGTTTTCTTATCATTACTTTCCATTTTTATATTATCATAACTAGGAAAATTTTTCTGTAGTTTCTCGAAGAATTAAAATAGCTTTCTATTAGCCTAACTAACAAATTCTTCTACTTTTGTTTCATCTACTGACCAGGTTGATTCATCATTTCTTTTAAAAACAACCGCAGACAAACAACCTTTCACAGTTCTTGTTGCCATTCCTGTAAAATTCTTTCCATTCAACTTTCTCAAAAATGGAAGATAAGGTTCTGTAACATTTATTAGATTATTAAGTGTGGCATTCCCCTCTTATAACTGAATCGCCTTGATCAAATGGCCTGTCAATGACATTTAATACAATTCATCCTTATTCACCATTTCATGCCATTTATTTATATTGAAGGATTTAGCTTACTAAATAGAGTTTCATTAAATATAGTACATGCTTCAGTGTTTCTGAATGATATCTACGCTCATCTTAGCGTGGCTAGTTTAATCGAATGTTTATTATTTAACTCAATTATAAAGGCTTACTCTGCTGAAAATATTTATGCTATTGATCACATAGATCAGCCTACTTTATTATTTTATTAATATACTTCGACTTTAGTTTTTTAATCCATTTAGTCTGTTTATATATAATATTACCCCCTTTTATAAATTAAAATAAAGGGGGATCAAATACTCACTTAAATAGTAATCTCCCCCAAATTCTGTATTAAATAATATATATATAATAGAATTTATTATTGAGATAAAAATGAGCCATCCCTAATTGATATTTTATAATTTATCAATTAATTTGATGTTCTTCATAACTTTTATTTCATTTAATCTTAAACATATAACTAATATATATAAAATACTAATTATTATCAGTAGTCACACCTATCATCCTTAGTGAATTTCAAGATGTATGATTTCTGAGAATGAAAATCATTAAGTTTTCTTTATAAGAGGATTAGAATCTAATCAATGCGTTAGGGTTAGAATTACTTTTGAAAATATTCATTGATATTCTTTCAAATAAAGGAATTACCTTATAGTTACTTAATTAATTTTTGAACTCCTTTTTGTTAAATCAATTCTTCATTGTTTTAATACAAATGTAACAAGTATTTATTTATGTTATATTTAAACAATGGTATCAAATTAGAATTAAAATGATAATTAAATCATCTTTAATTATCATTAATTTTCAATGTAAAATGTATAATTTTCATCCTTATAGATTAATTTCTAATTTTCTAATTGTCTATAACTTATAGTATTTGGTTATATCAATGTGACAATAAATAAGAGATTAATTTAACAAATAAGGTTTCTAAATTATGATTTATGATTGCTAGCATGACAAGTTTTATTATTCAAATTCTAATACTATTTTTTATAATATTTTATTATTATTTCATTATCTTATCTTTCTCAATGACTATCATGATGAATATTAACGATATAAAACGCTGTTTCAATACTTGATACAAGAAATGCTCTGTCTTTAATTTCGATTCCAAATTCTTTTTCTAAAGCATCATGTATATGAATGCAAGTTGCAACATCAACATAACCAGCAGCATCATTCCAATTTGTATTAAATGTGATTGGAGTTGATTCCCACTAATTTTATTATATTTTATACTCTTTCTGGATCAATTTTTCTCAATCGTTCTCCAACTACTTTTATGATTCTTTTTGCAGTAACTGCTGGCTTTAAAATTAATTCATTATTACATTGTTATAAACTGAACCATTAGGAAAATGATATGAATATATCGGGACTTGAGTGGATAAATTTTTAGCAAAATTAGATATTAATTTATACATTATTTTATATTATTTAATTTTTGAGTGAAGAATTTTAATAATTTGTATCAAATGAATATTATATATAAATATAATTATTGATCATAGCTAATAACACCTAATAATTATACCAATGATTTTAAAATGATTTAATGTATTATTATAATGAATTAGACATTTATCATTAATATTTGTTGGTAATTGTGATGGAATAAATAAAAAATAAATGTGATTAACTGCTATATAATTTAGGAATCATGAGAATGAGTAAAGTAAAGATGTTGATTGTTAGATGATATTAATTTATTATATGGTGTGTGGTGTATACTTATTATATTTTATGTGATTAATATACGTGATCATTATTTCTTAGCTTAAGGTTTCTTGGTTTAGGGTTTCTTAGTTTCTTTTGTCTATTCTTTAGGTTTTTCTTCTTTAGGTTATTATTTCTTTTCTTTCTTTTCTTCTTTAACTTCTACTTCAGCATCGTCTTTCAATTTCTTGATTCTCAACATACCTTATTTTGCAGACAATCCAGCAGGAGTGCTAAATGAATAGCAATTATTTAGTACTTGACTTCCCAAGCTCCACCAGCAATTTGTAAGCCTGTTTAAGTGCATCTCCATATACCAATAGCTTATCTTTTCAATGAATGCTAAAATATAGATAATTTCATTTGATACAGCTCCTGTGAAAGTATTGAAATATCTTTGATGTTGAGAGATTTCGAATTTCTTGATAATCTTTCTTAAAGAAGCACCATATCTGGTTCCATATTTTCCTGTGATTCCAACCTTCTTTGTCTTCTTTGTCATTTCAAATAATATTTAAAATCTTTAATTTATTTACTATTTAAATTTATTGTGAATACGCAAACATATATGAAAGGAGTGTGCATTGATTGACAGTCATTTATATGTATTCAGAGTATATAAACTCTAATAGTTCAATTAATCATTTATTTTTAAATAATATAGTTAAATTAATAAACCATGGCTTAATTTAAAAAATAGTAATAAAAGACATAAGCTCCTTAAAAAAAGAAGGTGAAAAGCGAATTGACTGATGACTAAAAGTAAGAAATTAAAGAGGCATTTGATTTATTTGATACTGATCGTTCTGGAGCTATAGATTGTCATGAAATTAAAGTTATTCTCCGAGCTTTGGGATTCGAAGTAAAAAAGTAAGAAGTGTAAGCATTGATGAAAGAATATGATCGAGATGAAACTGGTCGTATTGAGTATAGTGATTACATAGAACTAAGTAAACTCAATAATTCAAATTTTAGTGACTAGAAAGTATTGTGAAAGAGATCCTTAAGATGAAATATTCAGAGCATTTAAACTATTTGACGATGATAACTCAGGAAAGATTACTTTGAGGAAATTAAAAAAAGTATCAAAAGAATTGGGGGAGAGTTTAAGTGATTAAGAATTGTAAGCTATGATAGATGAATTCGATAAAGATGGCGATGGATAAATCAACATTGATGAATTTCTTAGCATCATGAAATAAACAACAATTTATTGAACCAATTAATATATCTTAATTATATATTGAATATATTATTTTTTATAAATTAGAATTTAGTTTAGAAATTTATAATTGCTATCAATATTTAAGTTCAATTACACTTATCTAATAATCTTAAATAATTATAAATTATTTGCTTAAATAAACTTCATTATTCAATTTCTATCTATGATTTGTTTTTATCTACAATATGGCAACCTGTATCAACCAGGAAACGATAATATTTAGTATTTGGATCATTTATTTATGATGTAATTGGAATATTCTTAATCTCTTCCAATCTCATCGATCTAATCAATAGAATATTTTATAGTTTCGGATATTTTGATAAACATTTTAATACTTGATCTACACATCCTAACGATTATATATATGAATTTATTACTATTTTCTTCAATTTAATCTAAAATTTAAAACAATTTTTTTGAATCATTCTAATTTTATCTATTTAAATCATGTTAATCTTGATAATTGTTCTGGTTTTCATGTTGCAAACATAAATTAACAAAATTTTAACATAATTATTCATCTTCAGAAATTAATTCAAATACTCTATCTAATTTTAAGCTAGTCTGTAAATAGCATTAAAATAATATATCATATAGTTTATTTTCAATTAAAATATCCTAAAATTCTTCCTTTGAAATTTAATTAGAGAATTCATAAATGACTTAAAATTGCAATGGAGATATTTTTCTTTCAAACTCAAACACAATAGAAATGTCTGTTATAATAAACTTAAACAATGAAAAAAATGCTATTTATGGTTATTCCTTCAATTTATTTAAGGCTCTTATGATTAATGCTAACCATTCAGGTTCATTCGTCCAAAACTTAGGATATTGTATATTATTGATTTCTTTTGCTTCATTAATACCAGAGTAAATAATAGTTAAAATGTTGAACAAATGGTTTTCCTTACCCTCAAGTTTTAAAAGTTATTCAAGTATTGTATAAAGGTCTTCCAACTTTGAATAAAATTAGTATTCAAATTAAGAGAATAATAACCATTTGTTTAAACAATCTTATATTAATTATTATAAACTATTTTCATTTTTACTAATATATTCACCAACACTTAAACAAATTTGAGACCTAATTAGGTTTAATATGATTTATTGATTTTTAACCACTGTTTTTGTGTATTATCTCCATTATTCTAGTTTATGTTGGTTTTCTTTCAATTAATTCTCAACAACTAAGTATTTTGAAATGGGAGCTTCCATAAAATCCCAAACAATTTAATTAATAACTTAACATATCATTTATTCTTAAAATGCCTAAAATTCCAATTTCAAGAATGCTGAATTTTAATTTTAGTGGGTACAGAAATGTTTAAAGCCTTCTTTTAATAAATTAAAAATGATTTCATTCATGCATCTTCCTTAAAAATGTGTGATTCTATTAAAAATGATAATTCTTATAATTTTACAATTGTTTAGGGGATTGTTGCTAATTTTCTCCTGCAATATGTATTTTCCCATTAAAACAGACCTTCAATTGAGACAATCCATTGTTTACTGAAATTCCAGCACCTTATAGATTCCCTTTAAAAAGTATATTGTTTTTAAGAGAAGTGCATAAGTTATCATGATAATAATTAGTATCCAAAACTGAATATAGGAGGACAAGATCTTAGTCATTCTAAAAGAAAAAGGAATTAAGTTTCTCTCCATGCAGTTGCAATTCATTCAAATCAGCATAGATTAGTCTATCTAGATTTGAAAAATCAGCCTTTGGGTCTGTTATTTCCATCTCCTTAGTAATCAATTTAAGTTAGCTATGTCTTTCGAATTAATCCTTGTTTTCTATGATTGCCAAGAATATCAAATTGATTCCTTTGGAAGTTTTGTATAAATGAAAATTATTGATAGTCACTTAACAATTCATAGTAGTGACATCGCAAACGAAATTTCGTTGTGATTAGGACTAGAAGAATAGATAGATATGTATACTATTAAATTGTAAGGGTTCAAACTGCATTGGTAAGATTTAATCTAATTTGCTGATGTTTTTTGAAAGATAAGGAGAGTGTCTTCAAAGACTGAAAACCTGAAAGTAGCCTCTGGGATGTAGAAATCTAAATTATTTTAAAACAGCAAATTGGTGATGAAATTCCCCTTCTTGACCAAAGGTTGATAATTGAATCTATTATCTTTATTAGTTAGGTTTAATGTTATTAGATCGAAATGATCAGTAAGAATATATAAATTGAAGTCTTGTTCAAGTATTTGTACTTCTGAGAATTATAATTTCCTTCTGACTCTGAAATCATCATTCATATAAAATTTGCAGGTTTTTGGTAATTCTTATACGTCATAGCCAATAATAATATCTTTGAATTAGAGAGGATAAAATACTATTTCCGATGAGGATCATTTGTTTTTAATCAAATTATTCATTGGCAAACTTGAAAAAGTGAATCTATACTTTGCCACATTGAGTCTTGCCAAACAATTGGGTGAGATCAATTTCATTAGCCTATTTTAATGAATTGAGAGGTACATCTTGTAATCCATCTTTGTAGAGTGTTAAATCTGAGTCTTTTTGAACTGCGATCCAATCAAAGTTGCAAAACTAAACATAGCTATCCTATTTAATTTACAGTGTTTCCATTGATCTCTTAAATGGCATATCATTCTAGATTATGAAAAATATGTACATCTTCAAATTATTTGATGAGACTGAATTTCATATATTAATTTTATAACACAAATTTTACTTCATTAATAAATGTTATTATCTAAATAAAATTATGATGATTTTTAATAATACAACATTCACAAAACAATCAAATAGGAGCAGTTCCAAATAAAATAAATGAAACAAGAAGTTATGAAGACTTCACTTGAAGAATAGAGACAAATATAAGAGGAGGCAAAAAGAAGAAATTAGGAATTAAGACAAAAGGAAGACACTGACGAAATTTAGAGAATCTAATTACTCAACAAAGAGATGGCTGATCAATAAAAGTAAAAAAAACTATAAACAAAAGAGTCCTTATCTAAAAAATATTCAGAAATTATAGATTAAAGAAACTTAATTGTGAATTAAAAAGTAAAACAATTTGCTTATATCTATAGAAAAGCGAAGATTTAAACATTGAAAATCAAATTATTGATAGTGCTTAAAAGGCTTTACAAGAAGAAAGATAAAATCAATTGCAAAAAAGACTTATACAAAAACAAATTTATGATGAATAAATGAAACTTGTAGAAGAAAAAAAGTAGAAAGAGAGATTAAATAGGGATTAAGAGAGAGTATTATTTTAGGAATATGCCATCAAAGATTAACAAAGGATTATTTAATAAGAAGAAGAATATAAAAAAGTATTCGTTCACACTATTCATTAGTATTATCAAAGATTAGCTGAAAGAAATGAGCATTTGTAGGATATTTATAGGAAAAATGTAGATGATCCCAAATCCTCTTTAGACTACATCATAAATAAATAAGTGAAAGAAAAGTTCGATAGAGAATAAGAGGAAATAAATACTAAAAGATAGAATGATAAACAACTTAAAGATTAATACTTGAACACATTATCATTATAATTAAAAGAAAAGGAATAGAGAAGAAAGGATCAAGAAATTCTGTCTACTTAAAATAAATAAGAAATAAGAAAAGCAGCTGAGAGCTTTAATGATGAACAATAATAGGAGAGGAGAAAAAAAAGAGATTATCAATCTTAATATTATGATTAATTATCTAGTTTGGTATTAATTACATTCTATCCAAACATAGGGAAATGGCTAAAATCAATAGGACAAATTGATTGACAATTTAAGTTTACAATAGTCTTAGGTTTATAATCCACTAACAAATCCAAATCCAAATTAAATTCAGAATCCCTATATACTGAGACAACTTGGACTTAACAAATAGAATCATCTCTAGTCCCCTCAGCAAAGTTAATCTAAACTGGCTTAGTTAGGATAAAGCAGCCTGTTCAAATGAGATATATGTTTAGGCGTTATTTTAAAGTTCATTTATATATAATATTAAAATTGATGCTTTGCTCTTATAAGTATTGTGGATTGTCTAATAAAGCCTAATCTGATGGTGTTATTTCATGTCCTTTGTGCTATTAGATTAGGTATTGCTCATAAAGATGTAAGGATCTTGATTGGTATCAAATGTTGTTAATTTTAGGACAATATCTCATAAATTAAATTGCAAGGGAAAATAATAGAGATAAACAGATATAAATGATACTCAATCTACTCTCAAATCTATTGGCAAGAATATTGACGATTTTGAAATTATAGTTAAAGATGGGAAGTCTGAATTAGGAAAAGGCAGTTATGGTTAAGTCAAGCTAGTAAAGGATCGTTAAAATGGATAATTGTATGCCATGAAAATAGTAATTAGTTACCATATATAAATAGTTAAACAAAAAGAGAATATTTGAGTTTTGGTCAATAGAAAACCTAAAAAGAGAAATTAAAATTCAAAGAAGATTAGCTCATCCACACATTGTTAGATTATATCATTATTTTGAAGATAAAGAAAATGTCTATTTGATTTTGGAATTGGCAGATAATGGGAGTTTATTTTAATATATAAGAAAAAGAAAAAGATTACCAGAAAAAGAAGCCTTTGTCTATTTTTTTTAAACTTGTTTAGGAATTGAATATCTACATAAAAAGAATATTCTCCATAGAGACTTAAAGCCTGAAAATCTATTGTTGGATAAACAAGGAAACATAAAAGTATGTGATTTTGGTTGGTCAGCTGAAGCCAATTAATCCACTAAAAGAACAACTTTCTGCGGTACTGTAGATTATATGGCTCCAGAAATGATACTTAATAAACCCTATGATTTTAAATTAGATATTTGGTGTTTAGGAATTTTATTGTATGAATTAGTTCATGGATATGCTCCTTTTAAAGGAAAATCCAATCAAGAAATAACCTAAAATATAGTAAATTTGTCAACGATAGAGTTTAATCAAAGTTGTTCTTTCGAACTTAAAGATCTCATTTGCAATATCCTTAAATTTAATCCAGAAAACAGACTTTCTTTATTGCAGATATTTGAACATCCCTTTATGAAGAGAAACTACGAAATTTATAGAATAGATTTAAACCAATATCTTAATAAGGAGGAAAAAATTGATAATAGATCTTTATCTCCAGTTTAGGAATAAATAAAAACAAGGTATTATTATAATTTATAAGAAAATAGAAATTTTGTATTGCCTTAACACAGCTCGTCTCATGAATTGAATCATCCTCCAATATAGCAAACATTTTCGATTACATAAAAAAATTCTTTAGTCCTGAATTACAAAGTTACTAATTAACCAACTACTGGAACATCTACGTCGATATCAACTGTATCAATATTATTTACTTTAGTATTCTCAAGAAGATGAAATAAAGGCCAGAGTGAGTAGGGTTTCATAAAGACAACAACAAGCTTAATAATAAAGAGAAATTGGTTAGATGAGATAATCCAATAGTGATATCGGTTTTATGGATAGAGTATTCTAAGCTTTAGGATGTTTAAATAGAGACAAATAGCAATAAAATCAATAATTTTGAACTATAAAAATTACTTTGAGTTTAATTAATTGAACTAGTTCCTATTTATATAAACCATTTAATTGGGATAATATAGAGTATTCATTTTTAATATATGATTATCACCAATTAATAAATGGGTCATCAGTTGGTTTTACTGGTTTAGGTAATTCTGTACTATCAGGATATGTGGAATAGTTTGAAGTGTCACCCTTATTTCTTGAAGGATTAGAAATATATTTACTTTACAACTGGTTTATATTTTGGTTGTAGTTTCTTTTAAAGTAGAAATTCCCAATCTAAACTTTAAAACCATCTGTGAGCTTTTATTTCATTTGTTCCTCCTTTAGAATTTCCGTATCTTTTTGTCAAATCAGCTACCAAAAAATGTTTTACCAGACTTTTTGCTTCCCTATATGGATATATATAAAAATATACTTGTCGAAATTCCTTGGAAACTTCACCTTTCCTTTTAATATTTTTTAGTAAATTGCCATAGGATCTTCATCATTAAATGGATCTATTCCAGCTAACATTTCATATATTAAAATGCCCAGACACCACCAATCAACTGGTTTCCCGTGTCCTTATTTTAGTAAGTTGAATCTATACCTTTATTAAGGAGAATCTCAGGAGCTAAGTATTCTGGTGTTCCACACAGAGTATAAGTTCTAGAATCTATAAATTTGGCAAATCCAAAATCAGTTAATTTGAGGTAACCATCTGATCCAATGAGAAGATTTTCAGGTTTAAGATCTCTATAAACAATATTTTTGGTATGAAGATATTCAAACATCAACACTACTTGAGATGCATAAAATCTAATTTATTTGAATAATTACTAAGCCTCTTCATTTTCCAGTTTACCCTTATTTCTGAGATACGTAAACAACTCCCCTCCTTAAACATATTCTAAAAGAAAATAGAGATATCTCTCATCCTGAGTAAATCCAAGCATTTTTATCTAATCTATAATAACATCATACTAAAAATGGATGGCTTATATTAGAAAGAATAGTATTCTCTGATATGATGTGATCTACTTATTTAAGTCTTAAAATTTCAGCTTTTTTTAGCATTTTCAGAGCTACGTATTCACCATTTTATTTGTGTTTTGCCAACCTCACTCTTCCGAAGGATCCTGTTCCCAGAGTTTAAAGGATTTCGTAATCAGTTAATTTAACTTTTGGTGCTTTAAAGGTGCCCTAATCCATTATATAAATAATCTAAAATTGATATTAATATATATCTAAACTATGCAAATAATTTAGAATCTGAATTTGAAATATATATAAAAAATAAAATATTGAGTATGTAAAAGTTTCTTTTTCATAAATTTAGGTTATAATAATCTTCAGAAATTAAATTTGTTTTATATTGTTTAATTCGAAATCTAAGAGACATTATTTTGATTCTATTGATAAGTAACACTTTAATTTCTCAAGCTTCTCTAAAGATATCAATATTAAATTATTACATCTTCTTATAATGGTATGGGAGATGTGTACTTAGTGAAGGTTTGACTTTTCAATGTTGAAAAACCTGGCATTTAAGCTGGTGCTTAAACTTTAGTTTCATTCAAGCATTTATTTAAGTACTATATCATTTAATTATTGGATTCAAGTAATTTCTAACTTTCAGCCAATTTATTTTTCAAGTCTAAATTAGTATTCTCTTAATCTTTGACTCTCAATTCTAAGCTATCCTTCTCTCTTCTTACTATGATAATTAGATCCAATTAATACATTCATTAATTTATTTGTTACTTTAATCATTTGCATCTTACAGTTATTATACTGTCTATTCTTATTAAAGAAAAACTGTATTCTTTAATTTATTCTTTTCTTTTTGTTTGCTTAATTCATTCTCTAATTTCTCAATGATTTGATTTCCCTTAATGACTTCATCACTCATAACAGCTATTCTTTACTCCAGTTTCTCAATTTGTTTCTTTTAATTATTTACTTATTCTTCTAAAATAACCTAATTTATTAATATAATTTTATACATTTTACTTTTTTTCATTATCTACTAATTGTTATTTGTTGTTTATGAAATCCTCCTTATCATGTAATATTTTTTCTAATCCTTCCTTCTATATTCTCAGCTCTATTATTTATCTTTCCTAAGTAAATTTAAGTGTATCTAACTCTTTATTCAATACTCTAAACTCAGAATTTTCCTTCTATAACTATTAGGATTCTTATGAAATTATTGAAAATCTATTCTTTAACTCTTTCTCTTATTGGGTTAATTGAATTTTTTATTCCGATAATTCTTAATTTATTTATTGCAATTAAGTGTATTTATTTTATAATTCAAAGACAATTTTTTCATACTTTTCAATTATAAATTGTTTTTCATTTTCACTTTCCCTTTTAAAATTAGTTTCTCTGCTTAAAGCCTATTCTCTAAAGTCATTTAGTTTCTTTTGTTCATCTAATTAAATTTATTGGAGGACAGCATTGTTATCCTCTGTAAATTTTCTCACTTCAGATTTCAAATTCTCTAGTTCCCATTATTTCTCTTCCAACTATTCTGTCAATTTCTTAGTTTTCTTTTACAATTCTTCATTCTCTTATTTTTCTATTGCCAATTTATTTGCTAAGAAGTACTTTAGAATATCATCTGTAGCACTCCTCAATCTCAATGATAAATGCGTTAATTTCTTGAATTCATTATTTTCAATTACTGCTAGTGTGGATTCTCCATTCTTGGTTTCCAAACAAACATAGAAACTACAATATACTTGCTAATATGTACTTCACTTTTTCATCTCTTTAACTATTTATGCATAATTGTAATAAGTCTGCTAATTTCATTGGAAATGTTGCAAAGTCTACATGTAAACTCTATTCATTTTTCAATGCCAAGAACTCACTCTCATTTAAATCCAATATTTGTAGAAAAGAGAAGTTAGTATCATCTGTCAATTCAATTCTTAATGTTTGTCCATGCGCTTATTGACTTGACTGCATAATCATTTTCAAAGTTAATTATGTATTCCAATCATCAGTCAATTATTTAACTTTAACTGGTATTTATAATGTGAAGAGCTCTTTCGATACCATAGTAACAGGAGCATTTATTAAACTAACATTCACTGATTAAGGTTTATTGCTCACTTGCTCATATTTTAATTTCTATGAGGACTAAAAATCATTCATATTGTTTGTAGATTTAGCTGGAGTCTATTAAACACCAAATTCAATTCTTTTGAAATTGCCTCTATAGTCTTACATTTTATTTTTTATTTTAAATTTTAACTGTAAATTAATAGGAAAATTTTCATATAAATTCAATAGCCAAAAGCATTAATAGTGGATTTAGGAAGGTACTGAGATCTACTTTTGTGTTCAGTTTTTATTAATTTCGAGAGTAATTAATTCTACTTTTAATAAGGTCTTGCATATGTAGTAGTTCTGTAACTTGATGTTGGACTTCTTTACGTGCTGAGTAATTCTGTCATGCAAGTCTTTAATTTCATTGTGTCACCTCTATGTTTGATAGAATTTCTAAAGGGCATTGAATTTAATTGTATCTTTCTAGACTAAGAATCATTCATAAAATGAAATAATTTTAACTTTTATCCTTAGATATATTTCTCCTTTGTTAAGGTCGACGAATTCTTCTTTTTGAATAAAATGATCTTTGTTTCCCTTGGGGTTTTACATGTAGGAGGTCTTTCCATATTATCATATTCTTGAAATATCATTTATAATCAATACCTACTAAGCTCATCTATTTCGAGAGTTTGCGAGCAAGACTGGGACGCTTTGTGCTTTTCCTTTGATTTTTTTTTAACAATTCAGCAAAGCTTGAGAGAGCGAATTCTTTTCCATTAATTTTCTTATGCATTTCGATCGAAGTGGGAAAATTTACCATCTGTTTTTGTTAAATGTCTCCAAACAATGATCCATAACAAGATTTTCTTCTAGTCATGATTTCTCTATTGTTAGATCTAATCTTTTCTACTGCATTTTTGAAGGGTAGTAATATCGAAATTCTTTTTGATGGTAATGTTCTTTCTGTGAGAGTGATAGTAAATGCATCAGTTAACAACTCTCTCAAAGATGGAGGAGTAGATTTTGATCTTTTTAATCCAGATTAATTTGAGAAGATCACAAAATTCTAAATTGGTTTTGTCTCTTTTCGAAAAGAAAGTTCATTACAGATTAGAGCCTTTATTGGTATCCTTTTCCCAGTAAATTCAAAAGGAGGATAATCAACTGAATTCTTAATAAGAATATTAATTACCTATTGAACTTATTTTTTTCATTAACTTATAATTTTATATATTTTGCAAATCTAATTTGAGAATCAATTATTATCTACTAGCCCCCTGTATAAAATTAGAGATTTAGTAAAATAATTTGTATTAGCTTAAATTATCATTGTATCATATTTAGTTCTCATATCATATCTAAATCCATTTATTCCTTATTATAATAACAAATACCATATTTCAATATGAGGATATCTAGTAAATATCAAAAACCTTGAGTTTTAATTTTATATTCACTCTGTTTTTATACCCATTCCTCTAATTTGTATTAATTATTTACATAAAAATAGAATAGATTATTCTATTCCAACAAAAATATCTTGTTAATTTTCAGTGAATACATATTTAGAATTACAGAAAATGAAACTTTAAATTTAGAATCAAATCAATTACATTATTAATTTAATGATTTTCTTGTAAAATACAGACTTTATAATTGAAATCTCAATTACAAAGCATAAATAATAGAAATAAATTTTAACTTATTATGAAATTTATTATGTCATTTTAACTGTAAGGCAATTTTAATTATTTTCAACAACTTAATATTATTGATTATAATTAATTGCAATAAGAAAGGAATCAGAAATATTATACTGGATGATAGGTGATAGAATTTATACGACATTTATAATCATTTTGGGTCTAGCAAACCCTTTTTTTAGTAAAATCAATCATCATATTCAAAACTGTTTTTTCTATTGTCATTGGTTTCATTTTCTTTTTAAAAGAAATCATTTGTATCAATAAAGTGAGTAGTTGTTTCTGATTACTTTTTGCTCTCTTTAACAATTCTTCGAATCACTCCTATTTTGCAATTCTTAAAATTTTAAAGATCAACTAACAATATTCTGAGGTTATACCTAAAATCTCTGCTTTCTTCAATTGATAATAGTAGTCCTCCAAAGTTTTTCTAGGGATTCCTACTATTTCAGCAGCTTTATCCAAAGTAATTTTTAATTATCTCCCATTCTAGAGATAAGGTTATTAGTATAAGCTCCTATCATATATATATGTATCATACCTCCAATGTTCAACCAGGAGCATAGCTTCATGAACATATCTTTCTTTGATTCGTTTTACTTTATTATGGATTTGGATTTCATTATCCATTTAATTATTCTAATGTGTTGATAAGAAAAGAAAGTATTTATCTTATAAATTCTGTTCAAAATTAAAGTTGACTATTTTCTAAAGAATTAAAACAATTAACTGATAAATTTTGGAGGATAAATATTTATTCAAGAAAAATTAAATAAATTACTTAAATAAAATATTGTCATTTTTTGTGAACACTTAGCTTTCTATTAGAATTTTCATTTTCCACAGGTTTAGGTTGAAGCATGGTCAATATTACTTTTGTATGTTGTTCAATGTTAGGGTCTTCTAACTTAGCAAATTTTTTAAGCAATCTATATAGGAGATTATATGATTACTTAACACTTTTATATTTTGCTTAGTCTTATTTTTATCTGGACTCATGTTATGAGACACTCTAAGAATGAATAAATGGTATACCTTATAGTTCAAAAGATTGTCGCTTAATTCCTGGAGTTATGAATAAATTCGTTATCGTTCTTATATTTCTTACTTGTTTATTTCCATAGAGGTTTTTTAAATAACTTCCTGTATTTAATTTAAATCAATACATTTTGGTATTATTTGAGTTAATTTTTTTCTTCAATAAATTTGGATTTCATATATAGAGTCATCATTTTATAATCATTTTGTCTTTTCTATCTCTCATAATTATCTAATTTATCCTGTTCTTTCAATCTTCTTAATTCCTATTTCAATAGTATCTTATGTTCTAATTCCTATTTTCTAAGTTTATTTTATTCTTCAATTTTGATAAATTTATCATTTAATTATTTTAATTTTTTGCTAGGAATATAATACATATTTACTCGTGATCCTTAAATAGATCATTTTGATTCTATTTAATTTTCTGAACTTTTTCTTTTTATTATTATTTTTTTTCTAAATCTTACATCAATTAAGATTAAAGTTGTCCTCGAAATTCTTGTTCTTTGTTAATCATTTTACTAATCATTGCACTTAAATGTTCTTAAGATTAAATCACATTAATTTCTCTTTATTATTAAATTAATTATTATTCTCTAAAATATTATTCCTTGATTCTTTCAACTTTGATTTATGCTTATTGTTTAGATAATTTTTCACTTTGATTCAATTTCAATTATAACTTTTCAAGGTCCTTCTACAATTCAATATCTTCCAGTTTGCTGAGTTCTTCTTTTCTTTGAATGACCATTTCTCTTCTTTATTTGATTTTGGAGTCATCTATTCTAGTTCTGTACATCGTCTTTTGCATTGAAGTATCTCCTCCTCTTAAATTAACAGTATTAACTTACTTGTCTATCCTAGATTCACTGTCTCTTTTGAATGATTTTGGATCTGTAGTTTATGGGATTTTTTGAAATGGAGTCCTTCTTCCACTGCTGGAAGCCTTCATCTTCTGTTTAAATGCATATTGTCTTTTCAATATGGAATCCAAAATCTATGAATCCTTTTATTTCCACTTCTCTATCATTTACAACCTTTTTGCATCTTCCTTCAATTTCAGTTATGCTTCTCTCTAGATTTATTAATCTTGTATATACAATCTTCTATTTTTTGTGTTTATTGTATCTATCTATTTCCTTTTCGATTCCACCTTCCAATTAATTGAGATCATAAACATCTCCTACAAATTGATCTTTGGTTGGAGATTCACTCTTTTAGTGCAAGAAGGATACAGTTCTGTTGTAGATCGAATCTATTTATCGTCGAACCCTAAGAAATAATATGCAAGCGTTGATACTCGCACTAATCTAATGATTGCTACAACTTGATTGTTTTTGATCTATCTAGGGATTCAATTGAGGCATTATTATTTAATTGTTTCTGTCTTTGTCTCTAAATTATCTCTTTCCTTCTTTAAGTTAATTCAGTGAACAGTTCTATAATAAATTTTATTCATCTTATACAATGAGCTCTGTTTAGGTAATGTTAATATCTGAGTTGAACAATCTCCTCATCTATATCATTTTATTTGAAATCCGATTCTTCTCTTGTATACAGATACTAACTTACTTCAATTCTAAAACTATTGGATCGATGCCCAATTCTTAACAAGCCTGCAAAGTTCTTGGAGAATTAGACTTAATGTTGAATTTTTGGAACCCTTAAATATTTAGATGTCTTGGAAGATAACTAGTATTGCTAATGGTATTCTCTCGGCTTAGTTTTGGAATCATTAAATAAGAAATAATAAAAATTAAATTTATTAATAATAATCCCTAAATTAGTAAAAGTATCTTTTATTGCAATCAACATTTGTTATTATTATTGAAAAATCAAAGAACTAATCAATTCTCTTATATACAAATATTTATTGTCATACAAATTAAAATATAGATTTTTATCATACACCTTCTGACTATAATGTTTAAGCATTGACTTGAAACGGGGAATCTTTAGGTATCAATATCAATTATTGTATTAGAATTGATAATTAAGTTGGTTGATTGGATTTTTGCTTTATTAAATATAATTTAATTAAATGTCACTAAGTTAACTGTCAGGAAAGCAGGGTATAAATTATGCAAGTAAGATGTTTTTTTAATAAGTTCAAGAGAACTCAGACATAAGAAGTCTCCAAATGATCAATAGTCATTTGGTTTATTTGAGGACATGAACAGAAACAATCTACAATACATTGAATCATTGATTCAGAAGCGCAAACCAAGTGTCGACCTAAAACATCAAAGAGCTAAATCAACTCTCGATAACAAATAGCATTCATATAGGCATGGTACACCCATAAATGACTTGGAGGAATTGGAAGGGGAAAAATTGTTTGATCAGTTTTTTAAATTAAATAACTCGAAGAGTGATAGTGACTTTATGAAGGAATCCATATAAAGAGATAGTGTCAATAAGAATAATGAGAGTGACTTTCTTAAATTTGTTGAGAATGCCATTGAATATCATAAGCATTCAGATGTAAGGTTTTTCAGACATTCAGTTAATAAATAATCTCATTTGGAACAAAAGTTAAAGGAAATTACTCTATCCAACAGACTCCTAGCTAGTTAACTTAACCAATATAAACAGAAAGAAATCGATCTTAAAAGTAAGATCAAAATGATGCAGAAGGAATTTACTATTTAATATTAGAAACTAGTTCAATAAAATTAATGGTTGGAAGAACTACTAGCCAAATAGAAAATTGACAATCAGAACTCACTATTGGCTGTTAAGAAGACTGTTGAAATGCTATAAATAAAATGTAAATGCCAAAAAGGAAATCAATTATGTGATAAAATATTAAGAGACGTTAAGAATTAGGAAAGAGTGAGACAATAATATGAATGGGATGATGAATCGAAGCCTACTCATTCATCTTCTGAATTAAGCAACAATACTTAAGAAGAAGAAGATGAATCAACTGACTTCAATTATTAACTAAAGAATAGAAGAAAGTCAATCTCAAAAGTCTGTCATAACTCAATCTAATCAGCAGAAGAATAGCAAGAATAATTAGTTTAAAGTTTTCTCAATGGAAAAAGTAAAAACCTAAGAGAGTTTCCCAAAGACATGTTTCTTAGAAAAAAATAAACACCAGATCCATACTATATTGAAGAAGAAAACACCATCAATAGTAACTGAAATATATATATAACATGATATTAAGATTATTATTTCATAATATGCTCGCATAATAGATGAGTAAATGTACTACATTTCTACTTTATAATTTTTGCAAAAATATTCATTAACTAAATCTAACCATATAAGATTAGTATTAATATTAATACTAAATGACTCTTTTAGTTTATAAAGCAAATTAGAATAAAATTAACTAAAATATTGCATTTAATAACATATTATTATATATGCCTTATTATACTTTGCATTATCAAGAATCACTTGAATCTTATACATAGTCTGATGATAATTCATCATCAGAAGATTCATCTTTTTTAACCTTTTTTTTAGGCTTTTCGTCATCAGATTAATAATCAAGTTTATGTTAAACTTTTTCCTTTTTATTTTTTTTAGCCTACTTCTTTTTACCAGAGAAAGGATCCTCTATGTCTGAACCTGATAGAACATCATCATCATATCCTGCAATCTGTTTTTTTACTCTGATGTCCACCTTATCTCTATTTTCTTAATTTTTTCTTGCATCTAATCCTTTGTCGATGTCCTTAAATATTTTGTTTTAGAATTCTTCTGTCATCTTTAATTATGTTGAAATATACATGTTTGTAAACTTCAGATTTTTATGATACAAAGTTTAAAGAGTACTTGTCTCTGTTTTTAAACAATATCAAACTTTAAGCTTGGGGTAAATCATCCAAAAACTTTTAGCTTTAATAAGGTTATTTTTCTCTATCATCTTTAATTATCAGACTAACATTAATTTATTCTCATACATATTTTTCTTTCTTTGTTAATAATAATCTTTTGGAATATTTTAATCAGCATCTCTAAAATTGCTAGACATTTTTACTTCTTTTTTGGTGGCTGCACTTCTTCTTTCTCAATTTTTATCTCATTTTTTCTAATCATAAAATGCCCTTTTCTATAATCCTTAGGCATTTCCAGAATAGCTTGATTGTTTCTTTGATATAATATGTCAACCTTACTAATTTTAGTTTAATTCATATAATAAATAAATAATCATTAAAATTCTTGGCTTCCCACTTTTTACGCTGTAATTTTAGCATCCACTCCCAAATGCCTTAATGGTTTTTATACTATCAATTGATCTTTTCTAAAAATATGACTCCTTACCCTTATTTCTAAGATATTTAAACTAGCTGCTTTCTCAATATTTCCCATATCTCAGACTTTCTAAAATGCAAAAATAGACTTTAATTCAGATATCACATCATTATTATACTTTATATGGAATTACTCATTGTGTATATTAGCAATTTCTTATCTAATTCTTAGGCATTTATCAGATTTTGTAATTTCCCATAATAGAATTTTTTAATCAACCTTATTCCAATTTCTATTCTGGTATATTCCTCTTTGTCTTGAAACTGAAAATAAAATTTAGGTTTTCTATTATTTATAATATTATTTTTAGTAATCTTTAAAGGATCTTGAGTATCCATATTCTTAAATAGATATCAATGTAAAATAAAAATTGTTAAAATTGTTTTGAATGTTATCAATTCATTCAAATTTTACTATCCTTTAAAGTCTGGTCTGTCTGTTAATTGTTGGAATTTATAATCAAGAAATTTGCAATAAAACTTTTATTAATTATTTTAGATAATACATATAAATTGAGAAAGGTTAAATTAGTAGAAATAATAAAATTATTTGGAACTCATCAAAAAGAAAGATAATCTTGAAAAAGTATTATTAGATGGCTCCATTATTGTCCGAATAGTTTAATTGTATAATTTTGTAAAATCGATTTTTGGAATAGAATAATAATTTTATATCAGGTTCCAGCTGCAAAAACACCAATTAAGATAAATACTAAAAGTCCTCCTAAAATTAATAAGACATTTTAAGTTTAATTTTCTGAAGGATACTCTTATTATTCACCCTATAATCCTTAATTATTATTATTGATATTAAGATCTTTTGAACAACAGTAATTCCATTACGTCAATTTGTTTCTTATATCTTAGAGATTTTGATATTATATTTTCTTAAATTCTTATTAAAGCTACATTGAGTTTACACCCAATTTTTTAATCATTTCATAAAGATACTATGTATAAATAATTTGATTGATACCGGTTTTGGTTTATCAAAGTTGAGTCTGCTTATTTTTTCTAGTTACTTTTTTGCTTCTTGAATTTGATTCAACTCTTATAAAAATTCATTTGCTTCTTTTATCTTTCCTTACTTCTATAAATCTTTTAGCATTTCAATTCCTTTTTTCTCTGTAAATTACTTAACTTCATTAATTTCTTATGGGATTTCCTTAGAATAATCAATTTCATAAGTCAAATTAGCATTTTCAATTAAATTTATCTGATTTAATTGCCTTTTATTCATAATTTCTATTGCTTATTAATATGTGCTGAGAATTAATTGATCTGTTTAAATTTATTGAGCTTTTTGAAGATCTTCGATTGAGGCATAAAGATTTTCATTCGTCAAAGGAGAAAGTGATAATAGAGCCTAGGGAGATAAAAACAGAATTTACTTTTCCTCTTCTGAATAAAGCTTTTGGAGAATTCGGATCATGATTTAATACATAAGTTGTGATTTCTACAGTTTACTAATACAATTAAAGTTTGAGATAAGTGGCTGATATATTATTCAAGATGGCTATTTTGAGTTCTAGTGTAATGGATATTGTCTTACTATTAAGTAGAATCATTTCTTCTGGAGATTTCCCGTTATATTGTACCAAATATTGAGTGTTATTTTTCAATTCCCTGAATTCCAAAAATTAATATAGCTCCTCATAAATTTGGCAAGCAGTTTAAATATCATCTTTTTATTGAGATATATGAATTTACTCATTTAATAAAATTTATTTCCCCTTTCCTTGATTAAAGTGCACACCGTCATCTGTATTTGAAAGGATTATTTTCTAAGATTTTAGAAACTCGTTGACAATTTTATAAATTAAGGTGTTTATTAATCAACAAGGCTCTTTTTATAAGCCTTTTATAACATTTATTAATGAATACATAAATAATCAAATTTTATTCTTTAACTCTTACGAAGTTTCAAATATGAGAATAAAAATAATTTACAATAATCTCTGTAGAACAGACATATTCAAAATGAAGTTGCAAATATGATGATAATTTTAATAGAACTAATTAAATATTAAAGTAAATTCTCAACATCTCAAATTTCATAAATACGTCTAACTAATCCAATATTAAAAAAGAGTTGAATAAGTCGTTATTCCTTCCTACAGATCTCAATTTCTTAGAAAAAGTTAGTTAACAATTGTGTTCTAATATATTTATTAACATTTTCTACATCCATCAGTTTCATCAATTCTTTTTTCGAAAGTTTAAGCATAGCTATTAACAATTTTGTAATATATTTTTAGCCCATGAGTTAGTAAATGTTTAATATGAGTATCTAGTATTAAATTGGTGTGCTTTAAAGCATCATTGTCAAATAAAAAGGACTGAAGCTAATGCCTAAATCATTAAGTCCAATTTCTTGGAGATGTTTAAATAGTTAAGGAATTTTAGCCTTCAATTTGAACTTCAGTTTTGCTAAGTTTTCAAATAAACCAGGAGTTCCTGTAACATAATTGTATCTATGCTAGTATATTAATTCATTGAAGATTTTTTAATTTTAAGGAACTTAAAAATAAACTAAGGTTCCTGCAATGAAATTCATCCCTTAAACATAACCAACATCTGGATCATATTATGCATAATTCACCAGAAGTTTTCTTATTTTATCCTAATTTTATTTATCTTTAAAATATGGAATCTATTGATAGGTTCTACCAATATCTCTATCAATTAATTCTGTGTAATACGCATTCGGTTCTTCGGAATTAGGCATTTAAAATTCTTTGGATTTAGAGAATATATTGATTAAATCGATATGACTTAATAGAATTAGTTATTGTACTTTTATGGTGTCAGAGTAGAAGTATAGAACAAAGCTAAAGTTAAGTCATTCTGTCTGAAATCACTTATTGATTCTTCTTCCATAATTTAAGTCCAATCTTCTTTTTATATTGGACTAAAAGATAGGTTGTGTCTTTGAATTTGTAAGTTGGTGGTGTTTTCATTTTCAGAATCTAAATTCTTCGAAACAAGCATTACAGAAAAATTTTAACTAAATTAATAAACTGTTAAAAAGAATTCGATATAAATACTTATTCATAAACTATTAAGAAAGAAGAAAAATTATATATCGTTTAAGTTTCTTTCTTTCAAGTACAAATTATATTAGAGATTAATTCGCGTGTAAATTATTGCTAGGCATGATTGCTGAAAGACTTGCAAAACTGGTTTAGAGATTTATTTTATTATTAAATAATGTACATGTATCAGCATTAAGTTTAGGAAGTTGCATATCAATTAAATTCTCATTAGTAATACTCATCTTTAATCGAAAATTATTATAGTACTGGATACGATAATAAAATTAAACTATATACTGTGCTTTATTTGATTGTGTTACTTGCTATTATATAATAAAATATATAATTTGATAAAATTATTATTCTCAGCTTTAATGAATAAAATAAGTTCATAGATTCAATGGCTAATGAATAGAAATAGTGTATAAGAACCATCATTAAGCAATGATATTAAATCTCCAAGAAGCAATCAAAAAACTGCAAAGACAGAACGACCTTAATCTAAAACTAAAAAAAATGACTTATTAGATTATTTGAAGAATGAAAGAAATAAAATTACCCAGACGTTTAATTCTGTAAAGAATACGTTGTAAGGAAGCAAAAGCATTGATACTTTATAAACGTAAAGTTAGAAAAGTGAGCGTTTTAACAATGGTTAACTTAATGTAATTCTTTGTATAATTATATTCTAGCATGTTGATTTGAATATATAAACTGATGACAAAAATAATTCAAAAAAGTCAATACTCAAACCAAAAAATTTATCTCTTGCTATAATTTCATTAGAAGTATTCTTTAATGAATTTATTCTTTTTAGAATCAACTTTTTAAATAATCACAAACTACCAAATAATCTAACAATTAATCCCCTTAAAACTAAATAAATTCACCGATAATTAAATAAAAAGAATAATATTAATTTGATTTGCAAATAGTATTACTATTGAAATAATATAATGTAGTTAAAAAACACAAAAACAAGTTCCTAAGATGATTAGTAACAGAACTCTTAAATAACTTAAAATAAATAGTCAATTTTATCTGATGATCTATCATATCATAAGAAAACGCTTGAGGATATACTTTGCAATAAAAAGCAACCTAAATAAGCAGTTATATAAAAGCCACTTAATTAAAAATAATGTGAAAATGACAAAAGAGTAGCTAATTAAAATCATTGTAAAACAGAAGTATCTCCATCTTAGATTTAATAAAAATATAAAATTACTGAAGAACGATTAAATTATGATTAGGATCAGTATCTAAAAATAATACTATATTATAAATAATAAAAGTAAAGAATCTTAATAATTTTAGGTATCATTATTTGTTTAAATATTAAAATAAAATGACTGATGATCTTTTTAATTATTTGATTTAATAAATAGCTAGTATTGAGAAGTAATTTATAAAGCATGGAGGTGGCACAGGTTCCACAGATGGGGAGTCTATTTAATAAGGTATTTGAAGTTTCATTTTTAGAGTTAAATAAAATATGCTAGTTTCAAACACTATCAAAAAATATACCATATGACTACTATCTTACTTTAAACGAATAGACATTGGATGTTTTCAAAGGGATAACTCTTCAGATTTAGCCTTTCTATTCCCAACCTATCATAACAAAAAGAGTAGGATTAAAAGATTTTACATTAATTAAATGTATAGGTGTTGGAGGATTTTCGAGGGTTTACATGGTGAGAAAGAAAGACAATGGGAAGTTTTATGCTTTAAAGCTTATTGATAAGAAATTTATATTTGAAAATTCTAAAGAAATCATAGTTTAGAATGAAAGAGATATCATGACTAAAATGAACAATCAGTTTGTAACACCATTACATTATTCATTTGAATCAAAATATTATATAGCATTTGTTTTAGAATATTGTGCTGGAGGTGAACTATTTTACCATCTACGTAAACTTAAGAGATTAAGTGAATAAGATGCTAAAATCTATTTCGCAGAAATTTGTTTAGGAATGACTTATTTGCATTCTTAGAATATAGTTTATAGAGACATTAAACCTGAAAATATTCTCTTAGATTTACAAGGACATCTACTATTAAGTGATTTTGGATTATCGAAGCCAGAAATGACGCCAGATGATATTGCTTATTCATTCTGTGGATCTCCAGAATACATGGCTCCAGAGATGCTCATGAAGACAGGACACAATTATTTGGTTGATTGTTATTGTTTAGGAGCATTATTATATGAATTAGTTACTGGATTGCCTCCATTCTATTCACATAATACTTAAGATATTTATAATTCAATTTTGACTGAGTAAATACAATTTCCAAATTATGTCCATATTTCACCTCTTTTGAAAGACTTGATACAATTATTATTGAAAAAAAACCCAGAAGAAAGAATTGGACATTAAAATGGAATTATCGAAATCTTACATCACAAATGGTTTTAAGATGTTGATTTTGAAGCAATTTTAAATAAAAAAGAAAAGCCTCCTTGTAAACCATATCCTTTAAAATATAATTTTGATGAAGAAGAATTTAACAAAGGAGATGCAGAATTTAGAAAGCAATTTCAAATTAATTTATAAAAAGAGTATCAAGTATTATTTTTAATATATATCATAAGAATGTTGATACTGCAAATTGTTTATTGGATAACTTCTATTACTCTAGAGATAGTGTATATGGATAAGTAAAATCAAGAAGAACTACGAAAGTCAATTTAAATTCATTAGAAAATAAAGCCATCATGGCTGAACCGTTTTCAATAATTCAATCAATGAAGCTTTAATCACCACAGTAAGACTAGAAAGAACAATAATTTTAATAGTCTCCATAAGTATCAAAACGAATAAATGGAACCAAAGGAAGAAGTGAAGCTTTTGATAACTAAAAAAAACCAGAATCTATGACTTAATCAGCTTAACTTTAGCATTAAACTTCAAAGTTAGGACATAATTATTCAAAAACTATGTAGCAAACCTAATTCTCACTTTAAGAATTTAAAGTATTCATTTTTGATAGATAATTAGCAAATTAAATTTCTAATTGATTAATCTAGGGCTTTATAAAGTTCAGATAGAATAACTACGATGCCTGATTAAAATAAAAAAAATATATTTGAAAGAGTTAAAACTGAGCAATTTGGAAATTTAGCATCTCCGAAAACCACAACTAGTAGTAATTTACATAAAATGAATAATTTTTAAGCATTATTTGGATCTGATAGTAAAAAGAAAAAATTATTTTGATAAATTAAAGAGTAAATTGTAAATTTGATTTTGTTAATGTAGAATTAAAAATTATGCTTATCTTAAATTCATTTTATCAAAATTGGTTATCAATTTTAAATTTGTTAATACAGGTTATAAATATATATCTTTTCAATTTGAATTAAGCAGTGAAATTATGTATAAACCTTGTAATATGATGATACCTATGATGATTAATTTAACATATCTATCATTTTTAAAGTCTGTCTTACTAACTGTTAATTTTTACTCCTTTATAAGTTAATTGCTATTCTAATTTCTGTTATTTATTTAATTCAATTTATCTGAATTATCTTCATTTTTAAGGGTATTTGGCCTTTGGAGAATATTTGAATTAGGTTCTTAAAACTTGTTATCAAAACAAACTTGATTTTATTGATATGGCCTTTGAATTTCTGGTGATTTGTACTTATTGATAATTTTTTCTATTTCAGGATTAGGTATATAAGGTTAATAAGTAATTTATGAACACTTTTGCTTTTGGGCATTACCCTCATGTTCTGGTTGAGGCAATTATTAGTTCAAATTTGATTATTTATACAGTATGGGGGGTTTTGGATAATATTGTTCCGGCGTGATAACTTTGTTGATTACTTACTTTGAATTCTATACAAGTTGCTGGTTATACATCGAAAAGTGATAAATTATATAAATAAATTATTCTGTGCAACATTAATGTACTTAATATATCATTTCTTCTTTGACTCAATTTTTTTAACGTAGAATTCCAATTCTTTTCCTTCTAGAATATATCCATCAGCTCTTCCTGATTATCCAGGTCTTGATGTTATTCTGACCAACAATCTTTGATTAGAGAATTACTCTTGAACCAATTAATCAATCACATTATCTTTTACTCTTTGTGCAAGTTTCTTTTAAAGAGATTTAGATTTCTAAGTTTATTCAGCTGGTGCATCCTAAATATTTCAATTAAATTCTTACTTTCTTATCCTTCTTCTTTGGTCCCAATTCAACATTGTATTTTTTAGCATACCATAATTTGAAAGGAGTAGCATCAATTTAAACAATAACTCCTCTTGTTAATGTTTTTGTTCTAACCAATTCATTATTGGAAGGATGATAAACAACCTCAACAATTTTTGCTTTTTTTGCTACACCTTGGCTGCCCCAAGAGAAGTTGCCTTCAGACAATCGAAGTGCTCTGAATTTAAAATTTCCTCCTCGTACTCTAATTCTTCTGACTCTTTTTTCTCCAGAAATCAATTTGGTCATTGCAGCTTGTCTTCCTTTTTCGAAAGCTCTCTTCTTTTTGTGAATTGGCATACGACCTCCTGTCAGTCTTCTCTTATGTCTACTATCTCTTGAAATTCCCATAAATTATTAATATATTTAATATAAAAAGATTTTATTTAATTTCAAAATCAAATGGAAAACATTCATTAGCATCTAGATCCATGTTGATATCTGAAAGATATTAATTCTCTAAATAGAGAGATCTCCAATGATAAGAATTTTAAACCTTTATTTTTCAATCATAATGTGTAAATTCTTTAAATCTTAGTCAAAATTAATTCAAGTTTTCTAGATTCAATATTAATTGTATATGATTAATAGTAATAATTTCTTACATTATCTTATTAGGGAGAATAATGATCAAAATTGAGCACATTAGAATTTATTAGAATCAAGTATTAAAATGGTTTCGAAAAGGATTTAACAAAATATTACCTTTAGTTTTTGTACTAAAAAGGTGTCTTAGAAGCAATTATTAGAAGTTTATCTCTGTATATTGACTTCAGCAAGAATATTGTTATTATTCTATTTATTCGATATTTTAATAATATAATAATAAATTGGTTGTATTTTAGTTATATTTTTTATTTTATTCTTTATATTCTACATGATATTAAATATACACAAGTCATAATAATCCATTTTATTAATTAAATTTATTGTATATTTCCATTTTGGATAATAATAATAACAATTATTTTATTAATAAAAACTAACAACATATCTTCAGAAATACAAATATTTTGTTTTATCATATATTTTTATAAGAAATGTATTAATAGTTTCATAATACTCAAATTATATTGATTCTCTACACAATATCTAAAATGGTAATTTCAAAAAGTCATTATTGGATTGATAATAGGAGATTAGATATTGGATAGATGAAGATATTTGAAAATAGATTGAAATAAATATATTGTAAACATTCAATATTATAATAATCCATCAATGATCCATTAATTTCTATCTTCTTGGAATGGATGAGCTCTAATTGGAAAGCTTGAATTATTTTTTGGTTCGTCTTAGACTGCAAACAAGTATTGATTTGGATTGGTTAATGATCGTATTGTCCAATGATTAGATTCTGTTTATTCAATTAACCATATGTTTCTGAGATCTTTGACAGGGTGAAATCTGACATCGTAATCATGGAATTTATTAAGTTCTTTTTTATTATCGACGTATAGATAGAATGAAGGGTATTGGAAGGATCTAATTGCAAAGGCATCTCCTGTCACTCTATCAAGTATGAATTTAGAATGTTAATTATTATTTTATTAAACATTGACACTAAAGTCATCTGTAAATGATTGATGAGTATCTCCAATAGTTAAGGAGTGTTGGGGTAGATGAGCAGGATTGAATGTCACAATTAGTGTTTCATGTTTTAAGGGATAGGGAGTTGTATAAGTTGGATTGGAGACAATGTACCAATGATTATTTTAATTTTCTTTATTTTAAGTGCGTACATCAAAATCCTTATCTAGGTTATTAGATTTGTCAGTGGCAACAAATAGAAAATGATTTGGGTTTGTTTCAGATCTAATAGTGAAGACACTCCATCCAAGACTTTCAATAATCCAATTATTTCTTGCTTCTTCAAATTAGTGAGTTCTAACATCAAAATCTTCTTCGTGTTTCCTAGTCTCATCATTGGAGCAAAATAAATAATGATTAGGTTTGGCTGCAGATTTGATAACATAAACTTTTTCTTTGACTTGTTGAATTATAAAATAAGTATCATTTGATTTTTCTTAGACACATCTAACATCAAAATCGTCCTTCAAAGCCCTGGACTTATTGGTACAGGCTGCTAGATATCTAGTTGGAGCAGCCACAGGTCTAAATGAAATAAGTACGGGAGTAGATCCAAGTTCCATAGATAATTTTTATTTATTTTGATTAAAATACAAATCAAATATTCGAAGATATGATTACCTTTATGAAAAATATGGAATGAGCAGATATAATGAAACCATTGTTTGAGATATCACAATATCATCTTAAATCCAAAGAAATGCATTCCATCATGTTCAAAAGACTTTAAAATTAGATTAAAACCCTTAACAAGAGAGGAGATGCGTCCCCTTTGGTTTAGAGTATATCTCATTACTTAAAATAAGAAAGGAAAGGAGTAAGAGGAGATTTTGTGATTTGACTAATAGAGATACAAAAAAATAAGCGTTGTAATTTGAAAAGTGGGAAGAAATTAATTTTTGAAGGAATATTAAATGTGATTATATCTATAATAAAATACTCATCCATTGAATCCATCTATAGCCCATCTATTTCTATCTTCATTACATGGATGTGTTCTAACATTGAATTCCTGACCATTTCCTTCATCTTGAACTCCAAATAGGAATTGATCTGGATTAGTAGCTGATCTAATGAGCCAGTATCCAGGTCCAGATGGTTCGATGATCCAATTATTTCTGGCTTCTTTGTTTACATGGTATCTGGCATCGAAGTCACCCCATTTGTTTAATGTTTTACCATTGGCACAGAACAAATAGTAAATTGGACTGGCAGTTGGTCTAATTGTGAATGTGTTTCCTTAAAGTCTATCCAAATAGAATGTACATTTTTCTGTTCTTACTCCTCTTACTTTAACTGCAAAATCAGCATCGAACTCTTAATGCACATCTCCAAATGTTAAGAAGTGTTATGGCAAAAGGATAGGTCTAAGTGTGACAATAGGTGGTTGATGTAAGAGAGGATATGGGTGGACGATGTTTGGTATTGTGATGATAAACCAAAGATTTCTTTACTCTAAATTTGTATGAGCTCTCACATCAGCTTCATCATGATGTTATCCCTCATCAGCGGCAAAAAGATAATAATTTGGATTTGTTTCAGACCTGATTGTGAATGTACTCCAGCCTACATTCTCAATAATCCAATTGTTTCTTGCTTCATTATGGTGATGAGTTCTGATATCCAAGTCTGTTCCGAATTTTTTATTGCTTTCGCTTGAACAGAAGACGAAATGATTTGGATGTGAAGCAGGCTTAATTTTATAGACTGCGCCATGAACGTTTTCCAATAAAAAATAAGTGCCTTCAGATTCTTAATTGACTACTTTAACGTCAAGATCATCTCCATGATGTTTGGCTTTCTTTGATGATGTTGATAAGAATCTAGTTGAGTTAGGGAATGGTCTTATTGAGACTACAGCTGGGATTTATGGACCTTACATGTTATTTATATAAATCTATTTCAAAATAAAATCTTGCTTAAATAATGGCAACTTTTTTATAGAATAATTAGGCATTCTATAAACTTTTATTTCAAAATTAACTATTCAAATTCCTACTATTTATCATTTTTGAGCTACTTAATTATAATTTTTTTTAATAAAAATCACAGAGGATCCTACAAGTTCTTGTTTTTTTTTCCTTTAAATAATTATAATAAACTAACATAATGCCCAATAAATCCAGAAACTAATAGCTAACTCAATTTTATATACTAAGTTTCATTCTGCAATCATCCAACGTCAAAGGCGAAAAAAGGCTTTCCCATAGTAAGAAGATAAAACAACTTACTATTCTATTATCAGGATAACTATTTTCAACTTCTTTAATCCTTTTTGAGCTGATAATGCATCTATGAAAATTGTACATTTTTTCTCTAGCAATACACCTTGAGAAAAAATGTACAAAAACATAGATTAATTTGATCATCGTGATTAATAGTTAGCTTATATTTGATTTGCACCTCAAGACTACAATTTTTCCAAGAAAAAAAAATCATGAAATTGATTACCAAATCTGATAAAATTCTCAAAAATAAAAATGACTAAAACTAAAATCAAATTAATGTTGCTTATGTCTTCGAGAACAAGAATTATAGGATCCTAAAAGTACAGATTTATTTTATAGATATTTCAGATATATTAGACATAAATTTATTAAGTATTGATCAATATTTTATCAAAAATTACTAGAAGCCTCCCTAAATTATTATATCATAAATATATCCAATTATAATTAAACATAAGATAAGTATCAATCTCTACAAATAATCAAATGATATACAATTATAATTGTAACAAAGATTGTATTGTGATTATCTTTACGAAATTATTTATAAGTTATATAAAATATATCCTTTCGCATTTGAAAAATCAGCATTTTTACATTAATATGTGGAAGATAGAAAAATCTAATTATTTAGACTTTCAATTGATAAACCATTTCTTTATTTTTTAAACAAAGATAATTATTTTATTATTAGTAAAATATGCAACTTACAGGGCAAATCTTAGTGCATCACTAGGTTATTATTTAATATTAAGAAATTGTGTAAAAAAAGCAAGAAAGTATTTAGTTTGAGGAGTTTTAAATGAACTTTTTATATTAAATTCATAATGACTATTATTTATATCTACAAATCCTCATTCTGCTTAGACATCAATAGCGTATAAACCAGGATGAATATTTTTGGAATTTCCTAATTTTTTAATTACCCAACTTTTTGAAGGTTTCATCACACAAATGACTCTAATTTACTTAAATTCGCATTTATACCCAGAATATATTTTAGTTTAATCAGCACTACATCCATTCAGACATTGGCTTAGTTTATTCCATTATTCCAAGGTTAATAGCAATCCACAAAATTAACATGCCCTTAAATCCTTTATTTACTTTGGTATTTCAAATGACTTCTCTTCATATGAGTCTTGGCCTGAATCTGAGTTATTCATCTCCAAACAATTTAAATTAATTAATTATAAAATTCCCACAATATTTTACTTATTAATTGTTTTATAATCTATTAAATGAATAAAATGAACTTTTAAAATCAATACTATTATATTCTTTTATTATTCTTATGATTGGTAACAAGAAAATACAATAATTTGTCTAATTAATAATTTATACCATACTTCTTTTAATTCATAAAAATAAATATATAAAGTTATTTTTTATTCAAATTTAAAGGATTCTGGTTCCTTTAATTTGAGTGCTGATTTAAATTTCTATTTAAAAAATAATAAAGAATATTGTAGATTTTAATTTCTTAAATTTACATAAATTGTGATCATAATCCTGAAAATGAGTAAAATCACTACCTGTCAATGAGGATCTTAAGAATTTAAATTCCACCCTTTATAAAACTAATGAACTTTAATTACAAAATAATTTATGATTTTCATCAAATAATTTGAGATTTAAACTACTATTTAGTAAAACAATTGAAATGAGAATTTACATTATATGATCATATTAAATTGTGTTAAGTAAGATCGATACAATTAAATATAGAAAACAATCAATAATCATCATGAACAATTATTCTTGACAGGAGTGATTTTGTTGAGTATACTTATCCACCCAAAACTCCAATTAATAAGGTGCCATTATTAGTCAGAAGAAATGTAAGTGTACTATCCTTGTCTAACATTGATATGGAATCTACAAATTCATCACTGTTGTATGTAAATTTTTCTTTTTCTGTGATATTTTTATCTAAGATCTTGAAGTTGTTGAAATGATACTTCATTATCATATTATAATCAGTTTCAAAGTATGTTTATAGTCTCAATTAAGTCTATTCTGGAATAATTTCAAATTAGATTCTATGCAATTTCAATGCTTTATATTACTAAGAAATCAGTCTAAATGAATCACAATCCTGAAATTCCAAATGTACCAAAGTATTTTGGATTTGCAGATTCAATAACATTTTGACTTATTCCTTATCACAATTAACCAAAATGGGTATTTTACAATTAGATTTGCAAGAATAGGTATTCATTTATGTATTCTCTTCAATTTAGGTTTTGATACTGAGTTGATAATTGAGAAAGGAGATCTGATATTGCATGTCCATTCTAAGCAGCTTAAAACTATAATATATATGATGATACTGATAGGGCTTATTTAAAGGCTTCAAGATCAATTCTTTCGATTATCATGGGTTAATTGGTTTTAATTTTGTCTACTTGCAAAGTGAAATGATGAGAATTGGTCCTGCCGATTGAAAGGAAATCTACTTTATTAGTTACGCATATATAAAAAGGCTATAAATAAGAAGCAAATGAAAACATCATTGCGCTTAATCTTCATGAGACCATCATAAATTTTTTTACTTTCTTTATTAATTACTCCTGAGAATGTGAATTCCGGATCGACTTCTTACTACATTTTAAAAATAAAGAAATATTATTAATAAAATAAAATCAGCGGGAATTTAGTATATTCTACTGATTTGTTATTATTAATATTTGTCATTCATTTAATTTAATTGTTAACAGATGAACAAAGAAAATGAGGGGTTTAATTTATCAGAAGTAGGTTGTAAGGCACATTAAAATAAGAAGGTAATTTGATTCATTGATAAAAGGCAAAATACAAAATTGTTGGTGCTCCCTTCAATAAATCAAAATTCAATTTGATGGATTTGGTGTGTTCAAAATGCGCCATTACACTTATTAGTTAAGGATACAAAGTATTCGAGTACATTTATGTAGGTTGAGAACATAGAATCGGATGAAACTCTCAGGAGATAAGAGTAAATATAATAGTTCCTTGAAACTATTTCACAAACATACCAGATTATAAATTAAAATGAATAAAATTTGCTGCAAAAAAAAGATGACCTAACAAAATTTTGTGAAATGTAAAAGGACAAGGTGAGAGAACATTATACTTCAATGAGAATAGCTTTAGACAATAAATTAAAAGAGCAAATTGATTATTTAAATGAACTTCAATATAAAGCAATCACCCTATTTGATTAAAAGTATCAAGAAATTAAAGAGACTCACAATGAATTGATTCAAATGTATAGTGATATTGAGGTCAATCTTGAAAATATCATTCTCAAAATGGAATTATTGCCATACAAACAAATTATGGGATCATATAATAAGCGAGTTACAGATATATAATAGTGTTTAACCAAGATGGAAACATGCAAAGTAGTTTTAGGAAGAGTTTACAAAAGAGCGGCTGAAACCAAGATATTAGGAGGTTTATTTGAAGATTGTGAATTAGAAATTAAAATTGCACAGACATCACTACTAAAAACAGAATAACAATCGAATTCAAGATTATTGTCACCTCAATCAATGTCCCAGACAAATATCATGCATCAAACTCCAGAAAAACAGAAAAGATCAAATAGTTAATCTAGCAAGTTTTTAGAGATTTTAAATAAAGTAAATGAAAACCAATTGAAGACTAACAACTTTTATACTTAATTATTGAAGGGAGAGACTTCTTTGGAATTGAGTGAGAGGTATTGTTCTCCCACTTTCAAAAAGTGAATAATTTTATTAAATATTTTATAAATATGATTTTCCATGAAAATTCTAATATTCTATTAAGAATACCTAGTTTATTTATTATATTATATATGAATTCTATTTAAAAGACTTTGAAATTGAAATTTTTGTTCATGCAATAACATTCATATTCTTTGCAAAACTGATGTAATGATAAATAAAGATGAATATATCAAAAATTATATAAATGTACACTATTTTTAGAATCCGATAGTCTTTATAAAGATAAAAGAGTACAATAATATAACAGAAACATAATAATATAATTAATTAATAGTAGTACTGTAATAAACTAATACAGGAATAAGTCATTTTGTTAACTAATCTCTTGATTTTATCCCTTTAAGTAAGTTGGAATTTGGATAATTTTGAATTAAGGAATCAGTTTGTTAGATGATTTGAACATTTTTGATTGAATGAGTAAAGGTATGATTCTGAGTTCCCAGTTTTAGGAGAGATCTGTATATAGTAATCATTGTTTAGATTTTATATTTTAATGATTTTTGAAGAGTCCGAATTTAGAGATAGATAGTGTATTCAAAGATGTAGTGATTTGATTGGTTGATTTGAGATTAGTTGATTTTTTGATAGTTGAGGACATTGTTGTAATATTTAAATATAGATTGAGCAATAAATTTAATAATATTTTAATTTGATAACAAATTTGTTAATGATTAAAACCAGAACTAAACCTGTTTGTAAAACTCACTTTAATTTGTCATCTAAACAAATTAGCAAATATAGAAAGTTTATCCTGAATTTAGTTAATCGAAAGTGGTTGAGATAAGTGGATGATGTTTCAACGGATAAATGTAAAATCAGATTCACTGAGAATAAAATCCACCATTTTGTGCCTTCAGAGACAATCATAAAGAAAGTGATAAGATTTGATAGTTAACCAAAGAAAGGAATACTCAAAACTACCTGAGTTTGTGAAATAATATTTACTGTATTTAAAACAAAATTTATGAATTAAACGATAACATAAATATCAATCATAACTTCTACGTTGCCCCTAATTCTTCCAACGAGGTGGTGTAGGTGGTCTCTTTTTTAGTGCTTCTTCATCCTCAATCCAATTATGAGCATTGAGATTTTGAGGATATATTAATTTTGGTACTATCTCTAGATTTCTCTTGAGTATTAGTACTGCACCAGCATTCTTGTGTCTCCCACAATAATCAGTTGCACTAAAAACTGTGAGTAATTGACCTCCTAATTAAATATAAATATAAAATCTTACCAGCAAATCTCTCAAAACCATCCATAACGCATTCATGAGCACGAATAATAAGAGAAAGATTATTTTTAATGAGGAAGTTGATAACTCTATCTGGTCCAAATTTTACTATATTTCCAGTACCTGCAGGATCCCTAATAATATTTGGCTAGATTCCAAAGTCTTAATCTGTATCAGTTGGATCTGACCATAAGATATCTACCACCAATTATTATTCTGGAGTTGTGACTTCATGAATCACTTCCAAGGGTCTCTAAAGATTCTCTATTTCTGCAACATAATTTAATTGACTTCCTATTCCTCCATGCAAACAAATGATCTTGTCCTCTACTATTGCAGCCAATGGTAACCATTCGAATAATCGATTCACTCTAGCAAATACTGAATCCTCATCATTAGGATCTTCACCTAATCTCTAAGCACATTCCTCTGAAAATCCAAATCCATTATTAATCCACTTGTCTTCATGATTTCCTCTAATCAAATGAATAGATTCTGGGAATCTTACCTTTAGAGCCAACAACAAACAGATTGTCTCTAAAGAATGATTACCTCTATCCACAAAGTCTCCGAGAAATAGGTAATCAAATGCTTCAATATCACTATCCTTGCCATCAACAAATGGAGATCCCCACAAATCAAAGAATCTCATCAGATCTGAATACTATCCATGGATGTCTCCAAAAATCTTTATTGGAGCCTTGCATCTTAAAACCATAGGTTATTCTTTTAAAACGGCTTCTGCTTAGTCACACAACATTAATATATGTTGAGCTTAAAATAAAAACTTAGCATTTTCAGAAATGTTGATAAAGGTCTTTGGCTGCAATAAAGTACTTATGAATAAATGAGCAATATTATTCTCTTGAGCTGTCTAAGGCACTCTTGGCTTTCTATTAGGGGCTTTGGAATCCCTAGTTTCTTCAGCTACAACAGCTTGATTGATAAATTTGAATTAAGATTTATCAGCTTGATTTTAAGCGAATGGTTTCTATTATTTTTGAGTATTCTAAATAGTCTGACCTGGTTTCTTTTGTATCAAAGAGTTATTAAGAGGAGAAGCTTATTGAGTGTCTGGGGAAATGGGAGCCATTTAAGGTGATAATGATTAAGGTGAAACACTAAATAAAACTTAGATGATACTTTCTTTGAGCATGTTAATATTAGGCCAATTTGTTAGTTAATGTTTCACTTGGCAAGAGTAATCTGTTTAAATTGATCTTTGAAATAATATCAGTGGGAATGTTAGGCGAGTCTAATTCAAACCCTCCATAAACAAATATATTAGTGTCTACCAACCATGAGGAATGTCGAAATCTCTATATACTATTGAACTTAGACCACTCTGATATTTCTGTATCATAAACATCAATTGTTAAGGTCTCTCCTACATTTCCAGTTCTACCACCTATAACAACTAACATGCTGTAAACAAACAATGTTGTATGTTGATATCTACCCACTGGTTATTCCTTGTCAATTTTATAAGGAGCCTTGACCCAATCCCACCTGCCATCTCTATGTCTTCTCAACCCCCAAGCATCATTCAATGCTTACTGATCATTTGAACGTCCACCAAATGCCACAACCATTCCATTAGCACTACCATTTGTGCAAATGCTGGCAGAATGATATACTCGTGCCAATGGCTATTCTGATTTGCATTCCAATCTCACCCAAGTAATTGGACTCTTCTCCACATTTACACACCCTTGAATTTAAATAATTAATACAGCAATCATTAACTGGCTCCTATCCTGTATTACCACCAAACACTATTAGAAATGGTTTTGTAAAGGTTAGAGTGTGTCCATACCTTCTACCTGGAGTAGTTCCTACAACTGGTACGACTGTCCATTAACCTAAGTCATCGTTTGATCTCAAATCCAACAAGTACAGGTCGTCTGATGCCAAACTACCACCTAATGTAATCAATCCATGTCTTACCTCCTGTGGCTCCTCCGTAAATTACTATTTAATTGATATCAACACACACTGCTGAATGAGCAGCTCTTGGAGATGGGGCTGTACCCTAAACTATTCTTTTCTTTATTAATTGTACCTTCCACTCTCTTCCACTATTTGCTTTACATATCGAATGAGAACGTATCTCCTGTAATACTATATTTCCCTGTGTCACCAGTCGCCCCTGTCATTTAATTAATCTCATTTACCCCCAAATAATATCGCTTTCCCCTTAGCAATGTATGTTATTGTATGTCCAAATCTGGCTTGAGGCAATTGTCCAAAAGCATCAACCTTTTCAAAATTATTCATATATTTATTATATTTCAAATTTAAAAAATATAATACCTTAAAATATCAATTATTTTACATATCATATCAAAATTTCATATTGAATCCAAACAATCTTCACTTTCTTTGCATAACCCTCCTCATCATTTATTATTATTTCAAATTCTAGGACATTTAAAATTTTTAATTTATTATTGTACTATTGAAATACTAATCCACTTATATTAAATATTTTTATAATTTTATCTTTAAGAAGTTGTTGCTGATTTCATATCACAAATACTCTTTAAATAATTCAAGGAGAATTAGAAATATAAAAACAGAACTTATACAAATGAGGATTCCTTTTTGAACAGTTTGCATAATATTAATGAAAGTTTGGGCATGAAGTAATGTGTTTTTATTTTGACTCATAAATTAAATTAATAATTATAATTGATAATCTAATGAAATAATAATAATCAATTAATATAGTAAAGAGAATAATTAACTTTTAAATTAATTGTAATATATCATAGATCAATAGCTTATAATACAGAATTAAGAATTTGAAATCAATTATAATTTAGAATCGTGAGGGTTGAGAACTGCTTCTTATTCAACTTGCAATTGTGAGACATAAAAGAAGCATAAGAGATAAATTCATTATATCTGTGTGACATCCTAAGTAATTCACATCTAAAAGTACTAGAGTTTAAAGTGAGATACACTTCATTTAGTTGTGTTCTTCTAGCACAGTTCAAAAGAAAGTATTCATTATTGTTGTTGTAAATCTACAAGACAAAGGAATGACCTTATATATATAATAAAGTATATAACTCATAAGTTGAGAGGCTATTTCAAAAATTAAAAAAAAAGTCAAATATCAACAATAACTTAAATTCAAAAGCTGCAAAGAAAATGCGTTTACCAAATAAATTGTAAATGATAAATTTGGCGATAATGTAGGTGAAAAATTTGGTGAAAATATGGATTCTATATCCAAAATAAAAAAATCAATTTGATAAATCCTTTAGGATTGTGTTAAACCCTTTAAAAATAGTTTATTTACTTCGTGCTACAATATATTATAATAGAGTAAAATTTATGTAATTTTCATGCAAGCAAAATGGGAATGCTTGCCTAATTTTTAGAGAAAATGCCAAGAGTAGCATAGCAACATTCAACAAATAGATCCAGAATAGCGTTATAAAGTTAATTTGTATAAACCTAATAAATGGTAAATTCTGATGTAACAACTAGTTTTGTTGAAGAATAATATCCTTTAATCATTTTTTTACTATCATTTTAAGCAAATCATTAATAAAAAAATAAACTATACTTTGAAAAATCTGTCCAGAATATGATTTCTCCTATTTACAAAAACTTGAAAAGATAAAGACTTTTCTCATTTACTTATGAAAATTGCCGAGTTATAAATCAAATTGTTAATTTCATGAAAGAGGGAATTTAACAACATTTTAACTCCAAAAAATTAACTTTTTGCCAGCTATCTCTTAATAAACATTAAATTAAATTTAGATTATGCTCCAAATACAAGCACTTATTTGATTTTATTCATCTGTTTAATGCTGAATATATTTATGACTATTATGGAATTCCTAAGATCATATTACAAATCTCTTTCTACCTGTTAGTTTCTACAAATATTCTTGAACTAAGCATATTTGAGAATGACTATTGGAAATTATTTTATAAATTTAATAATATATATTTTTTATTTAATTTTCATATCTTCTTCATATCATAACAAATAATGTTGATTTTTTCCTTACTAATTTCGTCTACAATTGTATCTATATTGATATCATTTGATTCCAGCCCAAAAGCATGAAAAGCTATGTCAGATTCATGAGGAAATGGTCCTATGTAAAGGCTTCCTTAAACTAATTAGTTCTCCTTAATAGTCTTAATTGATGAATTTACTACTGCCCGCCAAGCCATCCTTTAATTTGCATTACAAATAATAACTATATTTTAAACTTTATCAGGCACATTTGAAAACTCTACTTGTGGATTCACTCCAGGTGATATTAATATACCATTTCTTTCGATACTTTTATTTTTAGGATTAAAGGAAACTGCCATTTTAAATTTTAAACAATTATCCATGCCAACAGATGTTAATTAACTTGCCACACCTCCTATGATCCCTCCAATTATTGCTCCACCTATCACTCCAGGTGGACCAAATGGAGCTCCAATCATACCTCCAATACTTGAAGCACCAGTCAGACATGCTATGCCTAGTCCTGTTTATACAACTTATTTTCCTAAACTGATTGCTTTTTCTATATTAGAAGCTCTTTCATCAAATATAGTTTTCGTTACTTAACAAATTAGTCCAACTCCTGCTAAAGGTAAACGACTTTATGGAAATACAGAAGAAATACACAAAAAAGTACCACTTAAACCCAGTTATTATAAGCTAACTTAACCGTAAAAAGCATCAACTATTGTAGCTCCAATAAGTTAACCAGCTGCTTCAGCACCTATTATTTGTTTTTAAGTGTATTTTGGTTAAAAGTTCTTAAATTTGTCAAGGTTGTAGTTGCTATTTCCAAGGTTACCCTTAATTGATTTTTAAATATCAGCAACTTTCAAATTTTGTATTTCTAGAGCAGGTCCTTAAGGTTTCCATTAATCTGTATAGCCTGTTGAAGCTGCCCCAACACATTTTTTTACTAAGGTTGGGATCTTTTCAGAAATAAACAACAAAAATTTATTATTGTCATGCAATGTCAATTCATACGCCATTGTATCAGTTTAAGCATATTTTAGAATTTATATCTATTTAATGTCTTATTTATGTATTTCCCACTTAGGATAATTTTGAGTTTTTTGAGTTAATGAATTGATTTTAATGTCTTTGAATTAATAATTAAACGTTGAATAAGTGTATTTAGAATAGTAATCAATCCATATATTTTTCAACTAAATTTTATAATCCTCAATATTAAATATTTTTTGTATTATTTTTAGAAATTAATCAATAAGAAGATCTGAAACATCTGTGATAAACTTACTCAACCTTTTTAAAAAACTGTTTTCTAAGATAAAGGCAAAGTTTATTTCTTCATTACAAGCATCTAATAATTAATTGAGGTTCATTTTATAATTATCATAATCATTATAAAACATCCTAAGCAAAGACAAAAACCTATCAAAATACTAATTTAAATTAAGTTTCAATTAAACTCTTAGGTCCCCAACCTCTTATGGAAATTACATGATATTTTTAATGATAAAGTCAACTCTTTTTTAATAAAAAGAACAAATCGTTTTAAGTTTTGGTTTAAGATCCATCTCAATTTTATTGGTCCAATACTTTTATCTTTTAGAGCTATCTAAAGACATTGAAAAATTATTATCAGCTTGCTCGATTTTAACATACTAATAGCCGTTTTTGCTGTAAATATCTACAACTTTAAATTCAAATTAAGGAAACAAGATTACTTCACCCTCATTTGGAAATTCAGAGTTATAATCTTTAAGTTAAAAGTAGGGATGAGGATTTTATTAATTTAATGTTATTTCAAATAATATTTTGTAAGGTTTTGTACAAAATCTTTTTGCTACCTCCTCTTTGGTAGAAGTACTAGCTAAAGTATTCCAAAAAATACTTTATTTCTTCTTATAGCTTTACTGTAGGTCTTGCATAATATTGTTATAAATTTCTAATTCCTAAAAGCTTATTCCTCTATATAGTTTATTTTCAGGCAATTGCTTTAACTGTAATTAGGAATAGCCTTAAAACAATACACACATAATTTATTCTAATTTTTCAAAATTAGACTCTGCAAAATTCTTATTTAACTCTTGATAAATTTCATTTCTTGAATAATAGTATATAAATTTCTCTAAAATACTAAATTTTCCTTGATTTTCCTTTTTTTTCTCCTCTTCTTTTTTTTACATGTCAACCTGACAGATTTTGAAGATATCTTATGATATAAATTATTAAATTTCCTTATTCATTAATTCCTCATTAGGCTATTAGTTTTTTTCTAATTTTTTATTAATCAACAGAAATCTGAAACTTGTAGCCTCAAATTAATGATAGTATTGAATCTATTTTAGAGCCTTTTAACCAAATGATTAGTGTAAATATTCTTTAGCATTTAAGAATTCTTCATTTAAACTCACTATTTCCTCCACTTCTTCAATTCCAGAATCAACAAGAACTAATAAATCGTTTTTACTTAAAAACTATTATAAATGTCTTTTAGATTATCCACAAAAGACAATTAAGTTATCGTTTAAGTGCTCCTTCTCTTCATAGATAAATTAACCAGATATAATTATAATGAATTTATCATCTTACTTTTAATTTTTCAAAATTTTCAAGGCTTCCGGAGTCGAGTCCAAAAAAGAACAATCTTGAATTTTATTCTTAAGTCTTTTTTGGAAAAAAGAGTTTTCTTAATTATTGATTTGTTTATCAATCCACAATAATTTACAATTATTTTACATAAGTTTCTATCATACTTAATTTTGAGTTTAAAACTCATTTTAATAGAATTCCAAATATATTAGATTTTTTTGAATTTATTAGTAGAATACGTGTTTGCTTAACTATAAACATTTGGGGTTTCACCAGTCCCTAGTAATATCACTACAAAAACAATTTTGATAGCAATTAAGTTATAATCAACAAAATATTGCTAACATAATTCTAACATTAAATTGAAGAAAATTATTAAACCAAAGTAAAATATAATAATTTTTAATTATTATATAATATAATAGTAGTAATTAATAATATTAAAGATTACAATAAAAATGGTTCTGCCTGAAGATTTATGATTAACTATTTTATTTATTTATTAATGAAACTAATCAAAAGTTCAGTTTAATATGCTTCTATAATAAGAGTATGTCCTCTTTAAGTAAATGGCGCAAGCAAAATTTGAAATATTCTTAGTCATTTTTTTATAAATTTGTGAAAAACTCTTAAAGAGTATTCTAGGATATTTAGATGTGATATTACCACAAGATTTATGTTTAAACATGGATCTTTCAAATAAGTTAAATCTTCTTCAGTTGTTTCATCACATTCTTCTCCTACTTCTTGATTAAAATCTAAGAATTCACTCATGTACAATGTTGATCCTGTCTCTAAATCTGCTAATCCTTTGTCTTTCTTTTCTTTTGGATCCAAGGACTAAGCTTGATAGATGTCTAAAAAATACAGCAAATCTATCTGCAATGTCTTAATCTTCATCATCTTTAATTTTTTCTAAATCCACATCAACTTAATCTTGGTACTTTTTGTCATTGAAATCGTCATCATCATTGTCCACTTCCAAACGATCATCTTCTTATTATTGATTGACATTATCCTATTTGGAAGGTACAATTTCATTATCTAGACATCGTATCAACAAAGATAAGATTTTGAACGGTGCATATACATCTAATATAATATTGTATACTATTACCACTATTGATATTCTGATGACTAGGATTGTACCCTATAACTAATAGGTTCTCTAGGGTTTTATCTTTAACTAAGAACAATTTCATTAGAGCTGAAAATGTAGCATTTTTAGTTCCCTTCCCTCTAAACAGAGGTTGTTATAATAACCACTTATCAATCAACACTTTCAGAGCCATTCTGTTGTCAATACTCCAAGAAGTCAAAAAAGCTATTGACTCTTTTGGTTTTTCGATTATCATTCTAGCATATACGAGAACTAAGGATTAGACTGTAGATGGCATTCTAGATCTGTAAATTTTAAACACAACTGCCTTTAATAGATTCAGATCAGGATTTCCATCTAAGAGATTGTTGATTGTAATCATAACTAAATTGCCTGCAAATAGTGAGGCTGATTCATTTGCTGAATTTTAAGGAACTTCCAATAATTTTAAGTTGACCTTCATAACATCTTAAACCAAATTCCTATATTCATATGAACTTAAAGATTACATCTTCAATATTTATCCTGTCTCAATTATAATGAAGTTCTTGAGACATTAACTAGTATGAACTTGCAATTGTGGATCTTCATTTATCAGAATTAAATTAACCATAGAAGGCAATAAATTAATAAAAGCTTCTTGTGCTTTACTATCTGAACAGAATTTGATGAATGTTGAGGTAATGCTCATAATGGCACTCATCAACGATATATCACTTTACTTGATCTTGCTTTTATCTTATATTTTGTGGACATCTTCATAAAATACCTAGAAACAATCCAAAATGAATGGACAAAACACCTTAAATAAAAAGTTATGACTACTTCAAAAATGTGAGGGTAAGCTTCTTTGCATTAACATATTCTCACTATTAATTCATTTAATGGTTTGATGAAGCATTACTCTGAATGGAATACACTGAAAAACTATAATAAGACTTTTGATCCATTTTTAGCTAGAGTTGTAGCTAAAGTAGGTGAAAACTTAACTAAATGGATTGTAGATTCTAAAATAGAAATCATTTAGTCTTGATTTGCCTCTTAAAGTACATTAAGCACTGATTCCATAAATTCTTACTAATATTCAAAAGGAATGCTGTATTTGTGAATTTTCGATGCATAACTAATTTCAATTAAGAATCTCTTACTTTCCCAATGCTTTGACTGAAATGATGCGAAGAGTAATAGGGTATTTTGAATCCAAATAGTGTATGACAGATTCAAAAAGGGGCACTATCAATTCTTTGAATTAGTGACTAATCAAATCCGAATATCTGGTTGTGCTCCATATTGCTCGAGCTTATAAACTATATGAATCTATTGATATGAATCTTAATTTGTACTCTATTTCTCCAATTCATACAATATATTTTATATACACTTTTTGATATCGAAAGTGCTTTGATGTTTTTATTGAAACACAATTATGTCCTCTGAGAAACTGCCCAATAATAGATAACCGATTTCTTTCCGTTTTTAGATGAATGACTTTAGATAATGATTATTATTGATGGTTAGGATGGATCCTTTCATAAATTGCATAACACTATCTTGATCAAAATCCTTAGTTTATTGTCCCTTCAATTCTTGGAAATTCAATTTAGATATAATGGATTATGCCAAATCTAGGAATTCCTTCTCATCCCGATTGAGTATTAACTTTTCTCCCACTATTAGTATTTGTTGAATAAATGAATCCCCATACTTCTCGATCATATCATTAATCAATCTCAAAGCCAAAGTTCTAACACTTTTTTAAAGTAGTTCCTCCTCATCATTCAATATGAAGTAACTGGGATCTTTGATCCATTGTTTTTCTTATTCTTTGGTGGCAGTCAAAAATGTTGAAAGAGTATTCAATAAAGGGAATGTTCCAAATTTGATCAAATTATAAAGAGCTGGTTTTGTAACTAATATGGTAATCAACTCTATAGAATATGCACACAATCCTTCAATATGATTCTCGTAATCATCATCTTCATTAAGGTACTTGTATTCAATATCTAATAATAATCACACATCTAAATTACCATTTCTTAAATTTATTATTCTCTAATTACTAAAAGGTAATTCTTTTGTTTCTTCAATAAACAAACCGTCGATGTGTTCCACATCTATCTAATACACGATGTGGCCAATATATAATTGTGTTATGGAATTGAAGAACTTCCAAATTGGAATTAAAGATAGAGCCAAGGATTTCCTACTATAAAATCCGAAATCCCTGAAAATAATGATCAAGATCTTTAAAACCAACTTCTTTATGAAGATGTGTGATCTTGGGGAGGTTTGTAAGGCTGATAAAAACAATGACTATAAAGTTGTATGTATATATTTGATACCATCCATATTTGGAATGTATTGTCCAAACATTTATTGACTAGGGAGTTGTCTGTTCCATCAGCAAAAGAAATTGATCTCAATATTAGGTACACCATCAATAGTATTTTCTCTCTGAGCATCTCATTTAATTCTGGCTATGCAAATATGCCAAATCCCTTTTCAAGCACTGAAGGCACTATCTCTTTTAATAAATTTTGATGCTCTCCATTCGTCTCACTCAATTTGCCAAACAATTATAGGAACAGTTCTAAACTAGATTCAACTGCATTTATATCATCCATCCAATTTAAAAGTTCCATCAATGGACTTGGCCAAATGTGACTCGGATCTAATACAATTATGGATACTATTATTGAAGACTTAAAAGTATTAATTATAGATTACAATCAATTCTATGATAGGCATGTTTGAGACATTCATAACTAACCCATTTAAAAGAAGTTCACGTATTATTTTACGAGATGGTTATATCGATTCCCATTATTCGATCAAAATATTCCTAAGCAATACTCCAATATTGATTCTTATTTCAACTGGATAATCAGGAGATACTAAGATTTTTGTGCTCTCCACCATAAAATTGGAATAAGGAGTGTGCAAGATGTCGTATGCTTTCTCCAAATTTTCAAGTGCTGAGGCATAAATCTATAACGTGATTTCAGGCGTAGCTTCTGCCATTTTAAATTTTTTTTGTATTTTTTATTTTATATAATATTTATTCAAATTCTATCCTCTAACAGTTTATTTCTCCATTTTATCTATTCTCGGATTAATTGAATACAAAATTAATGTTCTAAATTCAAATTTCTACAATACTTAAAATTTTGTTAGATAATCAACAATTCCCATTTTTTGAATGCTCCAATATTCTTTATTATTTAACTATGCAATAAATTTAAATTATTGAATGATTGAACATTTAAATACCTCCTCAGTCTGCGCATTCCCTTATATTGAAATAATTTGCTATTAATCTTATCTAAGACATTGACTAAATCAACTTACCTGTTGGATATTACTGGATCGACAGCCAACCATTTACAAGATTACTTAACTGCCACTTCATCCTTGAATTAAATTTGTTATTTATTAGGTATGAGAGTCTTGTTGTTTAGAAATGAAAATTTAAATTAACCTCGTTGTAAATTTTATAAAATATCCTCAATTTCATTAGATTTATATTTATAAAGTAATAATCCATTTTAATAGGTTTATAATAGAGAATTGGTTTTGAAGAGTTCAATGGCTTTTGGATCTCCTTGAGCAGCATATTGATTAAAGGCATCTTCTAGGTTGAGGATCTGTAGAGTGTACAGATACTCTTTATCAAAGTAGAGCAATTTGTTTTTAGCAAAATAGATCTGTTGAGAGATCAATTCAATATTAGTAAGAATGGACATGTCATCGATGAAAATGATGGTGCATGTGTTTTGATTTATGTTGTAAATATAATTATTTACTATATTAATCTAATTAAATTTGAGACCTGCAAATTTATAAGATGACTACACTTCTCCTGTCATTTTAGCTTTCCATAAAATACCATTTGGCCTACCACAAAACAAGAAGGACTAATAAAATGCGCATCCAAATTTTTTATTTTTTTCTGTGTTTCCAACTTTGATCAAGCTCCTGGTCTTGTCATCAAAAATGTAATAGTATGAGGATTCAATAGCCACTTTTGGATAACTAATAGCAAAGCTGTCAATTTTCATATTGTTCAAAATGGTGTATTGTTCTTGAGTATTGGTATTGTGCAATAGAAACTAATCAGTCAACTGAATGAAGATTAAGTTGTTGATAACGAATGCATCAAGTATGTTGGGACTTAAATACACTATGTTTCCATCTCTTTCAAGTATGCCATCTGATGTCAATATGTATTGGATGGACAAAACCTTCAAATAGGGCACTTCAATGGGCAATATGTTATCATTATGATGGATGGAAGAGTATGTTACAAGTGTTTATTCGTTGAGGATTTGTGTGAGGTGGATATTTAGTTTATTCTTCAGAATACACACTTCTTGAGTCTTCATTAATTAATTAATCAAATTTATTGGAGTGCATTTTGATGATCAATGGAGTCTTACACTATGTGAGAAAGTAAATAATTAATATTTTAATAAATGAATTTATTTGTACTTTTTCTATTCTGCGTCATATTTCATAATGTCATTAGCTTGATGCCTATGCCTAAAGCTATATAGAAGGGAGAGTAAGTTGTCAAAATTGAGAATAAATGCTCTCTTCGATATCAAGCAACTGAGGATCAATATCCAGATTTCATTTTGGAATTACTTGAACATTTTCATACCTTGATGACTCCGAAGCAATGCAATTTTAAATAATCATTTGGGTTTTCCAATGACTTGGGAGTCATGAAGGTCTTCATGCAAATAGAATCCTTTGAATAATTGTATGGAGTTGAAACAACTAATTAAGAATCATATAGATTAGATATTGATAATGAATTGAATGTTTATATTTAAGTGAATAATCATTGGGGTTTGGTCAGGGCTTTAAACACCTTAAATTAATTAAGTGAGAAAGGAGAGATACATGATCTTCCCTTAACAATAGAGGACGAGCCGACTTATAGTTACAGAGGGATTTTGATTGATAGTGCTAGACATTTTCTATCAGTACAATTGATAGAGAGAACAATTGATTCCTTAGTCATGAATTCAATGAACACAGTCCATTGGCATATAACTGATGATGAGAGTTTCCCATTACTTTTAACAGAGTACCCAGGAATTACACATTCAACCAAATATTCAGAGAATTCATACTACACAATAAATGACACTACAAGAATAGTTGAATATGCTTCAAAGAGAGGAGTTTAAATAATTCCTAGTTTCGATAGTCCTGGACATTCAATGAGTTGGGGAATGACTAAAGAATTAGCTGATATTATGATGATGTGTGGAAGTACTATAAAATAATATGGTGTACTTGATCCAACATTAGAGAAGACTTATCAAGTCCTCGAATCGATATTAAAGGACTTTTATCAAATGTTCAAGAAAGTCAAGTTTGTTAACTTTGCAGGTGATGAGGTCAGCAAGACTTGTTGGGATCAAAGACCTGAAATTAAAGTATTCATGCAAAACAACAATATTAACGATTATTTTGAATTATAATCCTATTACAGAAGAAGGTAAAAGTAATTATGGAAGGATGTCATTAAAGCAGAACAAGATATCATCTATCTCTATAGAAAAGAAGACAATTTGCCACTTGATAAAGAGGATATTATACATTGGTGGGGAGATACTGATCAATTACCATTTGTTGCTGATAAACCTAATAGAATCATATTGATGGATTATTTCCCATTGTTTATTGATGCAGGCTTTGGAAATGCCTTTGGAAATCCTTACTCTGTTTATCATACATGGAAAGAAATCTATAAATGGACTCCATCCCTTCCAGAAGGATCACTGAATACTATCATAGGCGGTGAAGTTCCATTGTGGGGAGAAACAAATAATTAAAATACACATTTCAATAAATTATACATGAGAACATCTGTTATTGCAGAAACGTATTGAAATATTATATTTAATAGACTTTGGAATCCAAAAGTAAAAGAAACTGAGAAATTTGCTTCCTTTGTTAAACGCCTTATTCAAATGGAAGATAGAATGACAAAATAAGGTTTTCCTGTTACTCCTGTTACTCATGGGTATTGTAGAAAAAATACAGAACTATGTTTTCCAGTCTTAAGTGAAGAGGAATAGAAAGAGTAAATATAAACTGAATGAATGAATTTATAAATATAATTAATAAATATCAATTTTATTTTCTCAACATTTCAAAACTATGAAAATTCTTAACTGAAATGTGGATTTCAATTCATGATAGCCAACTAAATCTATGGTGATAAAAATTGCACATTTTTTACAAATTATTGCACAAAATGGGCTGATTCTAAGAAAAAATAATAATAAACTATTAATTAAATAGCTGATACCAATATCTGGGCTTTTCAGATGGGTAATCATAATATTTTTGGTTTAACTAAGATTCTAGATATAGTAGTGCATTAATTAATTGAAAATAACCATATTGAATTCTTATTTCAGTCTCTCCTTATTTTAATAGACTCATTAATTATACTTGTTGTCAATTTAAAGTATCAATACATTATTTAGAAATAAGAGGGTTTAAACTTGCTGAATGATCTAAAAGAATTATAAATATTGATCTAATACTTTAAAATGAAAAATATCATCAGATTTAAATAACAAACTATGGAGGAATGAAATTTAGTCATAAGCACAAAAATGCTTTTAAAATAATTATAATGATAACTTATCAGATAATATTTTCATTCAAATTTCCTTCTCTTTTTTTAATATGCAAATTAAATATCAAAAGTGGTTATTTACAACTCATTTCAGATCTAATAAAATTTATGTTAATGTTTGTTTCAAATTTATATGCCAGTTTACTTTACAGTTTGTATATCATAGCTAATTCACGGTACTAAGTTTATTTAACATAATTGAATAACATTAGTTTCGATATTTAGATATCGAATTTATTTTATGACAGAATAATTGTATTATTGGGATTTGAAGAGCAACTCATGTTTGTATTAAATAGAACTAAAGATTTATTCATATTGGATTATCATATTCTATCTATTAACTGATACTATTAAGTATGATATGCTAAAAATAACGGAAAACCTGTTTTGAACCAAAATATTCTGGAAACTCATAATCATTAATAATCTTAAATCAAATTGTTTTAATCAAGACATCAAGACCAAATAATTATCTTTGAAGGGAACGTAATAAGAATGTTCAAGTAAGGATGATTCTTATGATCTTCAAGATCAATTGTTTTAAGATCAAGGTTTACTAAAGAAAATGATAACTATTACTGAATTCTATCAATTATCTAATTTACAATTAATATTATCAAATGTAAATTTATAAATTCAGACTGTTTTTTCACTAAAAATTAAATTAAATTCACTAAGAAATATTTTTAACATCATTATTTATTTAATTGTTTAATTAATTTATCTATTTCAGAATGCCTCGTTCTCCAAAAGAAATTATTTACTCTGAAAAGTATTGCGATGATGAGTTTGAATATAGACATGTAATATTACCCGAGGAAATATACAAAACACTCGAAAAAATCTAAAACTCTTAAAGACTCCATACCGAAAAGGAATGGAGAAGTCTTGGAGTGAAAGGATCCCCTGGTTGGGTTCATTACGATTATTACAAACCAGAACCACATATTCTGATGCTTAGGAAAAAAAGAATTGATTTAATATCTCTATTTCTAAATAAATATATCTATTTAATCCTATGTAATTAACTCAGCTTATTCCTTTAGAGACATCATAGAAAATCACACTTTAAAAAGTAAGTTGATCGCCATTATGTTAAATGAATAAAAATATATATAAATGCTAATTCTAATGTATATAACTAATAATACTTTATATGTTATTATTGAATTTTAAGTATTTCAACTAAAACAAAATATCTAATTAATAGTTTCATTTTTAACCTAAATTAACGTTGTATAAGTAAAATATATAGAATTCAATTATTCTCCATTAATTACGGTTTATATACGTTTCCAATTTTTAAAAGGATATTTATAATAACTTTTTTTCCTTTAAATCCTGAGAAGCGCTAACATCTACAAAGTGTTAAATTTTAATTAAAAAATAAACATTGATTTCAAATCTTTATTTTTATGATGAAATCTAAAACGATTCAAGTTTACTATTTATTTTAGATACAACTTTGTATTTAATTTCTAATTTTGGAATTTATTTGTGAAATCAGCTGATATGCAGTATTACTTACTAATTTATTATTTTTAAAATCAATCATCTTAGCAAAATTAAAAACCATAACTAAATTGTGCAAAGAAGAGCAGCAAATTTAAGTTTACTAATAAATAGTTATCAATTTTCGGATTGTAATAAAAATAAAATCTTTTTGATTGATATGACATAGTACAAATAAAGAGATCATTTATAATAAGATTCAAATCTAATGTTGAATCTTAAGTATAATATTACATTCTTCATTCTGAAATTCAAATCAAATAAAAATGATCAGTTAAATTTTTTATTGATTATTATATAACCAAAATTAAAAATTTAGTTCTAATTAAAATTACTAATTGAAATAAGGTCAAAGCTGTATTTATTTAAATTCCAACTAAAAAAGGCGTTATTTATAATATCTAAATTTAAAGTTTCCTTCAACTTCTCATTTTAGTTTATGATTTAACCAGATTTAAACAAATAAAAATTACTAATTAATCTAATATAAATGAGAATAGCGCTGATCAAAAAAATATTTTAACTAACTAACTTACAAGATCTAAGATTTTTGTTAAGCTGAACTAATAAAAACAGATTTTATTTAATATCCTCTAAAATGACTCTAACAAATTAGCGAAATTTATCTTGAATTAAAAATAATACTCTATTTCAAATATATGTTACCTAACTATAAATATGTATGGTAATAAAAAAAATTGTGAAAAAATGGAATGTAAATGGTTTATGTTGTAATATAGCAAGATTTAAGATTAAAATTAATAAAAAGGTCAAAATGTACTAAAATTTTTAAAATAAAATCTAATAATTTGCGATTAAAATTTTATGATAGAATTACTAATAGAGATTTGAAAATGGATTGAATTTACATGAAACTTTATATCATTGAAACTATAATATAGTAATGTATAAAATTTATAATTTTAAATTCTGATAAGAAGTATCTTTTATGGAGTATTCCTTTATTTTATAATTTTATCACATATTGGCTGAAATACTTCAAGAAATAGTAATGTAATCTATTTTGTAAACCACTACCTTATAAATATGATGAGATCCAAAATTATTTTAATGGTTGAAGCTTATCTTTCAAAAACCAAATTTCTTATTTCTAATCTTAAAATCTTATTATAAGAAACTATTAGTATCAAACCATTTTGACAGTTTCATAATTTAAGAAACTTAACGACTACCTAGGTAAAGATTACTTCGAATTTGATATTCTATGAGATTAAAAATTCTTTTAAATGCCAGTGTTCAAGTTTAAGAATTATTTAATATAATGTCAATATTAATCAACTTTAATTACCTTCATTAATATTATTAAAATATAAGAACCAACTTATAAAAATTATCTTAGAGTATATAAATTGATTAGCCAAATATAAATATGATTATTATTTTCAAGATTCCTAACTTTAATCTATTTCATTATGAAATCAAAAAACTAGAAATAAATTGATATTCATTCCATTTTTGTATTAAGAGAATAAAATTCATTGAATTAGACAATCTAATTAATTATCATGTTTGATTTTCTCAAAGGGATATACCACTCTAATAATTATTTATTTTCTATAAATTAACCCTATAAATAAATTACCATAACTATTTTTTTCAATTATGATATTTTTCTATTACCAAATTAATTAATTTTAATCAAACAGAAATGATTAATAAAGAAAAGAATGAAAAATAGAAATGTATAATTATAAGAATCAAATTCTTTCAAAATTAATGAATGGAGTATCAAATTAAATAGAAACATAAAAATATTAATAATTAATATTATAGATACTAATCAATAGGTACTTTTCTTTTTCAATTGCTTTTTTCTTTTTTTACTAATAAATCCATCATATTCTGATGCTTAGGATTCATCCTAATTGATTTTATAATTCCAGGAATCCTCATTCAATAGATTTATAGAAACTTCTAGTTATTAATTAAGCGATTCTTCGAATTTAACTTCAAATTATGGAGTTTAAAACCATTGATAATCATCTTGGCAAATGGCACTCGTTTAACAATGTAAATTATTTTCTTCAGATTTTATTGAGGTAGGGATTTGAGATTAATTAAGATTTAATTAACTTGAAGTATTTTCAAAATTGTTTTAGTTGGTTTCAGCTATTCTTTTTTCCTACATTTCTAAGAACTTTTATTTTTAAAGTGTGTTTAACATTCCTTTCTTATATAAAATTTCATTAACTAAGTATTTGATATCATAATTTCTGATGAACTCATCTTACCAAGCCTTTGAAGCTTTAAAGTATTTATCATTAAATAAAGATAATGCTTAGTCTTTTAATTAAGTTCTCCTCACTCTTTTACCTTATTTAGCACTTTATTCAATAATCCAGAAACATAATTTTTATTCAGCTTCTAAATTGAGTTTTTTCCTTCCACACCCTGGTTTTCGATTTATACCTTCATTCTACCATCTTCTAAGATTTTTTATTGATGTATTATATTATGCACTTAGCGTAGAGAGTGTATCAATAGTGTTATTATATTACAAAACCTTCATTATTTTTTACTTATCTTCGAAACTGATTATTTTGTATTTTTTTGATGTTTGCTCTAATTTAGTGTTCTTCTAATTGTTTTCTGTCGTAGTCATCCAAATATTTATATTATTTATGATTAACCGCTCATAGTTTTGATTCCTAAATTGCATCAAAAAAGCATGGGAATATTTATATCTAATTCTAATCAATTTAAAGGGACGCTCATGAATGTGATAATAATTTAAGGAAATATGTTCTTAATCCTATTGGTAGTGTCAGTTAGTAGCGAAAAGGGATTAATCGTTCATTTTTTGAACAAGATTGATTTACAAGCTTCTTATTTTAATAAATATTTTAATAGATGTAAAATGTTGGAAAATACTGCAATGAAACATAACAAGATAATTATGGATTATGATGTTATACATATGTTAAAGTATTGAAAATTCACCTTTTATAAAATTGTTTATCATGTGATATTATGTATTTATGTAGTTGTATGATGTATGAATGTGTAATTTTATGATGGTACTTTAAAATGTGGATTTTAAAGAAATTTTATTTTATTTATTAATTTTGTGAATCATTTTATTAATGATTAATATAAAATCAAGTTTTTATTTTGTAATTTTTAGTTAATAAATAATATACATTATTTTATTTATATAATTTTATAAATGAGATATGCTAGTGAGTGCTTAATTTTATTATTATGAAAACTAAGATATAATGCTCTTTTTAATGCTAAATTTAATCAGGTTTATGGAAACATTGAATATAATATGTATAGTAAGGGATATTGAAAGAATTTTAATTGGATGTTAAGTGTAGAATAACAAATATAACCAACCATGTCCTAAATCTCTAAGAAGTAAATTTTATATGTATTGTTAGCTAAGGAAAGTACTATAATTAAGCATTCAGAGGCATTTAGTATTGGAGAATCAAGAACACTAGATAAAATAGAAAATTTAGAATTTTCAGTTCTTCGATATCCTTAAACTCAACTATTTCAAACTCCAAATGCTTAGATGATGCAAAGTTTTTCTAATTTCCTATTTAGTGACCAATAAAAATCGATTGCTGATCAAAGAAATACTACATTAATTTTTGCCTCAAAGTAATGCGTATTAAGTTATTCATTTGAAAAGTGTAGCTATTGAAGGAATGAGAATTATTTGTGAGATTGATATTTAATGCAGAAACATTTTATCAATTAAGAGATTAGGTAAGATTCTGTATATTTTAAAAAACACAATTAACCACTTCGAAAAGAATGGATAACAATCCAAATGAGATATATTGGATCAAAGGGAGATTTTAATATTGCTTTAAAGATGGGATCAGTAAAATGATGTGAAAATTAATTGATGAGGTTAAATCACTTTTGAATAATAAAACAGAAGATGAGTAATAAATAAATATTGAGAGATTGAGATTTCAACCAGATGAACTGATATAACTTGATAGGAAGTTAGGGAAAGGATATTTAATTCATCAGAATACTTGGATCCTTATATAGTTTGTGGAAGATTTGCTAAATTGATAGAGATATATTTTAGGAGTTCTGATAAATGATTCGTATGTTTGTCCATAATTGATTGATTATTAATTTATTATTTTATAAGCAGATCTCATGGAACAACTGCTAGAACGATATGAGGAATTAAAGAAACGGAACATTCAGAAAAATTAGAGCATGATAAATTAATAACTCATTTGCTCTATATAGAAAATATCTCAAGCTAAAATAGAAAAGAGAATCACCCTTGTCTAAGATGTAATAAATATAATAATGAAGCTCGGCTTATTAAGGAAATAGAGAGAACCTTTAGGAAGTAGCTATTCGAATTGTTAAAGTTTAGTCAAAGATATTGATATGCATATCAATTCCATTATGTTTGAAATAGATAAACTAGAATAATTAAAATAGAAATCCCAAAGATTCTTACGACTTCAAAGTTAACCGAAAATAAAACCAGACAAAGCATCAACTGATGTCATGGCTTAGACAGGAGGACTGCTATCAAGTACCAGCGATGGTTAAACAAGAATGTATCATAGATGATGAAAAAGAGTTTTAAAATTTTAGATATGAAATAGATACTAAATTAAAGAAGGCTGAAATGAACTTTGAAGAATTTTAATAATTGTAATATCGAATATTGAAGAACAATATGAAGGGAATTCACAAAGACTTTAATAACATAAAGCCAGGGAGTTATAAAATTAAATGCAAAGATAAGTTACTTTGGAAGAAAAGATGTCAAAAAAGAATAACAATTGCAAAAATAAATGTCTTTGTTAAAAGATTTCCATGAGTTATCAAAACAATAGAAGGAAGAACATTTCTTAAAGATTTTGAATAAATCAATGGGAGTCTTAGATGACGAGGATAAATTTAATTAAATTTAAAATTCAAGTATTTTGGGATATGTAGAGAAGGGAGAAATTTTAAAATAAAGAGAAAAAAAGCTTGCTTGTATGGAGAAATATAATAAAGTATTTGAGGAGTATTAGAATAAAATCAATAAGGAGAAAGAGGATAAAATTCAGTCATATTAGATTGTACTTATTTAATTAATAGAGAATAGAATAAAGCTATTGAGGATGTAGCTGAGAATAATTAACTAAATATCTATTTGAAAGAAAATTTCAGAATTAACCTGAAACATAAAGATTGAGAGATAGATGAACTAAAATATTTTAGAAAGAGAAGGTTGGGGAAAATTTGATCAAAAATTCAGAAATCAATTAAAGATTAAATCAATCTAAAAAGAGAATGATGGAGGAAGAGTAAAAGTAAAGGAAGTTAATGATAGAGTGATTAATTTAATGATATCATAAGAATGATGAACGATTGAACATAAGGGAAAGACAGAAAATATGAAAAAGTTAGAGATCGAAAAAGAACAGGGAGAGAAGAAATGAAAAAGCTTAAGCATTCTAAGGTTTGATTAAATATATTGTTAAGAAAAATTAATAATATTTGATTATTTATTTTTGAATTTAATGAATAACCAACTACACAATCTCAATTGTAAATTTTGCAAGATTAATCAGAACAAGTTTATCTAGAAAGAAATACATGAGAAGTATTTTGATAGATATGAAATTATAGATATTTTGAGTAGTTCAATTTTTATTTTGCCAAGCCCATAACAGAAATATTAGCTAATGTTCCTATAGATCATGTCATTCTATTTAAAGACCAACTGTATTTACATGATGAAAATGAATATATGAAGCGATTTTATTAAAGAGAGGAACAGGATCCAAGAATTAAATTACTTAGCGATTTTTACTATGAGTAAAATAAAGTAACTCATATATGTTGATTAATACTTTTAAGGTCCCATAGCCCAATTTATATAAAGTCAATGCTCATAAGTTCATGGAGAAGAGAATAAATAAATTGTTAAAATTACAATAAAAAGCATAAAATAGTTAGAATCAACAACCAATTACTAAAAAAATGATTCCTGATCATATTTTTAGTGAAAACTACGTTGAATCTGTATCTGAGTAGTATCGACATACTTATTTAGTTCCTATCCCAAGGAACAAATATCATGGGACAGCAAATCGCATAACATCTATGAGATTTCATAAAGTGTAGCATAGTAGTCACAACCAAAAAACAAACCTTCTGCATAATTACCTATTCTTAACATATCTGGTGATCAAAATAAACTATTTAACTGTTAAAATGACTAAGATATAGAAAATATCATTTGTGAAGTCAACACACAAACATCTCGTTAGTTATCATCAATTACCAAAATACCATTCAAAAAGAAATCTCCAACAAGTGCAACAAAAAAGAAAAATTAATCAATTCAATAGCCTTAGTAACCTAAAGTTCCTATTCCACCATTGAAACTCCAAGAAAGTGCTAAATCATCAACAACCACAGCTCCAAACAATAAGTCAACAAGCATTTAATCTTTAATGAAAAAATATGATTAAATATTGTAAAAACGTTTTTAAGTGAAGGAAATATTAACAGAACGTAACGAAACCCGTTGCGCTGCTGGTTTTGGTTCTAATTGTGGTATTGGTACAAATAGAGGAGAAGGGGGTTCATCAAAAAAATAAATTACAGATGAAATGCTACTCAAATTAATATCAAACATGAAGAAGTCAAAAAATAAATCTGACAACTATTAATTTCATGCCTCCTACAAAAGCGTAGTGTCTCATCCTTAAACTGGTCCAGCTTAATCATGCACATTTGAAAAAGAAAATGAAAAAAAGAAAAAATACCAAGTTTATTTAGTAAGCTATTTAATTTAATAGGAAGCCAAAATAAATTAAAAAAAACCCTTCTTAGATGTCATCACCGACAACAGTCTAAAAGTAATTTAAGCTAAATTATAATAGCACTTGTTCTCCATCGATGCTTCTTAGATCCCTTTCAAATCCTTCAATGGCTCCTTCTCCAATGAGGAGATTAGAAATTAAAGTTAACTTAAATAAACTTATATAATAATAAGAACAAGAAATAGGATATTGGACTTAAAGATGCAAAGTTCGTTGAAACTCACTCTATCAATTAATTTTAACAATAATTATTTTATATAATTTACCTTCCATACTTCATACTATTCTATTTTAAAAAGTATAAAGATTAATTTCCTTTTATAAAATCTAAAGTATTGAGTTAATTATATAATTAATTTATTCAAATGTAACAATTTAAGGGGTGGAGAATAAGGCTAAATATCACCAATAAATTATGAATATTCTAGCTGAATGATAGATAAATATCAGTCTATTCATTCAAACAAAAAAAATTATTAAATTTATTGAAATACACTATCATTCTTTTGCATACTATTATCTTAAATCCCAACACTCCAAAAATGTATATACTTTTAGATTGAATAATTGATACAAATGAAAATAAGCCTGATTCATTGCTAGATGCCATAATCCATGCCAAAGCCTTATGTAATCTTTATATTCATCCAAACCAAAATAAAATGCCACAAAACCAATAAGTAAGTAAAATAATCCTTTCTGTAGGTAATCCTTATTTACAATTTAACCTTTCTTTGGGTAGAATGTTTATTTGATTATAAACATGATTAAACTTATTAATATTGCAATCACAGTTGCCCATACATTCCATGCATGTGATTCTTATATTATTACAACAGCTATGAAATTAATCCATTGAATAGACTTTCTTGTCTTTCTATCGTTTTGCATTTTAACAATTGAATAATTCCATCTAACTTTTAGATCATTTTGAATACCAATCCACAAATTGATGCAATGTTATTAAGCTGATGCCAATCAACCTCTTTTAATATAATTGGCTCTACACCTATACTTTCAGACAGATGATACATAAATGAGGACACAAACAATAATACAGATAGGAACAATGTATGAGCATTCTTAATTTAGTATGTGTAAATGATTTAGGGGATCATTACTCAATTTGAAACTGCAGTTATTATTACCATTAAAAACATTTCTACTGGAGAATGCAAATATTTATTTGTTTTCCCAGTGTCAATCATAAATAAATTTAAAATTTAATAATCAAAGACTCAACTTATTAAAAATGATAAATATATATTAGAATTATTTATCACTAGGCTTTATAACATATATCTATATATATTGCTCTTACACTAATCATTTGCTAGAATAATTGGAATAAAACTATATACAAATATATTAATTTATAATTAAGAATTACATTTAAAATAGTCAATGTATTCCTAATCGATTTAATCTATTATTAGATTCCAATTTAATAATGTAATTTTGAATCAAGTTTTAATTTATTTTAAAAGAAATATTAAATTATACACTATATGAAAATCAATTATTCAACAATATAGATAACAAATTTCCTGATGGTACACTTATTTTACTATTGAATCCTCCTCCTCCTCCACCTAATAATTGTAAATAAAACGAAAAGTCATTCACTTGATTTTTTTTTTCATCCTGTTATGATTAGGATTAATTATCTGTTTAATTTCTAGGTAATTCTGGTTATCCTTTGGTTTATTTTTATCCTGCGACCTAAATAATGGAGGTTCTCTAGCTTTCTTTTTATAATTAGTTCTATTCTAAATTGATTTAAGTAAATCTAGTATTTCTTTATTAAAAGCTAAATTACTCCTCATCTTTTTATAGTTTAGGGATTTATTATGATGGTTCTTTGAAATCATAAGTCTCAATAGATGTATTTTTATTTGTAATGCTCTAATTTTTTTGGCTGTAGTTAACTTATTATTAACTTAATATATCCAAATTATATTAGTTATAAGGGATTCCTTGATATCCTTGATTATATGTTTAATTTACTTATTAAAAATTATTGACTGAATAAAGAGGTTAATGATTAGATGGGTAAATATTATCAAAGTTTTGATAATTAATTTAGTTTAAATATAATTATTATCCAGGTTGATTTAATATATCGATCTATTAAGCTTAATAATTGAATTAAGACAAATTTTGAACTAAGTTAGGTGTTTAATTAGAAATAATTAAGTCATTATTATAAGGAAAGAAAGCAGATACTTATTCTTCTTAATTATGATTGTAAACATTTTATAACAAATTTGATTATATCTCAAAATTGTGAAAACTTTCTTAACCTATATTATTAATTTCTTATTGGAAAATTTATTATCCAAAATTTTAATCATCTGAGAAATTACATTGATATTTCTCAATCAATTGATTGCAATTAAAATCATCTTCTTACTTCTAATGCTATTGATCTGTATCAATTGAAAAAGTTAAACTATTTTTCTCTTTGTCTATTTATTCAGAACCACTCATTTCATCAATTCTATTGGTATCTGGTAAATCAATTTTCTAATCATCATGATAATTGTTATATTGTTAACTTGCAAATGAAAAATCCTGATTTTATTTGTTTTTCTTAAAACACTCTTTATTTTGAGCATAATCCAGTTAATGAAATGTGCAGGCATCGTCTATGTAATCTTGCTTTTAAAATCTTTCTTATTCCACTTATTCTAATGCCGTCTGAATTCTTTCATTTTGATTAGATTCACACTCTTCTGGATTTTCTTATACATCAACTTTTTAAGGACTTTTAATAACAGCCTCTTTGACATCATTTAATTTCCTTTTCTTATAAGGAGACAAAGTCTTTATTAGAGAATTTGATTCATCATCTATTAATTTTATCAAGTAGTTTTATCTCCTTCTAGCTTTATATTTTTGAACAAGATAATAAACATTCCATCCAAATACTCCTAAAAATGTTACTGCAAAAGGAATCTCCATGATTAATAAAAATAATATTAATTACTTTAAATTTTACCATTTCCAATTCCATTTATGTAGATCCAAAAATTAAGATGAAATAAATCTAAATATTAAATTATCAATTTTCTGATTATCCATTATTTAATTTGTAAATGGTAATATATTATTTTACTTCACGAATCGAAATAACAAGTTTTTACATTAATAGTATATAGAGAGGGTGAAAAAAGTATGCTTGTTAAAACTGTATCAAACTTTGCCTTATAATCTTCAAACTATTAGAAATTATTGTGAAGACTAGTTGAATCAAAATAGTTAAAACTAATTATGATGTTAGTTACAATTCTACCTATTGTTACTTTATATCATTCAACTTATATTAAATTATATTTTCTTAGTGATGTTTCAAACTTATTTTGTTTTATTATTATTGATTTATATTATTATAATAATTGATTGATATAATTTCTATCTCAAATTATTAATAAACTTTAAGATCATGTAATAATGTCGAAAAGATTCAAACTTAAGTAAATGTAATAATGAAATTAGTGGGAAATATTAGTTCTTTCACTAATTGATATCTTTTATGTTTTAATGGATTATAGTATAGCGAACGATATTAATAAGTTAATATCATGTAAGAAATATTAATTCTAGTTTATATATGGCAATATTATAATTTTTATTGATTAATATGCTATTTTGTTACAAATTTAAATTTAGAATGAATTAAATGCAAATTTTAATAGAATTATAAATAGAATTGTATATAGCTCTAAAGTTTTGAGAACAGATATGTATACAATTTGAAAGGGTTAGATGTGTATGATAATTATTGAGGATGGATATATTAATACTTGATGGATTTATTTAATTAATATAGAATACAGAATTAGATCATGTATTAATATTATAGCTTAAATTAATTTGTTCTAAGAGAAATTCTTGATTTCATATAATATAGAACCCTAATGAGAATTCGAATTTTCACTTTTGCAATTCTTTTGTATAATATAGATTGAGTTTTAATTAGAATGCATGAATAGTGAAATGACGTATAGATATGAAAGTTGAAATGTATAAGGTTGTGTATTATAGAGAATACGTTATAATTAATAAAAATTTTGGGGGTGTGTGCAAGATTTAATTGTTTTTATCGATTAATTTGCTCTAGAAAAGGTAAAAGAATTGAAATCGTAATCAATAATATCTTTTATTTATCTGTAAACACATGTCTGAAGAACACCCAGCAGTCGTTATTGATAATGGATCAGGTTAATGCAAAGCCGGTATCGCAGGAGATGATGCTCCAAGATGCTGTTTCCCAGCAGTCGTAGGAAGACCCAAACATCAAGGAATTATGGTTGGTATGGACAGCAAGGAAGCATATGTTGGAGATGAGGCTTAAGCTAAGAGAGGTGTTTTGGCACTTAAGTACCCAATTGATAATGGTATTGTCAATAATTGGGATGGTATAGAATGTGTTTATAAATTATGTAGACATGGAAAGAATTTGGCATCATGCATTCTTCAATGAATTGAGAGTCACACCAGAAGACCACCCAGCTCTTTTGACTGAAGCTCCAATGAATCCAAAGGCAAACAGAGAAAAGATGACATAAATCTTATTCGAAACATTCAACGTGCCATCATTCTACGTTGCTATTCAAGCAGTGCTCTCACTCTATGCTTCAGGAAGAACAACTGGTATCGTTGTTGATTCTGGAGATGGTGTTTCACACACTGTCCCAATCTATGAAGGATATGCCCTTCCACATGCTGTGCTCAGAATTGACTTGGCAGGAAGAGCCTGTACTTAATATTTGGTTAACATTTTAAATGAATTGGGTGTTTCATTCACATCATCAGCTGAAATGGAAATTGTAAGAGACATGAAAGAGAAATTGTGCTATGTTGCCCTTGATTATGAAGAGGAAATGAAGAAATATAAGGAAAGTGCTGCCAACAATAGACCCTATGAATTACCAGATGGAAATGTTGTTGTCATCTAAAACCAAAGATTCAGATGTCCTGAATTACTCTTCAAACCAAACTTCATTGGTCTTGAAGTCGCAGGTATCCATGAATTAACATTCAAATCAATTATGAAATGCGATATTGATGTCAGAAAGGATCTGTAACTATTTTAAATTTATATAATTTTAGTTACGGAAATGTTGTCATGTCAGGAGGTACAACTATGTTCCCAGGAATCCCAGAAAGATTGAGCAAAGAATTGACATCACTTGCACCATCATCCATGAAAATCAAAGTTGTTGCCCCACCTGAAAGAAAATTCTCAGTCTGGATTGGTGGATCAATCTTATCATCATTATCAACATTTTAAGCTATGTGGATCACAAGAAGCGAATACGACGAAAGCGGTCCAACAATTGTGCACAGAAAGTGTTTCTGAGAGATAATAAGTATTAATATCAATATAAATAACATTTTATCAATACTCATTTTGGGTTGTTCATTTTTATTTTGTGGTCAATTATTGCAAACTCTTCCTTACTGCAATCCAACTATGGTGAGTTAAATTAAGATAAAGAAAATCTTTTTCTCCAAGCCAATTAAGCAATTAATTCTACCTTTTGTGATTCGAATTCACTTAAAAATAAAATAAATGGAGTAACAAATACAGCATACCATATATTCCTTCTTCTTACAAATCCTTTGCTAAATACAAAACTTAATATTTTTTTTCTCATTTTTTAAACCTATTATTGCTTATAACTTATATTAAATTAAACTCATTCAATAATCTAAACAAATTATATTATCAATAAAACTATAATCAGCATATTTAGTCCAAAATTGTATGTAAATATTTTGTCTATTCAGTCATAATTATATTAGAAGTCATGCAAGTGTATGGTCTATTTATAATTTTGCTTATTTATCAGGTTAATAATGTTATATGTAAATCATATTCAAAGTTATTATGTTATTCAAATCGATAAGAATATTTTAAATCTTAGCTTTGTTTTTAATCTGAATACGGAATGTTAAAATATTCTATATTCTAGTTAATCTGATCTCATTACACTGATTCAAATAGTGCAATAATTAAGAAGAGAACCAACTGTAGAGAATTACTAATCATATCTATTAATATCAGATTCTATTTGTTTATACAGTTAATTATAAAGAGAAAAACCCAACCTAAAAATTATAATAACTATATTAATTTTCATATGTTATATCATGACATATACACTATTAGGTTAGATTGTGTCAATTAAGATCAATAATGAGGATTAACTAGAATTTTTATCTATTTATATATAAAAACCTAATTATTTAATTTAACTGAATAATACATACAATTAATTTCTATAAATTAACACCTAAAATATTATTTAAAAAAAAATAAATAATATTAAGGATGGATTATTGATATATTCATATTGATCTATATAAAATTATTTAAATTAGGTTATTTAATAAAAATGAGGATAATAAAATATTTACAAATATAATCACAAAATTTAATGTAGATTATTTAAAATCTTAGCAAATTTGGTACATATATCTAATAACCATTCCTAATTCTTTTCCATTAGATTATCAAAATTCTTTCTACCATGAAGCCCAAATATCAATGATTCTTCTTAATCAATATTATCATCAGTTATTATGCTGATATCCTAAGATTTACTGATTTTAATTCTTCGTTAAAAGAGTTCAGTCGATGGTTAATCCAATTATTTTAATTCAGAAAAATAATCTTCATACAATATTTGCAATATCCCCATTATGGCAAGAATAATAAACTTACACTACATTTTATGGTTTATATTTTGATAAGCCATATAATTGGATGATTCAATTAAATTAGATACAAATAATCTGAAAATGAAATATTCGCCTGCAATCATTTTTTCTTAATAGACTCCAATCTTAAGTGTATTTTTTGCATAGTATTTAGTTCTTTTTGCAACAAATAAAGGAGCTTTTATGTTTTAACTTTTAAACAATGATAAAAACAGTGAAGCTTAAATTAATTCTGGAATTTTATCCTTTTCTGTAAATTTTTCCATGTTATTCATAACTTAAATTGTTAATTGCATTAATTAATTCTATCTGCACTATATAGAGCTTTCACTATTTGGATTTTTTGAATTTTCATTTGATTGTTGTATAAATTAAATTGAAGAACATGATTTAATCAATGGGTCTATAATATTAGATATCCATTATTTGATAATAGCTTTACAGATAAGTACATCTTAATTGGAGATTTTTTCAAGACATTTTGAATATTTTGATCGAAGTTGCTTAAGTTGCTAAAGTTTTAGATTTCGTTTTTATCTATTGATATGATATAANATCTTAGCTTTGTTTTTAATCTGAATACGGAATGTTAAAATATTCTATATTCTAGTTAATCTGATCTCATTACACTGATTCAAATAGTGCAATAATTAAGAAGAGAACCAACTGTAGAGAATTACTAATCATATCTATTAATATCAGATTCTATTTGTTTATACAGTTAATTATAAAGAGAAAAACCCAACCTAAAAATTATAATAACTATATTAATTTTCATATGTTATATCATGACATATACACTATTAGGTTAGATTGTGTCAATTAAGATCAATAATGAGGATTAACTAGAATTTTTATCTATTTATATATAAAAACCTAATTATTTAATTTAACTGAATAATACATACAATTAATTTCTATAAATTAACACCTAAAATATTATTTAAAAAAAAATAAATAATATTAAGGATGGATTATTGATATATTCATATTGATCTATATAAAATTATTTAAATTAGGTTATTTAATAAAAATGAGGATAATAAAATATTTACAAATATAATCACAAAATTTAATGTAGATTATTTAAAATCTTAGCAAATTTGGTACATATATCTAATAACCATTCCTAATTCTTTTCCATTAGATTATCAAAATTCTTTCTACCATGAAGCCCAAATATCAATGATTCTTCTTAATCAATATTATCATCAGTTATTATGCTGATATCCTAAGATTTACTGATTTTAATTCTTCGTTAAAAGAGTTCAGTCGATGGTTAATCCAATTATTTTAATTCAGAAAAATAATCTTCATACAATATTTGCAATATCCCCATTATGGCAAGAATAATAAACTTACACTACATTTTATGGTTTATATTTTGATAAGCCATATAATTGGATGATTCAATTAAATTAGATACAAATAATCTGAAAATGAAATATTCGCCTGCAATCATTTTTTCTTAATAGACTCCAATCTTAAGTGTATTTTTTGCATAGTATTTAGTTCTTTTTGCAACAAATAAAGGAGCTTTTATGTTTTAACTTTTAAACAATGATAAAAACAGTGAAGCTTAAATTAATTCTGGAATTTTATCCTTTTCTGTAAATTTTTCCATGTTATTCATAACTTAAATTGTTAATTGCATTAATTAATTCTATCTGCACTATATAGAGCTTTCACTATTTGGATTTTTTGAATTTTCATTTGATTGTTGTATAAATTAAATTGAAGAACATGATTTAATCAATGGGTCTATAATATTAGATATCCATTATTTGATAATAGCTTTACAGATAAGTACATCTTAATTGGAGATTTTTTCAAGACATTTTGAATATTTTGATCGAAGTTGCTTAAGTTGCTAAAGTTTTAGATTTCGTTTTTATCTATTGATATGATATAATATTACTTATAACTTTTACTCCATCTTGTATATGCTAAGATAAATATAAAAAGAACTTTTAACCGAGAAACATTTAGCTGATATCTTCTTGTTCTATGTAGAATTTAATATTATTCTCTTGGTGTGGACTTAACACGCAAATTGGGCAATTATAATTAAGAGGGATCTTCATTATATTTTTAAAATTCTCTTGAATTTCTTGATTGAATTCTACTAGGTCTGTAACTTCTATTTGTATGATAATAAGAAATAGAGTCTGAATAACTATCATTTTTTTATTGGTTCTAATAGTCGTATGATTATGCTCTTTTTGAATCTTATCCATTTTAGTATAGCCCACTTGTAGAAGGCAAATATTCTTAAAATTCTTAATCAAGAAATGTATATTGTTTTGGTTTAATAACTGGCGGTAGATGTGGATATTAGCAAATTTTTATTAGTTTAGATATTTCTTTATGCTTATGTCCTATTTCTCTACTTAACAATTCATTTTGTTATTTTAAACTTAAGTTTTCTAATTCATACATTTTCAATTTTAAGAGTTGATTTTAAGAAAGTCTAATATGTTTTATATGTTTACTCGTTAGTTTATGAAACATGACTATCTATTTGAACATCTTTTTCATACTAGGTTGAATCTAGTTAGATGGCTTTATTTTTTAGTTTCAAAGCATAAGGTTAATGATAATGATCATTTTATCTTGGACTAAAGACTGCATTTTTATCGGTTATATGCAGATTAAACTGTCCCGGTTACAATAATTATAGCATTTTTTTGATGATGTAATAAAAAATTATTAATAAATACAATTAATTGACTAAATTGCCTTAATGTAGCGAATCATATTTAATTGAGAAGGTTCAATATAATTTTATCTAAGATTTTACATAAATTGATATCGAGACAACCTGTTATTGAAACTGAGTATCATGTTTTGATCGATTTAAATAAACCGTTAAATTTATCCAAAGTCAATATAACTTGGATAACATTAGCACCCATTAACCTATAATCAAAGTAGTGTTTATTAAATAATTGAGTTATAGGAGTTAAATAACAATACCATTCTTAGGGCAACGAATTTGGTTAGTTTTTGGTAGGTAGTATTTTTATATTCTAAGTTGATATTGAGCGTATATATTTGGATAAGTACGAACACAAAGTGCCACCAAGCTAAATCCAATTTTAGTCAACTTAAATCCAAACTGAATGCTATATAATTGTATTATTATAATATTGATTAACTCAATTAAGCCTTGCCTTTTAAAGTAAAAAGTTTTTGTAAAATCTTCTTTGATTTAAAAATGCAATTTGAATTCAACCTTCATAACGATAAAGTAGAATTTAACTATTAATTTTTATCATCTTAAGTTGGTGAAAAAATAACAATTTCACGTGAAATTATTTTGAATGGTCTTTAATTCTTTTTAAACTAAATTTACTCTATACCTTAGAAATGGCAATTAAGAAAATTATTTTAATATTTATAATGTGGTATAAATTCAATTATTACCATATTTTAAGAAACCATTTGCTTAGTTTCCTTCCTAAAATTCCCAGACAAATTAACTATAGTTTCGAGAATCTAAACTTAAATTAAAGTAGAATGACTCTCCGTTTTCATATTAACTATACATTCTAATGATGATATAAGTAATGTATTTATTTAGAAATAATGAGAATTTAATAAATGAATGAATTTGATTGATGACATCTTCAAAATTATTTGTTAGGCTTATTTTATACACTTTGAAAAAACATGTTAAATGATGATCAACTTGTAATCTTAGTCTTCTTTTTTGTTTCTTTTTAGCAATTAATTTTGTCATGTATCACTTATTATATCTGATTTGAAATTTGTATTGAAGTTTTAGTTCAAAAGTATTCATACGGTGATTAATTATTAGTGGTTAGAGTATGATTGAGAAAGGGCAAATTCATCTTTCTATAAGAAATATATAGAGGTTTCTTTTTTTATGTATGTAAAATATTACAATAAAAAAACAGCATATAAATATATAGAATCAAATATTATTTTAAGATGCTAGATTATTAACACTATTTCGAAATAAGGTTTAGATTTCGGCATACCATTTTTAATTTACTTTTATTAGGTTTTCGTAGAAATCTAAATTATTCAAACCTAGTATCATAATTTCATTTTAGTCAATATTTTCATCCTCAATGATCTTTAGTTCCTGATTTTTTGTCTAATTAATATTTAATCTTTTCTAAATGATTTTTAATACTTTTGGTTAAAATACTTATAATTCCTTAAAGTAATCCATATAGAGAATTTAGATTAAACTACAAATAGATACTAATTAAAATTTAGATTCAGCTAGGTGATGCTCGTTTATGCATTGTAATTGATTTGAGCTTTTAATAATTTCATCAATTATAAAAGAAAGGAATATATAATCACAAATTATTAGTAACTATTCTTTTGAATTTAGTTTAGTTTTAGTTCTCTTTGCCACAAATAAACTACTTTTCTTATTGATTTACAAAATGTGATTTTAGGCCTAAAGCAATATTTCTTGGTTGAGATATGCTGCTTTGGTCATATGATCCAAATTCTAAAAAAACAATAAAGTCAAATTTATCATCCATTATTTTCGATTTTGGATGAATTTTTAATCATTAGGGTTTTAGTTCTCTTTAAAATTTGAAGAGAACTTGCTCTATTTGATCGTAAATAAAACCTTTTCCATTAATTTTTCATGCCATTTCATTTTAATGTCAACAATTTACTCTTTATTAGAGGATTCGAACCTGGCTCTTAATTCTCTTAAATTTTAAATAGTTTTTAATTGTTTTATTCTCAATTTTTTAATCAATCTAAATATAAAAATGAGTATAAAGCCCCACATTTTAAAAATATTTTTAGATTTTTTTAATTTCTATAAGTCATTTTTACCATATTTAAAAGGCTATTCAACTCTATTTTCAAAGAAATTGATATAATTAGGAATTTATTTACCTTATTTTTTTTACAGTTAATAATGAGAATTCTATGAATCAATATATATTTTAAAATCTAAGATCTCATTGCATTAAAGCATACTCTTTTAAACTTCATTAGGAATTTCTTATTCGATTAAATAAGAATGTGAAAATTGTGGATTTCTATGGTTGAGTGATATTGATCTTAACTTATTACTGGGTTCTTCCTTATCTCCAATATAATTTAATTTGTTTTCAATAGTGATACCTTAATTAATAGGATGTTATAATTATTTCAATTTATTGTGGGGTTTTCTTTCAGTTACATCTAAAATTATAGAATTTCTTTATCCTACAGATAGATCTATTTCTTTTTTATTAACTCTTTTTTATAGTAATAGGCTATTTTTAAAATCTTCATCAAATTGATTCGATTATTATTACTATAATGATCTTCGTTTTTCTTATTCTTTTTGAACACTTCTTTTCATTAATTCATTTTCTATATATTTTGAAAGTTATGGTAATTGATTCTTTTAAATATTTTTCGTATTTTGATCAGGCTTAGAATCTTTCTTAGTATTTCTACTAGGTGGTATTAAAAATTGATGAAACATTTGCAGTTTAATTATATTTAAGTTTTTGTGGAATGCATTTATATAATTTAAGAAATTAAATATTAAATGAATCATTGGGATTAGTAAGTCAATCTAAATTATCACAAATTTCAATTTAAGAATAAATATTTTGTATTGTTTTATCAAATAGTTTTCCTAATAATTTATATAAACTCTCTTTTTTCTTCATCAAATTCTTTACATGTTCTTCTGATTTTAATCCTACAATTATGGTCTCTGATAAACTAATATCCTTAGTGTCTATTAAAATTAATTCCTGATTTTTATCTCCGGAAATATGAAGTTTTCGTTAAAAAAGAACTTTGTCACTAACATCCCCTCTTTAAGGCATATTAACAAAATATTTAATAAAATAAATATGAATGATACTGGCAACTTCTATTATTTTTTTTTTTTATTAAAGATTGTGTTTAAGAGATTAATATTTTAATTTATTTGCTTAATCGAAGAATTACTTCATTATAATGTTGAAATAAACAAATTCACCAGCAATAAGTTAATACTCTGTTTTTGAAAGTGGTGAATTTTAAAATTTTAATCTTCTTGCAAGGAATAATGTCATTTAAGTATTCTAGGTTATCATAGTAGCCCTGGATACTTCTTTAATAATTTCAATTGGAATATATCCTTTTCGGGTTATTAATTCAATATTTTAAAATAGAAATTTGGCGTAGTTCAAGCACCAAAGTTATTCTTAGTCTTAAATCTTCTCACTATCAATTAATTCATCATTAGTTTTATTTTCAGAATTCTTATCCATATAATACAATATTTTTTAAAATGCAGGTGCCGTCCATTCTTGCATTTTTTATATAAAATCCTCATTTAGGTTTCTATCAATTTTAAATGCGGTTTTTAAGCTATTAAAATGTTCTATCTTAGCACGTTAAGCATAATAGTCATCTGATATATGTTAAGCCAATCTTAAATACAACAAAACAAGTCTCCCTATAACTTTGGTAAGACATCTAAATTTGTTTAGAATTTTAAATTTTCTTTAATTCTAACAAAACAAATTTGTAATTCTACTAATCTCTGTTTGATATTACAATTTAAGTGGCATTATTTATTTTCTTTTAGTATATCTTGAGGTTGATAATATGAAATTTTCAGGACTCTATTACTATTTTTCTTGTAGATTATTTCTAATAATTGTAGAAGGATTAATAGTTGACCTAAATCTGACTTTTTCACCATGAGTATAATTATAATCTAAAATTAGATCAAGCACTACCTATTCTTCTGGCTTGCTTCAGTTCATCGTGATCATAACCCATGGTATAGTTAATGTCAGCTTTAATTTTTGAATTTAGCTAAGAATTCTCAGTCGAGAGTTAATCCATATATACATCTAAATTACATTGTATTTAACGAGGGGCTTTGGCTTGCCTAGGACGTATGGGAGAAAGGTTCAGCTTAGGGATATTTTGTTATCTAACAGTCACTGTTTAACATTGATGGGAGTCTTTGTAGTTACGCATAATGTAATCCTAATGGAGTGACAAAGATAATTTTTTTTGATTTTATCTCTACATGATTATTTCTAGTAATTTAAAAAAAAGTATTTGAAATATAATCATAAATCTTAAATTTTCTGCTAGTATATGTTGCGAACTACCTTTTTAAACTATTTCACTAGATTGGAGAACCACCCTCTTCTTTCAAAAATAGATCGTAATTTGTCAAGTTTAAAAGTTCCTTTATAAAACTCTTCCATATCAGTTTGAATGGGAACTAATATCATCCCATATTTATTTCTACCAATTTGCATCTATTAATATTTAAATTCGGTATTCAATGTTTATACTTACGGGATATCAGAAAAAGTCATTATGAATAATTATTGAAGAATTGTGATGAATCCACGAATTAAAAATTAAATATTTTGATCATCTGCATTGAAAACTTTTTTATTTTCAGTTAGTAAGACTAAATTGGGTATAAAATTATTCATAATTACACACTCCGTTGCAATCATAGCCTTTTCAATAGGTTTAATTTTAGAGTATTTGTTTTGTAGATAACTAGTTCTTTTTGTAACAAAAATGTTATAGGTTTATCTATATTCGACAAATTATTCTAAATAGGATTGATATCCAAGTTCTGGTAACAAATTGTTAGGTTATGTCATTACTTCAAGATTGGAAATTAGAAGAGAACATAAATTTAAAAAATTTGTTATAGCCTAATCTTTTTAGAAATCTTCAATATTTCCTTCCTAAAGTCTAAATACATTAATATTACTATAAAATTCCATTATTTAAGAGCTTAATATCTTAAAACAGATAGTACTTTAGTCATTGATATTTAAGTCCATTATTTTATTTTATTTTGGACTAATTTATCCTTAAATTTAAACAATTTAATTAATTTAGAATATAGTTGCTAATTTATTGTCCATTTTTGCTTTAATGGTCTAAACATTATTATTAAAATCAATTACCTAACTAATATAATCATTCTCAACACTGCCCTAATAACAATAAAACTGACTTTAAATTTCTAGCAGTAGAGATACTCTTTGCTTTTGACTTATTTAAATGTTTGAGTTTACATTGGGTTTGAATCTTGTGAGGCACCAATTTATTAGATTTCCTTTTCTTTTGAGATTATGTTTTTTTCAATATCTGAAATATTTTCTTCAATTTCATCATCTTGAAAATCCTTCTCATTGGTTATATCCAAGTTGCTTTTAAAATTTTTATTAATTTAAAAAGAATATTATCGTTTTCTTGGTGAATGATTCAGATAAAATTAATTCTAAGAATAAGTCAATTATCGGGATATTTATTTTTTTTCATGATTTTATTCAAATGATTATTCGTGAAGAAAATTATGTTAAAAACCAAGATTTTCGTCCATAAGCCCTTAAAATTAAAAAGATTATTGTAAATTGACTGAGTTATCCTGTTAGACCGGTATTTTATTATCTATTTATGGTAAAAGTAATTTCGTCATCTAGGACTCATTTAGAACTTTTGTTTAATGTTCTGGAGAATAGGTGTCTGAATTCATTTTTCTAGTTAATTAAACTGAAAGATTCAATCCATTAGATTGATTAGGCAAAATAAAAGATGGCAAAACTAAATCAGGCTCATTTTAATTTATTAATTTTTGTGTCATCTGATCACCTTTAATTAAGCCTCTTTCTGCAGCACTCTAGAAGTTAAATCTCGACCCTATATGTTTATAGTGGTTTTACTTTTCATCAATAATTGCTTTAGAGATTTTAATAAATAAAAATATATTATTTAAAGTTAATTGATATGATCTGTTACTATTTTCAATGGTGAAAATTAAAAACTAATAAATAATTACATCGTTTAAATAATTATGATTTCATCTTAAAATTATACATTATTCAATGATATTATTTTTATAATAACTCAAATTACAAATATGTAAAAACTGACTAATGAATCTAACCCTAATGAATTTATGATAGATGCATAGAGTTCTAAAGCACCAAGTTCTCAGGAATTTGAATTTGAAACGCAGTCTTTCACAAGCAAAGAAGATCTCTTAAATAATTAGAACTTTAAACCATTTATGTAGGAAAGAGATTCAACAGGTAAATTAGTTGGAAAAGACAAGAAGTTACACTTTCTTAAAGGTTAACAAATAGTGTTGTACACATCAGGTTCAAAGAGACTTAAAGTAAAATAAAATTTATTATAATTAGTTTTCGACAACATCTATTTTAGGTCTCAATTCTAGAGCAGTAACAGCAGATGATAGGAGATTTGCCAAAAGAGAACCACTAAAGAATTTTAAATTAAATTTGTAAGCTGATTAGGGCTTCATCAAACAGTTTCGAGAAATCACAAAACATGTCAAACCATCATCCTCAATGAATAGTGGATTTTTAGGACCTCATAGAGATTATTATTATAAAACAGTATTTAGAAAATTCAATTAAACAAGACAAAAACTCCAGGGCCAGGAGTATATTAATCTCTTTATATTACAGCTTCGAATCCAATTGAATTTCCAAAGAGTCCACAAATAAGTAAGCCTGCTGAGCATGTTTGTGGAAAGGACTTTTATGATTTTAACATGGTTCAGAAAAATATTCCTGGGCCTTCTTTTGTAAAAACCTAGAGTCGAGATAGTGCATATTAAAGAGGAATTTTCGCATAAATTGAAATAGAAAAAAGATAAACTTTGAAATAAAAACCAGAAGAGTATGATGAATAAAGGATTGATAGAGAAATAGATTATTTATTGCAGCAATAATAAAAATATGGAAAAATGTGTAAGTCACATAAGAATATAATTAGCATAACCTAATTTAGCTTGGCCAGTTCCATTATAAAAAATAGAATTGCCTGAGAAAGTACATGGATAATGGACTAAAATGCTGTATATATGAATATATAAAATATTAGTGAGCGCTATGGGTTTAAAAAATAAACAGGTGGAAGATTAATAAAAAATACAACTGCTTTATGATTATAATATGTCGAAACAGTATTTATTAATATTTATATATGACTGATAGAAAAGCGTGGAATTAAAAAGTATTATGATATCATTAAATAAATGAATAGGAAGATCTAGCCATTCTTCACTTAGTAAAGCAATATGGGATAAAGAAATGGACAACTGTGGCTGAAAAAATGAAAGAAATATATGGTTTATTTGGTCGATCTGGTAAATAATGCAGAGAAAGATATCATAATCATTTGGACCCAACAATCAATAAAGATCCTTGGAGTGAAAACGAAGAGAAAATAATCTTTTTGGCACATAGGGAACATGGAAACAAATGGGTAATAATTGCAGATTTAAAGATGTTAAGGCAGAGATTGCAAAATTACTTCCAGGTCGAACAGATAATGCAATTAAAAATCATTTTTATTCAACTTTAAGAAGAAGTTTAAGACGCATAAATAAAATGATTGGCGATAAAAACAGTAATCAACGTAAATAAATATTTAGCAAAGAAAAGTGTACCCAATAGATCAAGGACATAAAGCCAGGTGTTTTGTCCAAGATCTTCATCCTAGCTGAAAAAAATCCATGTGAACTTAAGGATGATCATATGAAAAAGTTATGTTTAGCTTGCAAAGGATTATAAGATTCCATACTTGAATTTGCATAATCTAAACAAAAATCATTAATTATCCAATTCAATGAGGAAAAATTCAAATTATTGATAGAGAAAATTATGGACTTTAAGTATTACTCTCAAACACTATATTAAGCGGACTTTATACTAGATAAAGGGAAAATAAATTAAAATCAAGAAAATTGAATTTGAAGAAAAGAAAAAATATAGTTGATGATGATGATGAAGAGGATGACTCATATTCTAGTTTTTATAAAATGGATGACAATAGTGTTTAAATCCCAATAAAGAGATCAATTCGTTAGAGTTCAAGAAAAAAGATTGTAACTATTTCTCACATTATGATATAGAAATTTAATGATGAGAATGATCTTGATATGATTATAAGGACTAAATAGGGTCGAGTTTTTTAAATAATCTACGATAGATTTTAATTTTAATCAGATGAAAATGTATTTATTTGACTTATTAAAAGGAATCTTCATAAAATTGTAGTCTGGAATCCTAAAATTCAATTTAGAGTGTATAGAACTAAATTTCAAGTCAAATAATTCAGAGTACTTCTTAAAAATCAATTTCGAAAGAACATTAAAATGAAACATGTCGAAAGGAGACTATCACTAATAATTCTAGTTTCACACCTATCATTTTGATAAGACCTGTTATTTATAATTAAGACTTTGATCAATATTTAGAAAAGCTAAAATAAGATATAGGTTTAAATTATTCTTATATTTAGATGCAAACTCTTAAAAATATTTTTAAGGAGATGATCTAAATTTAGATATAAATATTGATTTTGCAGAAGCAACTAAAGATTTTACTAAATCATCTAGCTCTAAATTTGGGTACACTCAAAGTGCGTTTAAAAAATACAAGAAAGATCTAGATTTAGATAATTTCTTAGTAACACCAAATAATAATAAATGAAACATTTAATCATGAAATTTCAAAATTATTTCCATGTATTCTAAAAAAAATCTATCAATATTATTATTTATACATTAGAGTTCATTTTATTAAGATTAGTTTCTTATTGTCAACGGATTTTGGATTAAAGGAGATCTCAGAAAATTATTGGCAATCTAATCTAAATTTATTCTCATTGATGATTAATAGCAGTTTTGATTATCTTACTAAGATTATGTTTATTTATTTTATTATTCCAATTTTGCACTGAGTTGATTATTTTTATTTTTCAAATTTAACGATTAAAAATTGAAATCTTAATCTTATACCGATATAGCTTTTTTCGTCTTATTACTAGGTTATTCCTTTCTCTTCTAAATAGGAGAATATTATGATTAGATCAATGGGCTTTTTGAAATTCTTAATTATTTATCTTCAGAAAAATTGCAATTTCCCATTCTTGGAGTTATTGACTATTATATATTGAATACTTTTTCTTTTAAAGTAGCCATTTCTTTCTTCAACTTTTATTATTTACAAGAACCTAATTGTTAAATTCAAAAATACTCGCGATTAGTTTAATCGTTTCAATTGATATATCCTATGTTTTGCTTTTCATAGCTGATATTCCAATTATCACTAAGTATTTGACTAGCTTTTAACTAAGCTTAAGATCATAATCTTTGATAAATGAACTTAATTCTTTAATATTCATTGTTAATTTATATTCTTCTAACAATTAATGAAACCAAATTTTATGAATATCTCAATTCTTTAACTTAGAATTTAATAATTGCTATTTTATTTCATTGGAGGTAAGTTCAGGTCATTAGATCAATTTCTTAAGAATTGATAGTAGAAAATTATTGAATAACTGATGTGTTTTATTATATTTGAACTAACTTAATTTTTTCTTTCTGACAAACAATATAAATGTTAATTATTAACAAGTTATTTAGAAAACAAATTTTAAAAAACACCAGAGATATTGAAAATAATATTATAATAGCTGATTTTTTATTTATGAAATTGATGTTTTATATTTATAATAATCATTTAATTTGATTAATACAAAAGGCTTTAATGAATTGTTCATCTCTAAACAATAAATATTCATGCACAAATTCATCCTTTTATATAAAACTTATTTCTTAACTCTTCCATAATTCATAACTTGATATTAACGATGGTTCTTTATCTATGCTAATCTTAAACACATTTACAAATAATTTGTTTTAATTATCCTCACATTAATATATTGTACTAATCCATATGTAATAATCGTCATTAAGTTTTGAAAGGTTGATTGATTATTTTTTTGTTGTTTAAACATCAAATTATCCATTTAATAATTCTTAGCACTTGAAGGTACTGAAGTAATCTATTTCGTGTTCCTTATGGCAAAATTTATAAAATTTGTCCATTCGATCTTTCATGACTAAAACATATTGATCTTGGATTTCTATTATAAATTTTAATTTAAATTCAGATGGCATCTATATGTTGATTGCAAATAAGTCTCCAGACCCATCAAATAAATGGAATTCTTCATCTGCTACAATCAAAATATGATTAGTATTGTATATTTTTAAGCTTTAAATTTGCTCTACTTTTTTAAATTTTTTTCCAGTATGATATCCATCTGGGTAATTTAAACACTCTAAATATATTGAGTTTTGTAATTTATAAAGTTCAATCAATGTCACTCTATCTAGAAAGGAATAAACATTATAATTAGACTCACAATCTATTTAATATCTAATTATTATTATTATACTGTTTATAGGGTAGACTGGGAATTAAGTGAACGTTTGTGTGCTCTTTGGGATTGAATTGTACTAAACTTCTATTGCCCTAACGAGAAATTAAAGCTAGAATATGATTATCATTTGCTATAATGTTTGACAACACTGCCAATCCCTACCCAATTTAATATGGTTTTTCAGAAATACATTCTCCATTCTTTATTTCGAAATAAAGCAGCTTTTAATTACTCATTGATAATGAAACAGATCCTTTGATACATAAAATTAATACTTAATTTTTATTCAACCTATTGCTCTCCAAAAACGACATACCCATCTTTCATCTAAATGATTTGCTTAATTGAATTAAATGAAGTTAAATCTAGTTGAAATCCTATATATTAATCCATTGTTTAAAATATAAAATAAATTGAATAAGAATCAAAATTATTTAAACCCAAAATTCCTAATCTCTCTAATAAGAAAACCGATTAAATAAATGAGAATAAAACTAAATTATCAAACATAAGGTGATAGTACAAAAAAAAAAGTAAATTATTTTCAGTAAATTTGGATTAACAAATAAATAGAAGGTATTCTTAACTTAATTGTTTTTTTATTTTAAGTTTCTATTTGTTAACCACAACTTTAATTTTTATAATGATTTCTTATTGAGTTGTATAATATGGAAGTGAGATAGAAAGCTTAAAAAAAAATTTTAATTTATAATGAGGAATAAACAAAATGATAGTTGTTAAAATAAAAGATGATTATGCTAATATTGTGACGATTATTATATAATTGATAACACAGCTGATTTGGAGGGAAATAGAAATGATTTAATTTTTAAATTAAGCCTTCAATTTAAGAGACAGTATTGAATGCAGCAAATAGAATTGATTCAGTGAAAATGATTTCACTATAAAGCAAGAGAATTTTTTTCATTTTTTATAGTTTGAATGTGTTAGAATAATAAATTTATCATTAATATTCATTATTTATTTTACAATATTATAATAAATGAATAATGATTATACAAACAACAATGAAAATTTAAACGGAATAAATCTTCAATTTACCTTATTTCAACTATAGATATATGCATCAGAATTGGATTAATTTTTTTTTATTGATAATCCAGCGTTTAATAGAATAGCTGAATTTGATGAAGAGGATGGAATGATGGCAGAGTTGAGATAACCTCGTCGAAGAGAGAGACATTCACCTAGGTAATATTTAGAAAGTAGCATAGGGAAAAATAATAAAACCTTTCAAAATATTATTAAAAGAGCACGGAGCCAATATAAAATGATCATTTGGATTAAGGATAACCACACATCAAAGTTACTTCATTAAGAAATACGAATGTTAATAGTGAATATTTTATTAACGAATTTGGGTAATTATAATAAGGATTTTTATAGACTTATTGGCTCTTTAAAAAATACAAATTCTAAGGATATTTTAATCGGAAGATCTCATCGAAACTAAAATCCAGATCTCATTCCTAATGATATAAGTAGAATTAAAATAATATTTTTGATTAGTGTTACCAGATGATCGTGCAATCTCAAGGATTCATTGTAAAATAGTTTGTAAAGATTACTTCAGAAAAAATTAAATTCTAAGGAGAAAGTATCAATTGGCTCTGAAATACATCAATTTATCAAGATATCTCAAACATAAAATAAGTTAATTTTTAGAGTATTTTTAAATTATAAATAGGGAACCAAAAAATGTTTACATTTAAGATTTAGGAAGTATATATGGTACATATCTGAGAGTGTTCAGATAAGAACCATATTTATTATCTTAAGACAATAAATTTAGTATAGGCAGTGAAACTTATTTTAACATTGTGTTGAATGAGACATATAAAATAAACTCAAAAGAGATAGATTAAGAATTTTACAAGACTTTGAAAGCACTTTCTTGTTTGAAATTTTCATAAAAACATGAAATCCATTTTGGAGATAAATAAAAACCATAAGAGTTCCAGCAATTAGAAGAGGAGGTAACAAATGTGGGGTTTAAAGACCTTTATAATAAATTAAAAGAATATAATGTTCCAATTTTAGGAATTAAATTTTCTGGCTAAGGATTTGATTCAAATAAGCAATAATATATTCTTATAGGGAAATCTAATTAGGATAGTGATGAATTCAGCATAGGAAGAGGAGCAGATAATACGATAAAAATCAACTCCAACACTATTTCTAGAAAATAATGCAGGATTAAATATTCAGCTTAGTAAAAAGGTTTCTATATAATATTGTTAGATATCAATCATGGGTGATATCGGATGGACTATAAGATAGAGATTCAGCCAATGGAACTTGGGTGAGCCTTTAAACAGTCGAGTAATCAGAAAAGAAGAAGGAATCAAATTAAATTTTATTGCAAAATAATTCAGAAATAAAAATAGGGGATTTCTTCTTAAGAGTGGAATTAGTTAAAGGTAGGAACACTAATTTTGGATAATAAATTAAAGAAATGCTGTCTCTTTGATTGATAATTTTATTAATTAAATAAAAAGTGACGCTATTTTGTTATTCATAAAATTATATCTTTTTAATCTCTAAATAAATTTATTTATCATAATAATGAGCAACTTACCCAATTCACATCATCCACCTTAAGCTCCATAATAAAGTGCACCATACTAACCACCATAATTCTAACCTGGATTTGCTCCTTAATATGCTCCTGCTCCAATATCTTATGGTCCACCTCTCACTTCATCACCATTGAGATATTCTCAACCACTTTATTAACCCTCTGTTGTAGCATAACCAGTATATACTCCTCCTGTTGTTTAACAACCTGTCTATGCTCCTCCTGTTGTTTAACAACCAGTCTACACTCAACCAGTTGTTTAATAACCAGTAGTAACACAATCTGTAGTTGCTCAACCAGTTGTCGCATAACCAGTTGTTGCAGCATAACCAATTAAGGGAGAAAGCAGAATTGAATATGTCCCATATGAAAAGACTGTATTAGAATATGAAGAAGTAAGATAAAAAATTCAAGTTCCAAGAGAAAGATATGTGACAGATTATTATGCAGTGGAATATTAGACAGAATATGTTCCATAAGTATTCTAAGAAAAATACACAGGTATTAATAATAATCCTATCCATATTAGAATATGTCCCAGTAGATAGATATTAAGAAAGAGTTGAATATTATCCAGTTGAAAGACAAGTTGTTCATCAACCAGCCTAATAAGTCTAATAAGTTGTAGCTTAGCCAGTTGTTTAATAACCACTCTAAGTTTTTTAACAACCAGTTTAAGTTGTTCCATAATCAGTCGTTTAATAGCCATTGGTTCAATCAATCCCAGTCTAAACTGTTCGTCCACCTGTTTATGCTCCAGGATCATTACCATTGGGTTAAACTGTCTCACCAAGATTGCCTCCTTAAGCTTAAGTATTTTTATTATCATATTTCTTAGACCAAACCTCAAGCCCAATAGCCATAACCAAAACAACCATAATAATAATAGAAAACAAAGAGCTTTTTGGACAGATTATTCGACAGAGATTGATATAGAATATTTAAAAAATACATATATTAGATCAAATTTTATTCTGAATTCTTTCCTCAATAAACCAATTAATTCAATTGTAATCATTTGATTAAATATTTTCTGTAATGAATAAGTATGTTTCTACTTAAAACAATCAAGAACTTAAATAATAAAAGCAACAACCAACAAAAAATTAGCCAAATACTCCCTAACAAAATAATATATAATATGGCCCTGTCTTTTATATATAACCAAATACGTAAAATACAAGAAAATAACAATAGTTTCCCTATGCCAAACGTTTAATAATAACATACAAATGATTATTATAAATCTTGGTTTGTTTATCATCCTGTTATGCCAGATGACCCATTTTTATCTTATCTGTCATATGTTTCTAATATTGTTCAAAAACCGCAATAATAATATCCAGTCAACCCTATAAAAATTGAGAATGATCAAGATATACCATAACCATTAATCTAGAATTAAACAAGTTAAATGAACCTAAACTAAACAATCTAATAACAACAGCTTTCATAACCAAAAAATTAGATTAAAATAAAAAAAATAACTCAACTTTAAAAAGCAGCAGAAATATAACCATGTAATTGTTCTTAAAGTAGTTGTCTTAAAAGATACTGCACATGTTTTCATAGTGGCAGATTGTGCATGGATGAATGCTAATGTAAAGATTGCAAAAATGTAGATTTTTTTTCAGAAGAAAGAAAAGCTGCAATTAATTATGTTTTTAAAAAATGTAACAGAGATAAAAATGTTCCTGCGAACGAATTACTATCATTGTAAATTAGTTATGGGTGTAAATGTAAATCTACAGAATGTTAAAAAAAATATTGCGAATGTTTTAAAAGAGGACATGTTTGTGGAGACTTATGTTCTTGTGAAGACTGTCTAAATATTCCATATAACAGAACTTATTAAGATAAATCGAAAAAGAAGATCAAATTAAAAAAATGATTCACATTTATTTAAATTTCCTTATATATATATTTAATTTTTATTCTGACATTTAAAGAATGATATCAATTCTAATTCTTATTAATTATAAAATATATTATATAAACAAATGATATTTAATTAAAATTTTCTAAAGTTTTAATCAATAAATAATAATTTATATTCTAAAATCAGGATGATCAAAAGATAGCCACCTTTCCCCTCACCTTTTCAATTCCAAAATGATAAAACATCAAGAAATGATACTTCAAAATAAAATTGTAAAATATTATGCTATGTAGTTTATCTAAATGTTACTGCTAGAAATTCTTCAATATCTATCAAAACTGATGCTTCGGTACAAATAAAGATAGTTGATTAAGACAAGTAAAACTTATAAAATGTGGTTAACAAATAGAAATAACGTGATTCATAGGTGTCTTTTGCATCTTAATGTAATTCTAACATAATTAACAATTAAATGAAACAAAGTGAAGTTGATTCTAAACTTTCAAAATACTTTAATTCTATTAATTAAAATTAATACTATAATGATATTAATAATAAAATTAATAATAGCGATTTACATATATCAAGAACTTAATCTAAAGTCTCATTAACTAACAACTAGGAGTTAAAATAGTCAACTATAAAAGGATGTAACACTTTAACAACTATTCTTAAACCAAAAGATATTGAAGATCGTTAGAAAAATCTTACAGAATCCAATTATGCTGAAGCTTATTATAAATAACAATTAACTGATAGAGATATATAATTAAAGAAAATTAAAGAAGAACTTTCTAAATGCTAAAATGAGTTATAAATGGAAAAAGAAAATAGCAAGAGAATTGAGAAGCAATTAGTTCAATAAAGAAAAGAATCCTTTTCATAATGTTAAATAGATTTATAAATTGAAAGATAATAAATAATAAGAATGAAGGAATAACTTTCTAAACTAGATGGAATTCTTAACTAAAAATAGATTGAGATTGATCAGTTATAGAGTAAAAATCACACTTTTCTGCAAGTTATAAGAAATATAGAAGAAATTATCTCTTTAGCCTACTAAAAAGAAGTTAAAATTATGGTTAAATAAATATGAGTTATATGCCCTTTTTATAAAATAATTTGGGTATTCATAAATTAAGATTATCAATTATTATTCCCCTAAATAGAAACTTAAATTGAATAAATACCTTAGTATCCTTTTAATACGAGGACATTATTTTATTAGAGTCATGCATTTTCTTAATTTTTATGAGGGTACGTTTCTTTTCTAGAAGTATATCATTTTCTTATTGTAATTTATATAATTTATCTTAAGCTTTTGATTTAACTCAAAAATAATTTTAATGCCATTTAATTAATTAATCTTTCTTATTTTTTTGACAATCTCTTTTAAATTTCGATTTTCCTAATTCAACATTTATATTTCTACTTATTTTTCATATTTTGTTTTGAATAAAATTTTGAAGGACTTTCAGAAGGCTTTAAATGAGTTCTACTATTAGAATTATTATAGTTATTAACAGTTTGTAATACATTTTACTTTTAAAACAATTATTAAGGGATTCTTTTTTTTTGATATAAAATCAAGGCTTATTATATGAATTTTATCCAGTTGATAATTTTGAGAGATGTTCTTTCAATGAAGGTGCTGATAATTAGGATTCAGTTTATATAGATTTGTTTGATATTAATTTCTATTATAATTTAAGTCGATAGTAGTACTTTATGATCTCAGTAATTCTATATAAAATTAGTTTTATTAACACTTCAACATTATGCCAAACCTTTTTTTTAAAATTCATATTAAAATTATGAATTTATAAGAGAATTACTATATTTAAGAGAAGATTGTTGAGTATTAATCTTTATTAATAATAGCAAAACATAGTGATGGAAAGTTTGAGTTTATTTAAGAATAAAATCTCATTAATATTTATAATTTGATATTTGGATTTAGAATGAAAATCATATTATCAACTGGAATATCTTAGAATACAATAATTAGTTTTATAAGATAAAAAATAATAAAAATTTAATAAATTTTAAGTTAATTTTCATTTTAGTCATCATTATTATATTTTATTTCACTATTAAATATTTAATTTGTTGAAATTAAGTTAATAGTATAATAAATATTTCGATATCTATATAATTAATAACATCATATCATCTAGATTTAAGAATTAAGCCAATTATATAATCAGAGTGGCATTATTTATTTTTTTAATTGTCTAAATATAATCTGAATACTGATTACATTCTTAAAATTAATTCAGAAATAATTCTATGGGTTAAAAGAAAATTGAGGGTCTTATTAATGAGGCATTAAAAATCCTGACCCTGATATACAATTTATGAGAGCAGAGGAACTCACGAATGAGTTGACAATTCATTATGAAAAACAGGAATAGAATGAAAAGAATTAAAATATTATTAATGAATGCTACAATGTATTTTATTAGCATTTATCATCTCAATATAGAGAAATATAAGGTATAGCAATCAATATATTATGTAAGGGAATGCAATTAGATAATTTTAAAGGTTATTTCCATTGATGAGATAGTAAGAGGTGCAATCTATTGCATAAGAATTATTGAAGTCTTCAACTCAAGGTATGAATGATACAAGAGAGAATTATCATATTTGCCTTTAAGAAATTGTGGAAAAGATTCCAATTAAAGTTTAGAGTTTATCTGAGGTTTAAGAAGGTATAATCAAAAGTAAATGTGATCATAAGAATATTAGAATTAAGAAAATTAAAGGAACCTGTTAAGAAATTGTAAGTTTCCAATTAAATAGTCCATCAAAAGATTTAGTAGAATGTTGAAATCTAGGCTAAACTTCTAAAAATTATAAGTTAGATAATGTCAAGATGGCCATAGCTATTTCAGAAAGACTTTAGTGATTTGTTGTTGGATAATATAACAAATTCGAATGAATTATCAATAAGAAAAAATTCGTGCGTATGTCTAGGTTATTTAGGACTATCTCTTAGCCAATAAAGCCTTAATGATTTAATCTAAAAAAGTAGACATTGAGAAATATATAGAAATATTACCACTAGTTAAAGAATTAAGATGTGATTAATAGAGTTTTGCAAAAATACTATATTTAAATTAAAGCTTGAATCATTTGACAAAAAGTTCTGGGAAATATTTTGAAAAAGATTTAGTTGAATAAATATTTGAGAGATACCATTTGATACATTATTTACTATCGAATTATTATGCTCGAGCATTTGATTAAAAATTGATAGATTAAATTACACCATTGATTGACTTTAATCCTTTAGGAGTAGCAGCAATTGAAGATAATCCATATGATGATGATTACTATATTGATGAAAGTATAGTTATTTAAAAATCATTAGCCTCTGATTCAACCTGGAGAGTCAGAAGATGTACATTATACATATTCTAGGAGTTCTTGAAGATTCAACCATAACAATATAAGGTAATATTATCAGCTCTATTTGGTCCAAATCAAATTATCATGAAAAGGATAAATGAAAAAAATTCTGAAATCAAATTATCTATTGTTTAATTTTTGATTAGTTTAGTATAGGCATCTGCAATTACAAATGAGGAATTGAATCCAGAAGATGAACTCTAGTAAATTGTCATTATTAAAGTAAAGATCAATTCCACCATCTATTTCCCTAATTGAATTAGTAAAATAACTATTGGATAAAGTAACATTGATCTTTAAGATGCTTTAAGAATAATAATCCTTAAAATCAGAATCCACAAAATTATTATTAGCTATTGGTCAATATTTCCACTCTCAAATACAGATATCACATTTATGTTTCTCAAAAATTGTTGAAATCACCATTAATCAATTGTTGGTTCTTCTGTTAATTATTCTAATGAATAAAAAGTATTTCTCATGACTAAATTAGCTTGCCTCTATTTTAACCATGAAAAGTATACTTAAGATCACAGAATCAGCTGCATTTTAGGTACCCATTTTGAGCTAGATGGCCTAAATACTCATTGAAGCAGTCAATTAGAAATATATTAGAATACAAGTAGAAGGATGTAATACCTTAGAAATACTAGTTGGTGTATTCAAATAGTATTATTAAGATCAATTTCAAGACTCATTGTCAAAAATTAAATGAACTATAATTACCAAAAAATTTAGATTGATATTTTAGATTAAGAGGTTAAGTAAAGTCTTTTTCACTTGCTACTGGCTTGTTTAAATACTTTCCTTCCATATTTACAAAAACAGAAGTCGAGTAATTAACTCAAACCACCTTGCTTAGATTATAGATCGAGGCTCTAACAAATAACATTATGTTACTAGTCTAATACTTCAAGAATCTCAACGATCATAAGACATTAATTTCAAATATAGCCAATCAACTTTAGAAAAATGACAAAGCTTAAACATATTTAGCATTAATTATTTAATTCAGAATAACAAAATTGAGCAAAACTAGCAGCTGATATTTTTTAAGCAAATTCAAGTAAATTACAACAGAAAACTACGATTTATAAATCTAAACACTTTAGGTATTAATTAAAGTTACTCATATTAAATTACCTGATTAACTTATAAAAGAGACTGTTAAAATTGGATTGTAGCAAACAAAAATAAAACCTGAAATTGTAGAGTTCTTTAATTTGGTCAATCAAAAAAATTTAGTTGAATAAGAATCACTAGATAATTAGGAAAAGAAGAATTGTATCCTGCTGGATAAATATACTGTTCAATATTAAAAAATGTACCTGGATCACTCAGTTCTTTATATTCTTCATTAACAACTAACAGATAATTAAAATTAGGTAAGATTTTTACATAAATATCAAAAAGACCAAAAGTTCCTAGATATATTATGTTAATTAATTAAAGATAACTAGGATTCAGATTTAGCTGCTTTTGTAATTGGATCAGCTGTTTCTGACTTTTAATAAATAAAAAAGTTGATCGATTAAATCCTAATTAATATTAATTTTATCAAGCTTCAAAAGAATTTACTGAAATATGTGGTGACATATAAGGTGGTTTCTTCAAATAGAATTATCCATAACTAGAACAACTGTTATTTTAGAGTATCTAAAGTACATCTTAAGCTGTCAGATATTCTTGTATTCAAAGTCTGAAGTATACCCATCAATGGACCAACAAATCTCAAATACAATTAGAAATGCTTAAAAAGAAAAAGATATTCAAATACTGACAGGAATTATAAAAGTAATTACTTAAAATATTTAATATATTAAATTAAATAATTTGATTTAATATTAAACTTTTTGTCTAAGAAGGTATGAAGTAAAAGAATTAAATTTCGGTATTTTGTTGAAGAAAGACAAGGACTTATGATCTCTTTCATTCGATTTATTAGAATCATTCTTATCAATATAAAATCTAGAGTTGAAACCTATTGTAGTTGAAGTCTTTGAAAAATTTTGTAACATATATCATATTTATATTCTAACTGAGGATAAATACGAAGAAACCAGAATCCCTAGATTAAGAATTATTTAGAATATCATTAAATCAAACGCTCTTGAATTAGCACCCTATTAAGAGATTTTGCTAAAACCCTTTGAGTCTATTCTTAAAACATTGCAATAATAATTACAAAAATAAGATTAAGTAAGATATAATTAAATATTATTAGAATCTTGATAAGGAAAAAGAGAAATTTAGATTAATAATCTGCATTCTATAAGGATTAAGATTAAATTCAAAAGAAGTTGATTCATTTTGTGGAAAGAATTTAATAGAATAAATCTTAAAGTCTGTAGGTTAATGAGAGTTTAAATGTTATAATAATAATGAACTAGTCAAATAGATTATTTTTAGTTAGTAATGCATTAATATCATTAATCATCCCATGCTATCCGTTTACCTTTACTCCAAAGTCCATATTTCCCTTTTTTGTTCATATAAAAGCATCCTCTGCCATGCTACTTACCATTCTCCCACTCGCCTTCATATCTTCTACCATCTCCCCAATCATAAATGCCATAACCCTTATTTTTAATCAATTGAAAATGATACATGCTTTTTATCGTTTAGATATTATCCTTCATACTTTCTTCCATCTTGCCACGTGTATATACCTCTACCATTCATATTACCAAAATAAAAATCTCCCTCATATCTTCTTCCATCTGTCCAAATTAAAATTCCCCTTCCTGATATTTTATTTTGATCCCAATCTCCTTCATATTTTTGACCATTACTCCATTGATATTTACCTTTTCCATGCTTTAATGAATTCTGATAATATCCTTCATACAAAGATCCATCAGGCCATAATTCAATACCATATCCTTGTTACTTGTCATTAAACCATTCTCCTTCATATTTGGGACCATCAATATGTTTATAGACTCCATATCCATTCGACATATCATTTTCCCATTCTCCTTCATAAATATCCCCATTAATGTGAGTAAATTTACCTCTTCCATGTGCTTTATTATGTTTCCATTCACCCTCATATTTTGCACCATCTGGCCAAATCTATATTCCATATCCATCTCTTGAGTTTCCTCTCCATTCACCAGTATAAGTAGCTCCTCCAGAAAATCTAAATATTGGAATTCAATACATATAAGTAGGTTTTTCAACCCTAGCTTAATCATCGTGATTTATTGAGATTCCACTTTCAACTGTTTCAGTTTCAAATGCATAAAGTATTTTTTAATCATCAACATTACGCCTTGCTATATAACCCCTCCAATGTTTTTAGATTACAGTTGCCATTTTATTTTTTAACATCCATTTTTTTTCAGTTTTAGAACCAGTTGTTTGGATTGATAGACATTCCTAATTAATATTTAAATTACTTATATTTCATATGCTTTCTTATCACAATTGCAAGAACAATGAGAACCCATTTAAATATATAATTATATTTGACATTTCTTAATTTTGAACAATTTATTTTAATAAAATATAACGATTATGTTAGCTGACAAAACTAGTGCCTATGTGAATTAAAGCTCAGTTTAATCTAAACAGCCAAGTAAAAGAGTGGTAATAGATTCTAATAATCCTAGCAACTTGATATTTAATATGTAGCACAAACTTTCGAAAAAACATAATCCATTAATAATCTTTAAGATATGTTCCCAGATAATCAATCCACTGAATTAAGAAATTCTATGACAAATGAGGAAAGTGAAATTGAAAAATTATCTTAAGCATATGCAGATAAATACTATTATGAGATGAAATTCGAGTAATATTAGAATTTGCTAACATAATAATAAGGCACAATTACGAAATTGCTTAATGAGAAAAAGGATTTGCTTGCCCGACTTGAATCTGCTAAAAGCAATGAAAAAGAAATCAGTTTATTGTAATAATTGGAAGTCAAATTTATTGAAAGTCAAAAAGAAAAATAATAGTTATAAATAGAGTGTTAATAATATAAATATTAAGTTGAATAATTACTCATCGCTAATAATGAATTATAATAGTCGTTTCAATCCTTACATAATTAATTTGTTGAATATAAAGACAAATAGGATAAATATTCAATTAAATAGCAAGAATTGATTGCCAAATTAACTGATGATATTACAAATCAAAAATATTTAAAAGAAATTCATTCTCAAATGTCAACTATAAAACTATAAAATAATCAACTTTCCGAATAATTGACTTAATAAGAACTCAATTTTTAAATCAAACTCACAGAAATACAAGAAAAATATGTTATCTAAAGTAATGAATTGACATAAGACTGTGAATCTTAAATTGAATAAAAGGAAGAAGAGTTGCATTTGTTAAAAATTGCACTTGAAAAATAAAAGTCAGATACCCAAAAATTACTAAATGAAAACCTTTTGTTATAAAATAAAATTTCAGAATTGAATTAGAAGTATATTATTAATATTTATTATTAATAGCTATTAAGATGATATATAGGCTTAAGCTTCACTACTCTCTGAATAAGTGGCAGAGTATAAGATAGTAATATAGAATCTAGAAAATTAATTATACCAAATGAACTAAGAAATTAAATAACGAGACAGATCTTCTTCAAAAGACAGTATGATAAATTCAAGATTGATTTCGAATTATATTAGCAGATATAAGCAATGAAAATGGAATATTATTTATTGATATTTTATGTTTTCAATATCAATATATATAAAACTCAAAGTCAGTCATGATTATATTCACTCTAACAAATAATAATTAAGGATTTTCAAAGAATTTTTTTGGTATTAATTATTTAATACTATGGATATCTACTTTAATGGTTAGCTAATTTAGGTGCCTGAAAACTTGACCTTCTATTAACTATTTTAGTATTCTGGCCTTCCTGGGAATATTAGCGAGAAATATTGGCAACGAAATGGTTAGACTATGTTAGTAAATTAAAATTCATTTGTAAAAGATCTTGTCTAACCTTATAATTACCTATAAATTATAGTAAATTTAAAATGTATGTTTAGGATAAGCAATAAAAGACAATATAAACTTTCAATTAGCAATAAGCTAACATTGGAAACCAGAATTTTATGAATAATAATAATTAAGGTAATGTGCAATAGAAAAGTGTGCCTTTATAATTTTAAAATACCGCAACTCCCTAATTTGTAATACAATAGGGGTCATTCCAACCTCAGATTTAAATTAAATAAGGTAATTAATAATAATATGATATACAATAGGCTCATAAAACCCACAATCGCCTTATTACAGTATATAATCTTTGAACTAAAATTTATCATCTTAAATAATTAATCAAAACTCAATGTAGAATACTCACAATGATGATATTTTCAAAACAGTATAGGATTCTAATTCAAAAGAGGAAGATATATTTTCAACAGAATATTAATATTCAAATTACGAAACAGATAGATAGAATTATCTGAGAAATAAAGGAATTTCTCCTGGAATTAAATTGTATGTATACTAAATAATATAGTTTGCAATAACAAAAAGATGGTTATAAGTTTTCTTTAGATAATTATGGTGATGATCTGATAATTGAAAAATTGGATTAATCATTTTATCTAAAATTAAACTCTTAATTCTCCCTATACTAAGTCAGATAATTTAACATTGCTGATAAGAAACAAAGATTTGAGAGCAGCATCATATTAGATCTCAATTGTACTAGGGTTTCTTGGATACAAGATTTGGAAATATTGGCTGTTCAATTCAACACAGGGAAGATAATTGCCATATAACTATGTATGGAATGAAATGATAATAAAATAAAATATAAATATGAATTAATTTAAAATTCGATTCCAAGACTTCAATCATTCAAAATTTAATAATTTATTATAACAATGAGTATTTGTAGAAGGAGTGCTGCCTTAATTTTGATCAGGGATGATTTTAATGTCCTACTGTTAAAAAGGAACAATGATCTCTCATTTGGAGGTTCATTTGCTTTTCCTGGAGGAGTCTTAGAAGAAACAGATTATAAATTAGCATAGACAGATTCATAATTAATTCAACAAAGCCATTTGAAATATTATTGCCATCAAACTCATTCATGGTATGATTCATCATTAATTGCTGCTATTAGAGAAACTACTGAAGAAACTAATATTCAATTAGATTATAAATAATTATATTCACAAATTAAACCATTTATGAGAATAATTACACCTCAAATGATGAAAAAAAGATATGACACTTAGTTTTTTATTTTAAATTTAAACAATTATGAAGTATTAAATATCAATAAGAATGAAAGTATAAGCTATGAATGGAATACTCCAGTTGGATTTTTAGAAAAATTTATTACAAATTAGATAAGTTTATTTCCACCAATATTCTTACAATTATTAATACTTAAATAATTAGGAAGTTATAAAAATATTCTCGCTTATATTGATTCTGGTGATTTATTAAAACATACTTATCCTCATATCTTCTAATTCAGTAAATATCAATTAATATATTTTATTAGCTAAAAAAGGAATTCTTAATTATCCAGATCCAAACTACGATTTATAAAAGCTGTAAGAATCTGAGCAAACAGAATATTTAAAAAATGAAATCAAAGGCAAATATAATCAATCGGAAAGATCAGATTTTAGATTTGAATTAGAGGGTAATTTATAAAGACTGATTGGACATATAGGAAAGTTTCAGAATTCGCCATTAACTTTGTTGAATGGTGAAGTTGTTAGAGATGGTTAAATTATGTAAAACAAGCCAAAATTATGAGATTAAATATCAAATATATTAATTAAATAGATTTTGTATTTTTATAATCACTAAAATTGGAAAGTCTATTAAGTTTTTGGTTTTGATTATCTTTATACACTGCTTGAATTCATATTCATTCTATTATTGTCTCTTAATACATCATGTTATACAGCAGGACTTTATGCTTTAGTTTAACTTTAAGGATTATCCTTTTAAACAGCATAGAATTTTTATTTCATAACTAGTAAATCTTTTTCCATGGTTTAATATTTAAGATTTTTTCCTTCTTAATCTTTATTCCTCTATTAAATTTCTTATTTGCAATCCTAGTCATTATACATGATTCTTACAATTAATTCTTAAATAAGTAATTATACAGATTAGATGATCTTGTCTCCATCACTACCCTTTATAGAAAATCTATTTTTAACCCCACTTAAATTTAAAATTTAGTTAAGTTTAGTCATCTCATTATTGAGTCTCTAATTTTCAACCATCAATTTTTACTATAAAATTAAACATCATACATACCAGATCTAATTTAGATGACTAAATATCTGAGTCAGTGTTTTTTCTATTCTATTATTATTACTATAATAATTTATTTTTTTCTTCTATTTCTTTTTGCAATTATTCTGATAAGTATAGTTTTTCTTATTTCAAACAAGAATTTTCTTATTTTATTGTATTTAAATATCTTATTTTTTATGATGGGTTATTATGACCTCCAAGTTAGGCAATATCTTTTTACATTTCTTCTATTTATTTATACAACATAGATCTCTCATTATTTGATTTGGTTAACTTTTCATGTTATTCTTATAATTCTTTCTTTAACTTTCCAATCTCATCCTCTAAAGTATGCATTTATCTTAATGCTTAATCCTTCTAATCTTTCATTTGTTCATTTTCATCTTCTCTTTCTTGATTTTAAGACTTTAAATATAATACAGTAAAATTACTAATATTGCATTGTGTTCCGCCTCTAACTTTAGGTATTGATCCTTAATATCATTAATTTCCTTTTCTTATTATTTACAAAATTCCTTAGCTCGATCATGAACGTTCTTTAATGTTTCTTCATTTTACAAGAGTGCTGTCTCTAATTATACTATAATCTTTAATTAATAACAATTTATACTTATTATTTTTTGTCAATCTTCTATTTTAATTCATTGTTTTCTTTTGTAACTTTATCAGCAATATGACTATATTGTTCTCTTATTTATGATTCTTATTTCATTTAAGATTCTAATCTAGTAAATTGTTCTTTTAAGAGATTATATTTTTCTTATTATTCATTAAATTAAATGCTTTATTAATCATTTTACTTCTAGACTGATTAATATTTATGAGCATTTTCTTGGATTTAATGACTATTTTCTTCTAATTAGCTTTTCAATTGATTGTTGGCATTCTCAAGACCTTAAATAATTTTCTATTAATCAATATATATATTTACAGTAAATTTATTTTAGTCAGATTTTAATTTATCCTTTAATTATTAGATATCCTTTTGAGTTTAATGATTTAATTCTTCTTTAGTTTCAAATGCGCACTATAATCCATTTACTTATTTATTTAATTATTCAATAATCAAATCCTTTTATTATAATTGCTTTTGATGAATGTCTAATTGATCTACCAACTCTTAAACTTCTTTTTTATGTTAATCTTCACTCTTTTTTAGATGTAGAGAATATTATTTAATTTCTAATTCAAGTTATTTAGTTAACTTTTTAACAGCAGATTTACTTTCATCAACTTGAGTTTATTTTTAATCCAACTCCATTCTCATCTAATCTATTTCCTCATGTTATGATTCAATATGTTGATTCAATTATTATATTTCTTTTTTCAATAATAAGTTATCTTTAGTCGTAAGGTCTAACTATTGTTATAAATTAGCATTGAGATGATTTAATTATAACTTTAATTGATCTATTTACTGTTCTCTTAATTGTAAATCATTAAAAGTAACATTCAATTTTTATTCGAGTTTGTGAATATCTTTTTATTTATCATTTATTTAGATTTTTAATATGTTGTTATCTATTTCCATTTAATCTGTTTCTTTTTTCCAAATTTCAGAGCTCTTATCAAGAATCTAATTTTATTTACTTATTTCTTATTGCAAAAACTCAATTTCTTATTCTTTCTCAATTAGCTTATTATTCAAACATTAAACTTGAGTTTATAAATAGTTATTTTCATTTTATGATTCGTGCTATTATTGTTCTAATTGACATATAGTTTATTTAAATTTATTGGATTCACATTCAATTTCCTTAATTTTATCATTCAGATTAATTTTTTCAATAGTCAATTATTCTATTGTTCTCATTTTTATTTATAATTTTTATGTCATATCTTGCAATTTACCTTATTATTAAATTTCCATTGTATTCCTACTTTGTAAATTCTCATTTTCTATTGAGTTTATTTTTTATTGTAACTGTTGTATTTCTTTTGTCTAACTCTCTAATTTGGACTTATTTTACAGCATATCTCGTTTCAATTCGGAATTAACTTAGTCCTTTTGTTCCATCCTAGCCTACAAAGAGAGGTAGAGTTCATGAACTTGATTATAATGATCCGATGTTTCTTGAATTACAGCCTGCTTACTTTCTAATTGCTTTTACAATAAGTCTATGCTGGACTTTTACTCTTTTTGAATTTCTTCAAACTCATTTTTCTATCTTTCAAGTATGCTTTGTAAATGTAGAGCTCTTTATGTCTCATTTTGTATTTTTTAATTTAACAACTAAAAATAAGCCTAAAAAATTACATGAGTTTGAAATTCTTACTAAGATTATGTTTCTGCGTTATAAGTTTCTCTTTCCTTAATTATACAATTCAAGGAGAGAATCTAAATTATAAATACAAAATACTTCTTGATTCAATTTATTTATCTCGCAATTCTGTTTTGTATTTAACTAAGAAAATAGCAGCTCAAAAACATTCTTCTACTGTTTAATTTACTCCTAATAATCTTTCTCTAAGGTTGAACGTTCAATTTAGATTTGCTATTGATAGATTGCTATTTCTTTTTCCTACTTTTGTGATGTTTATTAAAGTTAAATTTGAGCATTTGAAAGATCTTCAGTTTTTGAGTGTAATTCTTGAATCAAAGCATCCATTTCTAACTGCATTTCTTAATTTGCTTTTGATAGGAGAGAATTCTCAGTTTATAAAATTTAGTTATCTCTTTAAGTTTATTATAATTAGGAGAATAACTCCTATTCTGAATTTTCTAATTTAGACATTGATAATTATAATTAATCTTACATAAGTAAAACTTAATTTTATTATTTGGAACACTCTTATTTTAAATTTACATTTTCGAACTCTAATTAGGAAATAGATTATTAATTTAATTGAAGTTTAATATTTTAATCATTTACATTATTTTCTAATTAAGTGATAATATTTTCATAAGATTATAGTTATTATTTAAATTCTTAAAATTCAATATCGTTATCAACAATTAATTGATTTAGTTATTTTAATTTTTTTTCGTTTTATATTAATTCTTAAGTAAGTTGTTCATTTTTATGTTCTTCATTTACAATTTTTTATTTTAAATCTTCATTTATTTGATTTAACTATTGACATCGATTAATTTACAATTAATTTTAATATTGTAATTAACTTAGTTGTTATTCAAGAGTAGTAATTTGTGATTTGGAATTATCTTAAAATTCTGTAATATTAGTTTAAGTAAGCACATAATTACTTTCTATTTCTTATTTTTAAGTCAAAATTTATTGATTTTCAAACTTTAGTTATTAAATAATCTTTTCTGAGTTTTTGTATAATTCTTTTAATTCTTAATTTGAATTTTTGAGTTCTTTATTAAGATCAGTAATTCTAGTTTTCAAATCTTATATCTGCTAATCTCTAACATCAACAACTTGATCATTTTCATTAATTGTAATGCCATTTTCTTCTAATTTATGTAATATTTGTTTTTCAATCACATTGATTTACTCTTCCATTAAGACCAATTTTTGGGTTTATTCAGATAACAGTTTCTCTTTATATTCTGATTAGGTTTCTAATTCTTTAAATTTATCCAATGTGACATATTATGAATTAAATTATAGATCTAATTGTTATTGAAACTATCTTCTTTCATTTAGAGAATTCTATCAAATACCAATAATAAATACTTAAACAGTTTCAACTATATCTTTTAATATATTGAGATTGGTATCAACTTGTACTTAGACTTTTGATACTGTTTATGTAGCCCCTTATTACTCTTTTAAGTTTAAATTTTCATAAAATGTTTTCATAACTAAACCTTGACATTGCAAAGCATATGCTAATTATTACTAAATTTATTATTGTATGTCATCTGCTGATTAATTTAATTTTAATTTTTATATTTATTCATTTTACAATTTAATAACAAATTTTAACTGTTACTCTAATTATTATCCTAATTAAAAGCCTTCCTTTAATTATTTGATTCCATTTAAATATTTTTCAATTTCTAAAAATAAAGCAGTTTCACTTTCAGTTGATTGCTCCAAATAACATTTTAAGATTTCCTCAAGTTTGATATACTTTTAATCATTTATCATTAAACTTTCCAATTCTAATGATTGTAAGACTAAATCATAATATAAATTTAATACATTATTCATTAATATAAGATTGTTACTGTTTTTATTCAAACTTTTTTGGAGATTCCCATTTTTATTATTAAGTAGTAACACTTTTAGCAAGTTCTTATTTGAGTCTTTTTATTTCATTTTTCAAACTCTCTAAATTGCCACTTTCATCTTCATTGATTCTAGCTTTATTTTTCACTTATTTGACTCTCTTAGAAAACATAAGAGTTGATAAGGTTTCTTGATAGAATTGTTAGGATTATTAAATATTAGCAATCAGATGAGTTCTTGAGTTACCTCCCAAAGAATCTTTGAGTAGAAATGTTAACTTGGAATCTCTATAATGCACATAGGATTGATTGTCCTCAACCAGAGAATTGATTACATTACCCAAAATGTGTAAGCTCTTATTTATATTGCAACCTTCTCTCAATCTTTCACCTTGAACTTAAGATTGCTTCTACCTTTCACTACCTGCAAGATCTACAAAGTGAAATCTTGAAAATCTATGATTTATAACCTAAGTCTGAGATGATTATCTTCTTGATTCAAGTTAAATGGTGAACACACTATGTGATCTTGAAGATTCTATATTCATTTGAGTTGATGATATATGTCTATTAAGACTCCCTTTCTATAGAACTTCTAATGATTCAGTCACATTTGTACAAACTTCTTCACTTAACTATTCCACATAAACTCCTTTTTTAAGATCTTCCCTTAATTGTAAATTTCCCAACTGAGGATTTAAAAGATCTATTATATGTTCATTATATATTTCCAAATAACTGCATTTCACTAAATATTCTACATTTTCTGATGAATCCTCCAGAATGCAATTAAATAGAAAATCAATAACTCTTGGCAATAAGCCAGGTTACTTCTATGTACCCATCATAGTGTATGTTTTTCCACTTCCAGTTTACCCATATACAAACACACATCCATTATAACCATCTAGACAATTAATTGCTTATTATTTTCCTACAATATTAAATATGTCTTCTTAGCTTGAGTCTTGTTATGCTACGTAATCAAAATAAAAATATTTCTAATCCTACTATAATTACTGATTGCCCTCAATAATTATAGTATTTTTTAAATTGGAATCCAACTTAATACATGACCTTCCATCCTCTATCAAAGGTCTTGCATAATTAATAAACAGATTCTTACTTTATTCTGATGGAAACTTGAATATTGTCTCGTTCTGCCTTAAATTTATCTGTCATTTTTCAATTTTTAAATTTGAAATTTTTATAATAAAAAAAATCAGAAAATTATTGCTATTGTAAGCCTTGTATTATCATGGTAAACATAATTACATTTTAGAGTATTTATTTTGAGATTAAGATAGGTAGCAATTCTGTGTATCGTCTACCTTAATATTATTTACTACTTTCAAGTAAAATTAACTCTTGCTGAAAAATCTAAAAGAGAATTAAATTTATTTACTTAATTCACAATTAATTTTCCCTTAAACTCAAAAACACTTGTTCATTACCATATTCTTCTTCTACCCAAATAATAAAAGGACTTAATTAAACTAAAAATTTTAAGTGACTGCTCTTTATTTCTCAAATCCTTTTAAAATTAGTTAGATCTTTAGAATCTTTTGGAAGTAAAAAAAATTTAAGAGATTATTCCGATAAATTATTCAATATTAAAGAGGATTAAGAAGCAATTTAATCGAAGATTAATTGTTAAGAAATGGATAGTATTAAAACAAAGAATAAATTTATACTTTAAAAAATAAAATGATTAATCAAAGCAATGAGAGTATGAAGCATCTGTTAGAAAAAGAATAATGACTATTTTTTTTTCCTGGTGTTTCGAAATTTTGATCCTATTAATCGTTATTAATATATTATCCAGAATTAAGATTACCTTTCTTAATATTTTAGGATTATTTAAAAATAGGTATTGAATCATTTTTAATAGAAAATCAATTTTCTTTCTTATTTTCATAAAGTCCTTTTAGCAGCTCTAAAATTTGATTTTATTTAGAAATTTAAGATCTCTAAAAATAATGTGTGCAAATTAGATGTCATTTTTTAATTGTTATTATTTTCTAGTTTTTAGGAGCTAAAGGTGCGAATTAAACTCCTGAATAATTTTGAGTAAACCATAATTATGTCTCAAATCAACTTAAATTTTACAATGAATGATTATATTAGAATTATTTCAATTTGGACTTGTTAAAGATGTCTATTTTCAATTTTATCCTTCCAAATATAATGCCTAAGCAAGGTACCTTTCTACCACAGCTATTAATTTAATTTGATTGGCTAAGAATTAGAATCTTTATTCTAGGTGTATATTTGAATTTTGTATCAAATAGTCCATAAAATCTGCCAAACTTTATATGACATTATTTACTAATTAAGAGTGTTACAAAAATTTCAGAATATTTAAGTAAAATATTTATGATAGATAATTCATTAATAAAATTAATTTATATAATGATGATCACTTCGTCCGTGTTTTTGATTGTTTATGATATACACTTGTCACTACTCTGAAAATAATCTATATATATATATATTATTAAATGTTAAGAAGATTATCAGGATCAGTTCCATAAATCAAGAAATTGTATTTCACTTTCTCTGTCAATGAAGGTATCGAATTTTGATAATCAGAATATAAGATCTAAATTCTAGATAGACTCAAACAAATAAAGCAATCCAATTCTGGAAAGGACATTGTGTCTAATGGTCACATAGAAAATCTATCAATTGACCAAGGTATTCTAATGACCAAGCATATTAGATGGAAAAGTCATTATTGATCTCAAACTGGACTAAGATTACAGAAAGATAAAGGCGCTTTGTTAAGATGCCCTTAAATAATTTGAATGGATTAAGAATTTGGATATTCGCATGGCTCCAAAAAAAGAGAATGTTACAACCCAAACTAATTCTCAAAAAAGAGGAAATCTGAAGAATGTTAACAAAATCATAGCTGTTTCAAGTTGCAAAGGAGGAGTAGGTAAAAGCACTATTGCTTTAAATCTTACTTTTTCCTTGCAAAAATTGGGTTTTAAAGTAGGAATATTTGATGCAGATGTTTATGGTCCATCTCTTCCAACCTTAATTGGCAAAGAGAAGTAGTAATTATATGCTCCAGAAGATAAACCTAAAGAAATTCTTCCCATAGAATTCAACGGTGTTAAAACCATGAGTTATGGATATGCAAGTGGCAATCAGAAGGCCATTATTAGAGGTCCTATGGTTAGTAGCATTGTTGTTTAATTAGTACAACAGACTTAATGGGAAAACTTAGATTACTTAGTTGTTGATATGCCTCCAGGAACAGGAGACATTTAAATCAGTTTATGTTAAGAATTAAATTTTAATGGCGCAGTAATTGTTACTACTCCTCAAAGGTTAAGCTTCATTGATGTTGTTAAGGGAATAGAAATGTTTGATGTTCTTAAAGTACCAACATTAAGTGTGGTTGAGAATATGGCTGAATATGTTTGTTCTAATTGCAATCAATTACATAGACCTTTTGGACCAGGTTATATGAATATGTTACAAAAACAATTTGGCATTGCTACTGCCTTGTCTATCCCTTTATATGGAGATATTTCAAAATATTCAGATCTGGGAAGTCCTGTAGTCTTAACCTTACCTGAAGATCACACTATAAATAATATTTATAGACAATTAGCCAATAACGTTGTAAATGAATTAAATAGAACCCATTTGAATCAAAGTCCTACTGTAAGGTATGATACAACTAAAAGAGTCATCATTATTAATGATTCTGAAGGCAAAGAAAAATCTATATAACCTATAGAACTTAGATCTAAATGTAATTGTGCCTTATGCGTAGATGAATTTACAGGAAAAAGATTAAATCAAGTAATTTTAATTTTAAATTAGAATCAAAAACTTGATCAAGAAGTATTTCCATAAAAGATTGAACCAAAAGGAAACTATGCTGTAGCAATAGTTTGGTCTGATGGCCATCGTTCTTCTATCTATCCCTATAAGAGGTTGTGGAGTCAAGAAATTAATGAGTATTCTTCATGATGATCAGATATGAAATTAAGTAGATAAACAAATGCTATCAATTTATGTGTTATTCTAAAGTTTCTTTTAATACATGTTGTTACTCTTGATTTAATTGATGAGCTTTCGTATCTCCTTGAACTACATATTCTATATCACCTTCTTCTCCGATACAAATTCTAGTCTTTCTATTTTTGGGATTCTTATTTCGACATTCAATAAGATTTTCTTAGTTTTACTCAAATCTAAAGTTTCAGATACAGCTTGATGAAGGTCCATTTTAATTATTTAATTATTCAATACTTTAGTATTTACCTTGCCTTATTCATTCTTTCTATTATTTCAGACTCACCTTTAACAGGTTTAAATGACCACCTTTTTTTGTTTGTAACTTGGTTTAAAAATACATTCTTTTAACTCCTCCTTTAACTATTCAATGTATCCTTTAATTTTTGTTTATGCATTTTTATTCCCTCTGCATCTTTATACAATTTATTAAAATGTACTTACGCTATCATATCTTATTATTTAAATCGAAGTAAATTACTTTTAATATAGTATCGCGCATCTTTTTATTAATATGATTCTAATTTTCTTTTCTTATATTGAATTATGTGTCTTATGTACTTTTGAATTTTCATTAAGAATCTCAAATCTAAATATTATATCTGTCCATCTCTATTCTTATCATTATTTTATATATATTTCAAATTAAAGTCTCTTTTAATGATGACAATTTATCACTATATCCATTTGGAAATCTTTTATTTATTAATTTCAATAAGAGGTCAATCTAATTTGAATTCATATAATTCTTCAAAATTTATCACCTATTTCGGTATATATTAATTCTCTAACCAACATTAATAACATCTTTTTAATAAGATAAGGGCTTAATTTGAGTTAATTATTTTTACAATAATACAGAGAAATTAATTATTACCCTCAATCAAATTTATAGCATTCTCATTACCCAAAAACCTTGGTGTAGAAACATAATTATTTTAAATGTATATCAAGAATATTAAATACAATCCAACAATGCACTCTCTAAAACCTAATCCTAAAATTAATAATTTTCATAAATCAATAAAGACATGATTGTTTTTTGTCGATCTTCAATACTATCACAATTTCTCAAATATTAAAATTAATCTCATGTTTATTCTAATATGCAATCATATTCATTAAATATTAATTATTTTCTATAATAAAATAATAATTTTTTTGATACTTCTTAAATATTTTACTTAAATAAAGATGTCTTTTACAATATTCATAATTTAATTAATTTTTATAATTCATTTAGTTCCTTTGATAAAGAGTAAATTGACATTACGTTAACCTTTCAGTTATGGATTGCCTAAAGACTTTTATAAACAAATAGGACAAAACCCTTATTGTTTTTATATTACCAAATTTTATTACCAAATACATATGAAATTACAATTTTTACGTTAACATCGAACTAAAGATAATTATTTATTCTATTCCAATTTTTATTGTATATTATCACTTAAACCTTACAAATCCATTTAATTCTTCATTTCAAGATATTAGCGCCCAAATATGATAAATTATTAGCATAGCTTATTGCTAATATTTTTGTTACATTATGGACATTTTGCCAACTATTTAGTCAGCAATGCTTGACTCAAAATTTATTCCAATTATTTTTCTTTAATTTGATGTTTGCATTTATTAGTGAAGTATGTAGTTTCAGATAATCTGTTTTCTAATCTTTCAGAAACTGGAGAAATTTATTTAACTTATTAATTGTTCTGATTAATTTATAAAATTTAGTTTTCTATCTTAAGTCTATTGTTCTCTTCCATCAAATTTAGATACTTATTCTACAGGTTTTTATATGCATCCTATAATTTTTAATTTTCTGTTTCAAGATTCCTTAAATTTTAGGACCTTTATATATATTTTTATGTACATGCTCAATTTATAATTGGATTCTTAATTATTTTCTGTTTTTTACTCTTGATGATATACTAATTATGAAAATTATTGGTATTAATAAGGAACTTTGTGTTACACTAATTTGCCTTGCTCAAGATTATCGTTTGTTGATAATCTTTCTTCCTCTTAGTCATATAAATTCTCTTTGTTTCTTAATTAATTTTTCTAAACTTAATTTTATGAATGAATATTTAGATCCTAATTTTAATTATAAACACTTGGAATTTAAGTTGCTTTAACTCTTCTTTCAGGGTATATTTCAGATTAAGCATATTAGTTAATTTTTACCTACTCAGATTTTTATTAGGGATACTATTCAATTAACCTATACCCTATGCTTCTATTTTTTGTTTTCCTTATAATGTCTATTAAATATTAATTCAAATCTCCTGAAAATTAAATATGTTGTTCAAAGTATAATTTAATATCTGCCTCTGTTTATTAATTTTTGTTAAGATGAAGAATTAAATCCAAAACTGTTGAATTTTCATAAACTCTAAATGATTACTATGACTAATTATCTCNTACTATCACAATTTCTCAAATATTAAAATTAATCTCATGTTTATTCTAATATGCAATCATATTCATTAAATATTAATTATTTTCTATAATAAAATAATAATTTTTTTGATACTTCTTAAATATTTTACTTAAATAAAGATGTCTTTTACAATATTCATAATTTAATTAATTTTTATAATTCATTTAGTTCCTTTGATAAAGAGTAAATTGACATTACGTTAACCTTTCAGTTATGGATTGCCTAAAGACTTTTATAAACAAATAGGACAAAACCCTTATTGTTTTTATATTACCAAATTTTATTACCAAATACATATGAAATTACAATTTTTACGTTAACATCGAACTAAAGATAATTATTTATTCTATTCCAATTTTTATTGTATATTATCACTTAAACCTTACAAATCCATTTAATTCTTCATTTCAAGATATTAGCGCCCAAATATGATAAATTATTAGCATAGCTTATTGCTAATATTTTTGTTACATTATGGACATTTTGCCAACTATTTAGTCAGCAATGCTTGACTCAAAATTTATTCCAATTATTTTTCTTTAATTTGATGTTTGCATTTATTAGTGAAGTATGTAGTTTCAGATAATCTGTTTTCTAATCTTTCAGAAACTGGAGAAATTTATTTAACTTATTAATTGTTCTGATTAATTTATAAAATTTAGTTTTCTATCTTAAGTCTATTGTTCTCTTCCATCAAATTTAGATACTTATTCTACAGGTTTTTATATGCATCCTATAATTTTTAATTTTCTGTTTCAAGATTCCTTAAATTTTAGGACCTTTATATATATTTTTATGTACATGCTCAATTTATAATTGGATTCTTAATTATTTTCTGTTTTTTACTCTTGATGATATACTAATTATGAAAATTATTGGTATTAATAAGGAACTTTGTGTTACACTAATTTGCCTTGCTCAAGATTATCGTTTGTTGATAATCTTTCTTCCTCTTAGTCATATAAATTCTCTTTGTTTCTTAATTAATTTTTCTAAACTTAATTTTATGAATGAATATTTAGATCCTAATTTTAATTATAAACACTTGGAATTTAAGTTGCTTTAACTCTTCTTTCAGGGTATATTTCAGATTAAGCATATTAGTTAATTTTTACCTACTCAGATTTTTATTAGGGATACTATTCAATTAACCTATACCCTATGCTTCTATTTTTTGTTTTCCTTATAATGTCTATTAAATATTAATTCAAATCTCCTGAAAATTAAATATGTTGTTCAAAGTATAATTTAATATCTGCCTCTGTTTATTAATTTTTGTTAAGATGAAGAATTAAATCCAAAACTGTTGAATTTTCATAAACTCTAAATGATTACTATGACTAATTATCTCCTTTATCAAGATTTTTTAAAGTTATTAGAACAGCATCACAACTTTTCGATCTTTAAATTTTTAACATCTTTTTAAGTTTAAATTCAAAAATATAATATATATATTAGTATTAGAGTTGTTAATTTTTACAACTAATCAGACACAAATTCTTAGGATAATTTAATTTCAATTTTTTTGTGAATTGCTAGTATTAATATTAAAGAGTTTTAAACTTAAATTAAATTAGAAAAATCATAGGGAAAGTCTCTGTAAAACTTATGTTTTAATTAGGGAATCCTGAAAAAAATTAAATCGAATTACATATTCATTTTTTTGGTTGGACTATATATGTGAAAGTAACTGATGAAAATATTATTGCATAATTGTCCCAAATTAAAGCTAGAAAGGAAACTGATTAATCCTTATTGAATTATGAAATAATAAAATGTAATAATTAAATATGAAATATTTTTCATAGTTTTGATTTAAAAATCTCCTTTAAAATCATTTTAATTACCTAATCTTTCAGCGATTGATTAGTGGAAAAAGCTAACTCAACAATATTTCCAACTAACCTTATGTAGCTTTTCCAAGAAAAAGGTTAAATTATGATATCCATAATATCTACCAAAAGCATCAAACCTTTTAATATTTTTTTTAATTTTTTTTCATCTAACTCATCTTTAGTAAATCTTTTAACTACAAATCTTAGTAATATTTTAACTCTTTTCTTTTTTGTCATTTGATATAATTTTATAAGTTAAAGTCCAAAAAGTAATTGTTGTAATAATCCTATAAAGCTTTGAGGATATGGGATAAATTTGATAAGCTTCTTTAGTTATTTCACAGAAGGAGTTTGAGCAAAAAAGAAATTACTGAAGCCTTGATTTTAAATATTCTTTCCTAAACTTTTTATAGTATTTTCTGGGTTTTGTATTTCTTTTTAATGAATTATTTGAAAATACACATTCATTTTTGCTAATGTATTAATATCATCTGGTGTGAATGAGCCAATTAATGGATAATCTAAATACCCTAAATAGTTTGGTAATAATTCCCTAAACTTTGCACTACTAGCTTCTAACCAATAGAAAATTAGATCTGTGCAAACTCTAGACGATTTTAGATTCGGTAAAAACGGTATAGGGTCCGTTGGAACTTTATTTACTAATTTTTTAATCATTCCTTATAATAATTTTTAGTAGTCATAGTCTGCTTTTAAACTAGTTTAAAGATACATGATGAACTTTTGTAGCTCTCCTTCTTAATATGGTGGTCTAAATATAATATATCGAGAAGATTGACTTAGTATCTAAAGTGGGTTTATGATTCTTATTTAAGGCCATCCAATGTGTAATAATTGATCTTCTTTTATTAAGACTAAAAGGTGATCGTATTCAATTTTTAATATAGATCTTGCAAGGGAATAAATATAACTGTCGGTTTAAGTTAAAATGAAGTCTCCCACTTATACTTTCTATTTAAATTCTTCATACAATTCATATTGCTTGATTGTATACTTTTTATCCATTTATTTAATTTTTTTTTAATAATATTAAAAGAAGAAGAAATTATCACTCAATCCTTCAATATTTTAATCTGATAGCTAATCTAAAATCCTTAAAGCAATATTGTTTCTGATTTGAAAATCTTTGATGTTTAACCAAAACCCACACTCCATTCTTTGAAACCTATTTTTCAAACCCATCATGCAAAAATACTCTTCCATTTTGAACTTTAATTTGTGCATGCTTACGAGATGAGCAATCACTTGGATTTGCCATTTATATTTAATCAAATTTATTATCTGAATTCTTTTTAACAAAAACAATTTGCATGCCTTCTTTTATGGCAAAGGATTATGAATTTATAATTATTTCATCTTATTATATTTCAATTAATTATTTATTAGTGCCTGCAGGTAGACCAAGCCAATATTATTCACCTCTAAGTAATTCTTTTTAATTATTGATTTTTTCATAAATTCCATCATTTGAGATATTTACCACCATTAATAAGCTTTGATTATTGAATTTACTAAAATTTATCTTAATGTTACGTAGGGTATATTAAGCTCAATACTTCATCTTATAAATAAGAGCAATTAATATCTTTGAGCATGGTTTAATTAAATTAAGCTAGAGTTGATTCTTTTAAAACTAATCCATTATTTATGTCAACGTCCTAAGTGAATTCATCAGTAATACTTCTAAAATTAATTCTGAATATTAATAGTGAAATACTTTTAAAATGATTCTTTAGAAATATCACTTAATATGTCGATTGGGACCCCTAATCTACACTATTAATCCATATTTATTATTATTATTTCAATATTAATTATAAAGTTTATATTTAGTAAGAATTCGATTTTGCTAATTCATTTGCTACCCAAGGAGCGATAATAATTTTATCTTTCAATTTATTCAGAAATTTAAATAGAATGGAAGCTTTAAATATTTGCAGCTCTAATCAATAAATTGAAAATTCATATGAAAAATTAGGTAATTTAGAAAATATTATAAGCTTAGGATTATTGATAAAGTAATTGAATTAAATAATTTTAGTGATTACGATGACGGATATTGAAAATGCCAATTACATTGTATTAAGGTTGATAGGCCTATGTTTATATATCACATATAAATGTTTTAAAAACTTATGATATAAAATTTGTATTTATA